TAAATGTTTTTGAGGACTCTAACTATTTTTATTTTATTTATTTATGAAGGCGTATTTACAGAATAAACACAAATATTCATATACATAATTATTTCAAACTAAGTTCACTTGCTACTCTAATTACAAATATGCACAGCATTCACATACAGACAACATAATAATTATAAAAAATCAAAACAGCAACCTTACCATTCAACTAAAACTTAACTAAAAGCTTATGCACTTTACGAGATCAGCAGACTAGATTATACTGTCAATAGTAAAATTGTACCAAATTTAAACAATCAATAACACAATTATAAACCATAAAATCAGATAAAATTATTAAAATATAAAAAAAAATGAATAAATGTAACTCACTATTGAACATTTAACAAGATAGCTTTAAATAAAAGTATGTTTAGTTCAATGACTTCATTCTACGGAAGTCTACACGATTACATTGCCCTGTCGATATCAATAATTATCTTCTTGTTTAACACTAAAGATGAAGATCTGTTTTACACTTTAGGTACTGACATACTTATTTTACGCAATTTAAGAAGTTAAAATTCTTTAAAAATCAAAATTGTCATTGTAATAATATATTATTTACATAAAAATAGTACATTTATTTATAAATGGGTACCCTACATAAATACGAAAAACGTTATTTCGTCAGTCACAAATACTAATTTTAAAATACTGCTTGTCATAATTCCCAAAGGTTCAAAATTCCTAATATAAAAACTCCGATTTATCATTCATCCTATTTTTATAATTCAAAAATTTTAATATTCCTAACATCTACTGTTTACCTTGCTCAAAATACCTTGTTTCAATAGATCGAATAACAAAAAGTCCGACTTAATAATAATTCGAAACATCAAAAATTCTAATAAAATGATGATTAATCTAATCGAATGATGGCTTTAATCGCCACTGTTCTAACCTAACCCAAACCCCAAAAATTCAATAACAGGAAATGGTACGACGTAGGTATCAATGTTGGCAGCCTAGTGGATTTTGTTTGTTCTGGGGCGAAATATTGCTTTTAGTGGCTAGTGGATTTTTCTAGTAGTTTGATAGTAATATTAAGCCTGTATAGGACTTAAGAGATAATGTTGAAAAATGAACTTGGGAACCGTTTGTGTACGCAAACTTCAAGAACGTTTGATAAGAAAGAAACAATGGAGATTGCAATAAGGAAGGTGCGCAGGAACAGAAGAATTATTAACTTTAGGCAATAGAATGATGTAGGCTTTGTGCCAGGGAGAGGCCAAGGTTCCATAGTCGAGCGAGAAGTCAATTATGAGAGTTATAATTTCGGGTACGTAATCCAGGATGGTAACTATCATCCTACGGCGTCATCATAAACCATTGCATACATCTTCCTGATGTCGCGGAAGGCACTGGAGAAGAATCAAAGTTGATAATATTGGGTCTGCGCCGACTTGCGATATAGTTCAGAGTCCAACTCTTGGTTTGATAATCTAGTTGAGTAGCGGAAGAGAAAAGAAAATTGATATCATGCAAACCAATGAACGTTTGAAACTCCCTCATTTGTTGTCTACCAATGACCATCGTGTTAAGTATTTCATAGTGTTCCCCATACTGGAAATATTGCACCTCAAAGATGGCCAAAGGAATTAGACATTTAAGAAATTATTTCAATGCTGGTATTGAGAGACTATTTGGCAGAAAGAATGTAGTATAACCAAGCAGAAGAATAGAATGAAATAAAATATTTTATCTGCTATGTTAAGAATACGCTGTGGTTTCAGGTTGGATGGAAAATAGCTGCAACGAATATGAAATTCCAATAAACGCTGTAAAATAAAGCGGTACCAAAGAATCGAATCAATCTGAAACCAACGATGATAACACATAGAAACGATTCATCCTAAGAAGACAAATTCATTTAAAATAAGTTACTTTTGTAATTGTGTTTTTTTTATATACATTAGAGGGAGCAGACGAGCAGACGGGTCATCTGATGGAAAGTGACAATCGCCGCCCATGAACGTCTGCAATTCAGGAGTCACAAACGCGTTGCCAGCCTTTTAGAAAGGAGTACGCTCTTTTTTATTTATTTATTTATTTTAAACTTAATGCACATACTGTACAAAGGCGGACTTAATGCCATTAGGCATTCTCTCCCAGTCAACCTTCAGGTGATGTAGAAATATGATGCGGTAGGTGCAAAATAAAATATTATATAAACATAATTTAGGTCCAGAAACATACACAATATAAAAACACACATGCATACATAAACCTACATAAATTTAATAAAATATATAAATACTCTGTCGGGAACTAGAGCTGTAACTATTTCGCCAATTCACCCCGAAGAAGATCGCGCACTTTTCTCTTGAATGCGAGGCGATTTGTTGACATCCTGATTTCGGCAGGGAGGGCATTCCAGAGGAGGACTGACTGGACGTAGAAGGAGGAGTTGATGAAGTTAGAGGTCTTTTCTTAAAGTTTTGAAGGTCGTATCGATCCGGAAATACCGCAGACGATAACTTATTCCATAGATTGCTTGTGCAAGGCAATCTAGGTGATGGGGTTTGAAAATATGCCGTGTGGAACAATGGAGAAAAGTTGCGGCCGGAAATATTTTTTTATGTTTCTGATTTTAACTTCTTGATTTATTGAATATAAGTATTACACAACAATCATGATCGTCATCATCAACAGCCTTTGATTGTCTACTGCTGGACATAGGCCTCTCCTTAGAAAGGAGGTTTTGACCAAATTTACGACGCTGGGTTGGTATTTGTTTCAAATTTTCCTTCTCTTTGCTGTGCTGTTGTACTGCATAGTTTGCAACCTTAGTCGAATCTTACGCCACATACGAGATGAGAGGGATGGTGACACTACGTGTTCTTAATCCGTCACCACACGGACACGACCACAAGGACTTTAGATCTAAGCCTTTATTAAAGACCTAAGTATGTTTTCAATACAAAGCTGTCCTTTAAATAAGAGTCTAAACAACACATTTGTTTTATATCCAAACATTTGTTCTGTGGGTAATTTATCTATAAAAATATGTATACATGTATTTAAAAATATATAAGTATGTTTATTTAGAAATCGGCAATACGGCAATAAGCTTACCTAAATTAATAGGACTAAAATTATACATATAATTAGACCCATATATAAAAATACAAAGATCTATGTAGTGACGGATTAAGAATGTAGCCGGTTCACGACAAATAGGCTTGGCCTCACGTAAGTAGGAACCTGAAATTAATAATAATAATATTAATAATTTATTGACGTGTAAGTTGTTACACATATGATTGAGAATCCTCTGACTGTAATATAAAGGACACAATGTCAAAGATATAAAGCAATACAAATTATGTCCATAAACTGTTCTTTCGTAAATAAATGTTCTAAATCGACTAATTAGTATCTTCTAGAAAACAGTCATTAAACTTCAAGGTAGAGAACAAAAGAAGAACCCGATTTCCAATAGATTTTAGGGATTTAATTCTTACGGACTTGAGACATACAACAAAACAAATAACAATTATACCATAATAATCATTATACTAAATCACAATAAATGCTAATTCGTATTTCTAAAGAAATATTTAAAAACACCTTATCGATTTCTTCAAACCGTTGTGACACATGTAATTAGCTAAACACTTTTAATTATTTGCTTAAGATTCAACAGAACTTTGCTTAACGAAGTTTATAGGGCATCTTTTGAACTGTATTTCAATGGTAATATATTGGTATTTAAAAATATGGTGTTTTTCATACAATTCACACAGATTTTTAAGTTACCATGTCGAAAAAGAAATATGTTTACTAACATATACCTATTTACAGAATATTTAAGTATGACTAAAATTGTGACTAGACCGCTAACCGCTAGACTCTAGTGGTTAACTATCCTGACTAGCTACCGGAGGTCGTGGGTTCAATTCCCACCCAGGACAAATATTATGTGATGAGCAGGATCATATTTTGTTTGTTTGTTAGAAATATGTAAGACATTAGAAATCACCATAATCGCCATACGGCAATAAGCTTACCTACGTAAATAGTACTAAAATTATACATAAAATTAACAACCCATCTGGTCAGCGTAATATGGTAGGCCAAAACCTCCTCTCTAAGGAGAGTCCTATGTCCAGCAGTGGACTATTAAAGGCTGTTGACGATGACGGTTTTAAAAACATAATACATGAATATCTGATCGCCATTTACAAATATCTATAAGGCTGTTAATGTGTAATACAAAGAGAAGCTCTATAGATATACCTATATGTAATTACTCAAACACCGTCTAAGAAGGGTGATCTTTGTCGAGTTCTAACACATCGAGTACAAACCTATTTCATATTTTAAACCGACTTAAAAAAAGGCATAGGCTCACAATTCAGTTTTACCTATGTTTCTTACCACAGCAGTCCGTCATAGATGAACTGATTTAAAAAGAAACAGAGGATATACTACCGTAGTTCTCCTTCTAATATAGAATAAAAAATACCACCTCTCTGCAAAATTAAGGAATCATTAATATCCTGTAGGTATATTCCTGCAGTTTAATGTGATGTAGGACCAATTAAAGTCGGTGATACTTTTTAAAAGTTTATTCCTAAAAACAAAGCAAATTAAAAGAAAACATTTACATACAATAGACGCAAGAGCTTTTAAAAATAGTTTCAGATAAATAATAATAATTAAAATTCTTCAAGTAAACTACATCATTTTTTTAAACCTAAAGCAAAACTTTCCAAGCTCCGAATGTGAAAAGTGCGTGCACATTCTATAAATGTGACCTATGACCATGGTTTAGTGTTATCAACAACAAATTTATTAGATTTTGTACCACAATTCGGAGACATCTGATTGGTCGAACGTCGAATCTATATAAGTGGGGGACGAGACGAAATCCCGCGCATTTGCCTTCGGAAGCAGGCAGCCGACGGACCAGAGCAAAGTAGCAATACAAGACTGATATTGTATGTGATTATTTCACCCATTTCAAGATGGGGAAAACTAGTATAAGCGTTATTAGTGTTTTATTATTAGTTAGCGTTTTATGGAAACCTTCTTACGCCTATGGTGAGTTTTGGCTTTTTGTTATTTATTTTTAAATGTGTGTAGAATATTTTCATACGATGTGTGTATACATATAAAAATTTTACTACTTTTTAAGTTTTATACTTTTTAGTAAATAGGGAAGAATTTTAAAAACTTTTTATTTATGCATGAATTATAAATTTAATCACAGAGTAATATTGATGCTTTTTTTTGCAAATTTAATATTGTAATGCTCTTGTAATTTTTCCCAATCTTGATTTTAATATTCAAAATGCCTTAGAATTCATACATAGAACATTTGTTATAGAATTAACTAACAATATTAAAATTTATATTTCTTTTTAAGCTGAATTAGTTAAAAAAATGCATTAAATAGTACAATATTAATATATCTCTAACATCAATCTTATACTTAAGTAAAAATACGCTCATTCATGATAGAATTACCTGCCCGTGTACAATTTTAAATGCATTAAGTCATCTTATAAGTAAATAGCTCTATTGTACGAGACTAGTAATAGTTCAACTATATTTTCTTTTGTGCAAGGATATGAGTCAACATTTCTTGTATATATTTACGTTTCACTATCAATATTGCTATTCTATAGTTCAGCTTGGATATAAATATTTCCCCACCCTCTTCATACGCCATCATTCATAAACAACAGCATCTATGGTGGGTCTGTACCCACCATAGCGTTATACCTGTGTAGGTATAACGCGAACACACACAGAGAGACCTTTTTTTTTGTTGTTGACGGGGTGGAAAATCCCTTCGGATCGCCTGCTCCAATTATTTAATTCTAATTTCATTTCATATTATGATTAAATAAATAAAATTCTTAAGACTGCCCGTTATAAATGTGTGAATAAAAAAACTTACAATAAAAAAAAAACAAAATTGAAAATATCACATAGTAAACTTATTATATTTTGTTTGATTAAGCGAAAAACGTTTATAGAAAAAATAACCATCGACTTAGATTTCGTATCGGAACGGTAGTTATTTGCATTATCTGTCCAGCCAAGATCGGTGATAAAAACCATCTCCGAGGTTAGTTACACTATCAAAATCATTTACAATGAATCTAAAATCATAAGTAACTGACACACCTTTGATAATTCCCATAAAACCCTGTAACTGCAAGAGCAATCTAATGGAAATTAGCTCCAGAAGCTAGCAAGGTACAGAATAAGAGATTAGTAGACTCTTCAACAGTCAAAATTTCCAAACACCCCAGGAGTCTAAGAGAAAAACAGAGAAACAGACAGATAACGGTATCACGTAAAATTTTCCGTATTACATACAACAACGAACAAAGTGTAGTTAACGACAACAGATAAAGTGCTAACAATTATTATTTGCAACAAACATAGATAGAGGTCAACTTTGACCCAAGATTGTGCTATCTTGTGTGGTCCAATGTCAGTAGCGGGTGACCAACCTCTCATAGGTATTATTGACTTAATTAAACACTTATCTAATCATTATAATTAGCTTTTTAAAGACGTTTTAGAGGTATATTGAAAATAATAAAAAAAGAATTTTGCGAAAACTATCACAATTCATGTTCTTTTTTCAATTTTATTTGGAAATGCAAAAAAAAATAGCTTCATTTATGGTCGGTCGTCTGCGTGATCCCTTGTCTGCGTGATGATTCCTGATTTGACGGAACAGAAGAATGTAAATTGGACAGAAAAAACCAACAAGGCGAAAGAGCTAGGGTGAAGGATATCTCAAATCTTGGATGGAGAAATGGGACTAAGACTGAAATAGCTTGATGAGTCGGTGTCCATGCTAGGATTGAAGATAACAAGGACACTAACCTCGACTGTCCATCTCTTCTCTCCTGTTATCTCATTACCTGTCAATTACATCTGAGTCGGACCTTTAGTTCTGACTCATTGTTATAAATAAATAAATAAAATAAAAAGCCTTTATTGTTGTTTTTAGTTTAAATTACAAATTCGACTATTCGACTATTCGAAATTCGACTCATTGTTACTTATGCTAAATTGTCAATGATTCATACCCTCTCGACTTTAACTAAACAATCAATTAAAAAACAACAAAGTATATGAATATCAATAGGTACTTAAATTTACCCCTGACCAATTAAAAATAAATTTCTATGTTGAGCAGCAAACACAAAAACATTTCAGCTTTAGGCGACAAAATATGTTAGCTTATTTATAAATTATCTTGTTATTCTGTAGTTTCATCGGGGATATTTATTTGTTAGTGGATACTATTTTGCGTGTATCTATTTTCCAATTTCATTTTAATACTTTCACCTAAACTTTAACAATAATCTTAATACATGTTTTTGAAACTGTTTCTTTCTTTGTCAATTTATTCTTCAACTTTAAAAACACCTAAATCTTTATCTTTTCTTAAAATGAACAATTCTGATGTTTCAACAATGGCATTGAACTTGGCATCTATTAATTCTTATTATGTAGTATCAACAACACAATTCGTTAGTTAATTAACAATTGATATACCTAACAGACTATCAAAATAATTATCACCAACGCCTTGACAATGGCCAGTGTTCACCAATGATGAAACCGTTAATAATAACTATGTGATAACATTTACACTTTTAGGCAAAATTATCACTTTTAAATTCGTCTTAATAGCTATCTCGCTTATCTCTTACTGTTCTTTGTTAAATTATAAGTGGATATTTAAACTTTGTTTTATAAAAAAAACTGTTTTTTTTTTAAGTTGTAACATGTTATTTTATTCGTACTAAAGTTCGTTGCTGGTCGAATTTCATTCATTGTTCTTGTTTCATTTCATTGTCCAGTATAACTTGAATTGGCATTATAAAGACTTCCGTATCATGACAGGTCAAAATATTTACTCTGGCCCTATAGCTTTGTGTAGCCGGTTTTACATAATTTTTAACTTTATAGGATATATTGTTTAAAAATATTAGCTTTCTGTACTTCCTCTACATATAAATATTAAGTATTCCTTAAATAATATGCTTCCGAGTGACATATTTAAAAACGGGTACAAAGACGTTTCTTTATGTTTAATTTAGATTAAACAGGGTTTACCTCAAAATCGGCACTTTCAAGCTATGTAGTGTCATTTAGACTAATTTATTATTGTGTAATAGTAACTTTTGTTAGTAAATCTATTGCCATGACAATCATGAGGAAGATTTCCTTTACGTATTTAGTGCTTTGCTAATTTATATCCGTTTGTCTTAGAATAATTTAACTTTCCACAAACAATTCCTATATTTTTATAATGGTTGCCTGATATTGAATTTCTCCAGCCAACTGTCAGTCAATAAACATCACGAATTACACATGTCCCTGCTTTATACTGTGTACGGATGTACCTGTTTAACGTCGCTCTTAGATTAACTGCCGCTAAGAGCTCAGTTCCGTTCCCGCTCGTAAAAACGTCAAACGATACCCGGTAATCAACAATACATCAAATATTAACTTTTATAACATTCGAATAAATATGACATGACAAGCTGACATTGTTGGATTTTAATTGATCAATAGTTAAATCAACTACCGTAACATACGATTAAAATAACCAAAACCATTGCTCTATGACTAATTCATGTTAATGAAGTATCATTAACATGAATTTTAACAAAAGGAAAAGAAGCAATGTATTTGTGACCTGAAACTTTATCAGATTACATGTGCACCAGGTTTAACCCACGAGGCAAAAACATTTTTGTAAGTTTAGCTTGTGTATTTGTCGTAGACATATATACATATAGACAAAGTCCTAATGGGTCAACTGATTTTTATTTAATATTTTTCCGACTTCAAAAAAGATGCGGTTCTCAATTCAGTTGCATTTTTTATTGTTGTTGCTTCAAAACTCCGTCTTTTATGAATGATTTATGATCGTCGATTTCAAAAATTATTTTTTCATTGCGATGAGTATACCTCAAACTTGGGCCCCATTCTTTGAAATAAAAATACCACCTTTGAGGGTAGAAAACTAAGAAATGAAGAATACAGTTTATCCTAATTTTTCATGATGTAGATTCATTCATCATCATCAGCCTATCGCAGTCCACTGCTGGACATAGGCCTCTCTCTTATTGATGATGATGATGTAGATTCATTAAAATCGGTGATATTTTGAAGTTAAGTATAGGTTTGATCAATAATGACTTAAATGAGATTTTTATTGCTCAAAATTCAGGAAAATCTGTCCAGTTGTTTAGAGATTTTTAGCTATCTTCTATTCGTTAAAGGAGTTTGATTTAGCGATATTCATCATCATCAACAACAGCCTTTAATAGTACACTGCTGGACATAGGCCTCTCCTTAGAAAGGAGGTTTTGGCTTACTATACCGCGATGGCCAGACGGGTTCCTATTGGGTTTGTTTCAAGTTCTCCTGCTCTTTACAGTGTTGTAGTCCTGTGTGGTTCGCTGCCTTGCTCGGTTCCTACGACCCATGGGACGAATCAGGGTTGTGACACTACGTATTCTTAATCCGTCACGACAGGATAATACTTGTCATACAGTATTTTAATCTTTCTGGAATAATATTCAATCATACTCTTTATATAGAGATCAATTCAGGTTGCGGGTAGCCAAACTCGAGACAAGATGGTCCCCTCTACACCAAATTGGATAATTGGTCCCCTCGTGTGGGGGTCACCGAGAGGGAGAGTGACTCTTGATCTGGGATAATAAAATAAAATGTTTAATTTACATCTCTCCTTTTGACGAAATATGTTTTTTCTATGTGAACTGAATAAGTATTGTAACGATTACATAAGAAAAAAGTAAACTAGATTAAGGCTGCAGAGATTATAGTGACAGCAACACAATTGCTACCCACATTATACTAGCTTGTGCGATCATATATAGATATGAAACATACCTATAAATGTTTAATTATTACTTGTTTGAAAATTTTAAAATACAGGCGACATTTAACTTGTTATTTTGAACTTGGAAATTAACTTTCAGATACTTTTTTATATCTTAGATATCAAATATAGAGTTAAAAGTAAACTTCGATACCTTTCTTACTTAAATCGAAGGGCAGAATCCCACTGTTCCTTATTTACATAATTAAAACAAGCTGATTCAGAGTTAGATAAATATTTGATCTCTGATCCGAAATTCACTTTGTTGTAAATATATGTAAACATCGAAGTTTTACCTTGAACTTCATATGTTTACATATATCTAATTATTTACCTTATTATAGGGTTATGATAGCCTGGGGTCAAACGATGCTTCTAGTTGATTGAGTGTTGGCTTGTCTCCATCGACCGGAGCTCATTTATTGAGATTGATAGGTCAATATTGTTAATTTGTTACCCGCGACTTTTATTTGACGATTTTTGACGACCGAATGGCGTAGCGGTTTGTGTAACGGACTGCTATTCCAAAGGTCGCGGGTTCGATTCCCGCTCAAGTCAAACATTTGACTGCGTGAACATTTAATTTTTGATTTGGTATGGGTGTTTCTATGTATAATAAGTATGTATTTACAAAAAAAAAGTATGTATGTATTTAATCAGTTGTCTAGTACCCTTAGTACAAGCTCTGCTTAGTTTGGCACTAGATGGCGTTGTGTGAATGTGGTAGAATATTTATTTATATATTTATTTTTATGCACAATTTTAGTTCTCTTACGAATCACCTAAAGGTATTTGTTAACCGAGAACATAAGATAAAATTATAATTATAATATCTTAAATACACACATCATTTAAAACTTTACCTACCTCGTAAACTAATTTATTATTTTATTTACTTTTCCACAAAATTGATCAATACATAATTTTATCATCTAGTAAAATATACATACTGGAAACTAACGAATATTCCTTTGTTTGTTTCAGAAAAATGCTCTTTGGCTTGTTCGGGATGTAAGTATATATCATAATAAACATCTTATCTTTTCTTTTTAAATTACCATCACTTGCTTTAACTTAAGGATTGTGTATCAGTGTTGAATATCTGACGGAGGCTCTCAAGAAATACCGTCCTGGTTTTAGAGAGTCTGTAAAAACCTCGTGAATGTTCTTTCTGAAACAGAACGTACCAATTAACTTTAGTCCCAATAACGTTTTTTTTTGTTCAAATAACGTAATGGGAGACTAGCCTATTAGCATTGTCTATGCAATGTAGGTGGGAAGAGATAGTAATGGAAGGAGAAAGATATTGATTATATGGGTGAATCGGGAAGTGTGAGCAGGTCAGTTTCGTATACCAGTATCTCGAAGCCCAAAACGCTGACTGTATTTAATGCTTATCCATGGTCCAGAAAACGTAACGAGTGTTTTGTTTAGTTTTTACAATCTTAATGTTTCAAAAGTAATTTATAATCTTAAATTTTCCTCTCAGCTCCGACGTCACAAACATTTTTAAGCGGCCACAAGTACAATTACGGTGTTGAGGGTACGGTGTCCATCTACCTGACGGGTGCCTCCAACCAGGAAACCAGCGTGAAGCTGCTCGGTCAGGTTTCAGTGGCTGCAGTGGGCAACTGTGTGCATGAACTTACTGTGCAGAATCTGGTCATCGGTGGACCTGATGGCAAGGTTAGTGTTCTATCCTCACAGAAAATCGAGAACCTATATATAAATATATGTTTAAAAAAAGCAAAATAATTTGAATACAGTTCGTCTCTTACATTTTTCTATTTTATCCTTTGGTGGAAAATATAGTCAACTGACTTTAAATTTTCTAATATTATAATATCTTTATTTTTTTATTTAACATTCTCCTCTTGTCTCCAGAAACACCACTGCCCAGAAGGCATCAACAAGCCAGTAAGGTTCACTTTACAAGATGGCCGCGTTGGTCCTGAAATCTGCGCTGAGGAGGATGATACTCGCCGCTCCCTCAACATCAAGAGGGCTATCATCTCCTTGTTGCAAACGGAACAGAAGTCTTCTACTCAGGTAATTAATTCGTAAAAACGACAAGGAAGTAAATAGTGTAAAATTAGTCTCTGTTTATATCTTGCGGTCGATATTATGCACTAACAGCAGGAAGCAGCAATTAACTAGCAGGAAGTTTAAAATTATGAGAATTTGATATGAACATGATGCTGCAACAGATAATCACATCATCACATCAACAGCCTTTAATAGTTCACTGTTGGACATAGGCCTCTCCTTAAAAATGAGGTTTTGGCCTACTATTCCACGCTGTCCAGACGGGTTGGTACAGGATTTGTGTCGAGTTATCCTTTTCTGCAGTGTTGTTGTCCTGCGTAGTTTTCTCCCTTAGTCGGCTCTTACGACACCCACTGTATGAATGACAATATCATAATATTAACAGTATATAGTTCATAAGCTTTGTAAGTGATGTGTTTAATCGAATTAAGTCATTTTTAGGTATTACTTTTTACAGTTTATGATTCACGTAAAGACGTACAAATTATTAATGGAATGCTCTCTATAAATATTAAGTAAATTACTGACTTTTAAAGTTTTTACTAACATCTGTAATAGTAAAGGCAGTTACTCTGTAAAGTGACCTGTTATGTTGTTTTGGTCTACACATTATACAACTTAAACAAATTGTTCTTCAGGTGGATGTCTTCGGTACCTGTCCCACTGAAGTCACTTCGTCTCAAGAGGGTGGTGCTGTTCTGGTCCATCGCAATCGTGACCTCTCTCGCTGTGGACATCGCGAACAAGGCCGAAATGAGCTGATCACTGGCGTCTTCAATCCTAGCGCTGTAAGTTGACTTTAGTATATCACCATCACTACTTAATTTTCTAGAATACTTTATTACTTTAGTCTTCAAACACAATTTTATTCATGTAGTTTCTTTTTAAAAATGGTAATTTCTTTAACGTTCCTAATGTCTCTTGGAATATTGTTGTATATACGCGAAGCTGTACAGAACATACTTTCATGAATTATATAATATATTCATATTTCAGCTTAAAAAACCTTGATTTCAATAGAATTCATCTGAAAAAAAAAATAGTGGCAATAAATGACAGAATCGTTATTTCTTTGCTAACATTCAACTTTATCTCAAACATCTGAATTTAGTATAAACAGACTTTAAGAAAAACTGAATAAAAGACATTGAGAAGCAGGACCTAAATTCAAAAATAAAATAAAACCTGAAGTAAAACACATTTCAATATTTTAAATCCTTTAAATATGTCTCAACTAATACTTAATCAACATATTCTATCAACAGGAAATCAAAGACACCCAAGTTCTCGCCTCAAGCTTGAACGTAGAAACCAAAGTCAACAATGGCGTACCTGAGAAAGTATCTGCGAACGAGGAGTACTTATACAGGCCCTTCTCTGTGGGAGAACATGGAGCCAGGGCGAAGGTCCACACCAAGTTGACATTAACTGGCAAAACGAAGGCCGCTAGTGCCCCAAGTAAGTTTTTAGAAGATCTTGATTATTAACAAAATCACCAGGAGTAGGTCAACAAAAATTGTCTAAGGTCTATTTTGAATGACCTACTCGAAGGTGCATTAGGAGATTTGACTCAATTTGACTTTTAAAAGAATTTCGGTGTCGGTGTCGAATCTCATTCGGTGCACATATTTAAATGCTTAAATATTTGTTTTTTTTTTTCATTCGTGTTTGAATGTTGTGTTGTGTGAGTATAATGTTTTACTTAAGTATGTAGGTACCTACATTTATCCGTATTATACAACCCACTCTAGATGCTTTTTGGTTTAAGTTGATTCCAGAAAACGCTGTTACGGTTAGTTTACACTTAAACAATAATTCTTTATACAATTTTAATTTAGTTTATTAAGTTGCATATTAACTTATGTTTAAATGCTCTTCTCTATCGAAGGTCACTGCACTGAATCCCGCACAATAATCTTCGAAGTCCCCCACGGTGCTAGTACGGTCCAGAATGGTATGCAGGCGGCACTTCAAGCCGTCAAGGAGACCGCCAGATCCATCGCCAAGGAATGCAGTTCTAAGTCTGCTGGCAGCTTTGCACATCTTATCAGGGTAATAACCGTGATTTCACATCGCTATCCCAAATTTAACGAAATTTAAATCTATTTGAAAAACAATATTAAAAAATTTGCAAAATGCTGCCATTTACTCGTCTTTGGAATTTCCATAAATTTATATTTTAAATTCCATATATTTATAAATTATATATTTTAAATCAATTGTTAAAAAGCCCTGTTTTAATTTTCAGGTTCTCCGCCTGTCCAGCAAGGATGATCTCATGAAAGTCTACAGCCAAGTCAAGGGCAACAATGTTGAAAAGTAAGTCTGCATTTTGTAACCTATATTTAGGTACAGTTAGGTATAACTACATAACATCTCAAGAAATGCTTAAATTGAGATCAGAATTTGGATGATTATGACAATAATGCTGGTTTTCAAAAATATTTTTTAAGAAGGTATACTACCAGCAGTGGACTGCGATAGGCTAATGATGTGATGTGATGTAATACGACGAACATGTTTCGTCATCAATAAAGGCATATCACATTCCAATTTACAGAGAAAATTATCACAAAGCTCTTATGAGAAGCTGTTTTAAGAAAAAGGAATATAATGTTGTGTACATACTTGAAATATTATGTGTTCTAGGAGAGTCTTCCTTGATGGTCTTCTCCGGACTGGAACCGGATACAGCATTGAAGCCTCCATCCAGCTTTTAAAGAATAATGAACTCGGATATGTAGAACAAAGATTAGTATTCCTCTCCCTGGGTAACGCCAGGCACGTTAACAATGAAGCTATTAAAGCCGCTGCTGTAAGTACTGCCTATGTCTTGGAATTCCGATTTGAAACAGGCTTTCAGTCCAGATTATATTCAATGAACAATATTATTTCCAGGCTTTACTGGACACCCCGCACTTGCCTAAAGAAGTATTTATCGGAGTTGGAGCTTTAGCTGGTATTTTCTGCCGCGAACATCAGTGCCATAGGGTTAAGAACGATGGTGTGACAGCTCTTAGCCAGAAGTTTGCAGCTAAGCTACAGAACTGTCGCCCGAAGAACAAGTTTGATGAAGATAATGTAAGTATCGGTATTCTGAAACAAGTTTAATCTTTTTTTTTTCCTAAGTGAAAACGTCTCTTATTTAACTCTGTCATTACAGGTTGTAGCTGTATTAAAAGGTATCCGAAACATCCGTCACTTGGAAGATAACTTAATTGAGAAACTGACCCACTGCGCACTGGATAATAACGTCAAACCTAGGGTTAAAGCTGCAGCACTTGAAGCTTTCCAGGCTGATGCTTGTGCCCCTAAGGTAAAAAGATCTACAATTTCATTGTCACATGTTTAAGTGTTGTGTTTCTTTAATAGTATTACAAAATTATTTTTAAACAGCTAAAGAAGACGGCCATCGACATCATGAAAAACCGCCAGCTGGATTCTGAGATCCGCATCAAGGCATACCTCGCCATCATCACATGTCCTTGTGCTCATTCGGCTTCTGAAATCAAAAACTTGTTGGACTCTGAGCCTGTTCACCAAGGTACTGGGTCCTCACTTTTTTTACCATTTATCAAATATTTTACTAATTTTAATATTCATGATTTTATAAAAGAAAACACGTAGTCGCGTAAATTATAAATATTTTTATTTCTTTAATATATTTTTTATCTAATACATACATTCCTGACCACGCCTTTGATAAAGGATTCGGCATATATTCAGATGATAATTGGCATGTATATACATTTGCAGTGGGCAACTTCATATCTACATCTCTACGTAACATTCGTTCTTCTTCTAACCCTGACAAGAAACTCGCTCGCCAACACTATGGACTCATCAGGATCCCTAACAAGTTTAACAATGATGTCAGGTAAACAAATAGAAATATTCCATATGACATTTATCATTTTACGAAGGATTTGTATACTTATAACATTTTCTTCTGCAGGAAATACTCTTTCTCCGAGGAAGAATCATTCAATATTGATGCCCTTGGTTTGGGAGGTAACGTCGAACAAAACGTAATCTACTCTCAGGATTCCTTCTTGCCGAGGTCTGTGGCTGTAAACCTGACAACTGAAGTCTTCGGACACAATTTGAACGTTCTTGAGGTAAAATTTATTAAATTTATGATTTATTCATCTCTTTTGTCAAACAAGATGGAAAGGGTTTCGTTATCTCAAATGTTGTAATCACTCTATTGATGTAAAAATAGAGTAAAACAATTGCCATTACCAATGTCTACCATAATCGGTCAAATTATTTTCATTAAAAAATAAAGAAAAGATTCTACATTTCCATTCCTACATATTTTTTTAGGTCGGAGCTCGTCAAGGCAATTTAGACCGTGTCTTGGAACATCTTTTGGGACCTAAAGGTTTCTTCCGCACAGAGGATTTGCAGGATATCTACAAAAAGTATATAGCTGGTCCTTTTGTTGAGTACACAGAGAAGGCGGGCTCTCGAGGCCGCCGTTCAGTCAAGTCTGATGTAGATAGTTTCGACAAAAATGTAAGTTTTTTTGATAAATTCTTCTAAATTTATTTAATTTTTGTTATTTAGATTTACTAAAAGAAAACATGTTACAGCTAAAAGCGGAATCGGTTCCATACAACAACGAATTGGATTTAGATATATACGTCAAGCTGTTCGGCACTGACGCTGTATTCTTATCTCTTGGCGATGGAAAGGGCTTCGATTTTGACAAAATCATGAAAGATATCATGGTGTTCGTTAACAAAGGCATTGATGGAGTCAAGCACTTCCAGGTAAAATGATTATGTATAGTCAGAATTAATTCTTTAAAAAAATTAAATATTTTTTGCTGTATTCTCTTCTTTAACATGATATGATGATATGATATGATGATTTGCGTTTTCTTTACAGCAAGAAGTTCGCGCCAATCTTCTTTTCTTAGACGCCGAACTTATTTACCCTACGTCTACTGGTTTCCCACTCAAACTTGATCTAATCGGTGCCGCTACTGGTCGCTTTGATGTCGCCTCTAATGTAGACATTCGCCAGATTTTGAAAAGTCCACAGGATTCCAAAATCGACGTCAAACTAATACCCAGTACTGATATAGAAATCACTGGTGCCTTGTTAGTGGATGCCGATGCCGTCTCTACCGGTCTGAAAGTCATCGTTAACTTGCACAGTTCAACTGGAGCACATGTGGTCGCAAAAGTAATAGAAGGTGGTCGTGGATTCGATCTACAGTTTGGCTTGCCAATTGACAAACAAGAAATCATAACCGCTTCCAATGATGTGGTTTATTTCCATGCCGAAAAAGGCCAAGAAGAGAAACATACCGCTGTGAAGACTGACACTGTAGTAAAAGAAAATCATGCCTGCTTTGACCAAGCTGCTGACTTTTTAGGTATTACTGTTTGCGGGGATATGTCATTGCCTTTCACTTTCTCTGGACCTGAAGCCCAGGCTTCTATCTCTAGGTTCGTTGCAAGCTATCCATTATCTGGATCCGCCAAAATACGTCTTTACCTAGAAAAACAGTCTCTCAGAGGCTATCATATTAAGGGACTATTGCGATCAGACCAATCTGGAAAACAAGGTTTTGAATTATTATTTGATGCTGAAGGAGCTAAGAGCGGCCGTGCTCAGTTATCTGGAGAATATGTCTACAATGATCATGCAATCGGTGCCCAGATCTCACTAGACTCCGCTATTAAAACTGTTTTTGGTCAGGTTGCATTCACCCGCAGTTCTTCAAAGCTGACCCTCGTCGTCAAAGGTAAATATGATGCCAATGATGTCTACGGTAAAGTTGGATTCAAGGTCCAAGGTGGCGGTGCGCGTACAGTTTACACACCTATCGCTGAATATAAAATGCCCGGCGAAAAGGAAAACCATAATATTCCCATCTCTGGTAAAGTCATTGAAGAAGTCAATGGACCTAGAAGGAAGTATACTATTGAAGATGTTAAAGTTAATTTACCAAATGTGAAGGACCCAGTCTGCATTGATGGAAACGTAGCCTCCTCTGGTCCGAAAGACGTAGAATTTGAGGTTATCGTAAAAGAGCTCGCGACATTCAAGGGTTCATTGAAGAACTATGATCTCTTCGCCGAGTTTTTAAACAAGCTAAACCCGTACATCAACTTCCGCTTGAAAGGACACTTTGAATGTGACCAAGTTGTAAGTAGAAGAATTTTCATCTTCTTTTACATACTTTGTAAGTGCTGAATTCATGTATTTAAAATTGTTCACTTATTTCTAGACCCGCAATGAGATTGACTTGATATACGGTGGTGACTTGAAAAATAACCAGAACCGCGTTATTCTTGGACACATGTACAAATACCACAACTCTGAGAAGGACTTCAATTTCATCACAAAGAATAAGTGTAAGTGATTTTTTTTCTTGTTGATCGTATTGACCTTACTCTGTACTCGATGGTGAATTTACTTAGTATATATATATATATTTATTTATTTATTTGAAGGAAAACCAACAGCTTTAACATTGAGATAGTGACAATAATATAAAACATTTAGCCAATTAAAGGTCTTCACAGATAAGCACTATTTTACATAATTTCATGCGGCCAATGTATGTATCATATTAATTACACATATGCTATCACTCAATTACAAGAAAGGGAGAAAGAAATCTTGGCTTAGCACCCGACGTACTGTAGGTATTTTAGTGTTGAAAATATCAATGTCGTGTGATTCGCAGATGTTATTTAAGGTCTTGCTAGCTCGCCAAAGAAACGTATTCCGTCGATAATTTGATGATGCATTGGTAAGGTGAATAGGTGCTTTATGTCTCATATTCCTTATATATATTTTGATGATCGAATACTTAAGCAACCGGAATACACTTTTAGTAAGAAAATGACAAAAATGACGTTGTTAATTTTTTATTATTTATGATATTGCTCTTGTAGTCTTTACATAAATTTATCTTCTCTTTTCGACAGTTGAAATCTGCGCTATTCCTTTGAAGGCTCGCTTTGACATTGATGTTGATCCTAAAAAGATTGACGTATCAGGGGAAGGACAATACTTGGATAGGCAAGTATCATTTGATTTGGACGGACGTACCCACATTAAGAAACAAGGAGACTACAGCTTGAAATTAAAGGCTGAGGTAGACAAAAATGGCCTCGAAGTATTCTCTAAGAGGGACATTGTATCGCCTGATAAGTCTAACTTTGAGAACTACGTTGACTTAAAAAACGTTGGCAAGTACGAGCTATCCGGAGTTGTTTTGCACAAGACCAAACCTAACGACGTAAATGTTGGCGCTGTTGGATACCTAAAAATAACCGTAGGCAGCAAATGCCAGGATATCAAGTGAGTGATTGTATACAATTTATTAAATATTGGAATAAACATCTGATAATTTAATAGAGTGGCTGTGTGATTGTTTGCTCGATTTCTTTTTATAATTTTAACCTTTTGAGTACGGGTGTTAGTTATAAATTAAACAAATATTTTTGAATTTACTTACATATTTTGTTTATTTGGCTTTTGACATTGTCCCCGCTGGAAATCATTGGGAGAGGCCTATGTCCAGCAGTGGACAAGCATAGGCTGAGGTGATGATGATGATGATTGTGTTTTGATTTATGAGTAAATTATAATTGATCAAGTCTGTGAAATAAACATTTTAAATTTGAGGTTGTGTGAGATTATTTAAAAATTTCTAGTCAGTTCTAATCTTAAATCTAGTAATTACAACTGAGTATTTAATAATCTAATATTTATTTGCGTTGTTTCTTTTAGATTTGATATTGGACAAATTGAGACTGCCAGCCTTTTCTCGTCACATGCTAAAGTCTCAGAAAACCAGGATGAGTTCCTCGACTTCCTCCTAAAGATTAACCGTGGTGCCAATGCGAACGGACAACTCAAACTTAACGTCAAGCAAGCTATTGGTGCAAATGGTTCATTCAAAATTACTGACAGCAATGGTCAGGGCAACGGCATGATCATCGTTGACTTCAAACAGGTGGGTTACAATAAACAAACTAAAAAGAGTTTCTATAATAATGTAATATATAAAAATAATAATTCTAAAATGGCAATGTATATCTAATATATTAATGATAAACTTCTTATTCTAGTCTCAACGCAAGATCAAGGGTGACTTCAAATTCACGGCAAAGTCTCCAAACTATGGTGCTGATGTAGACCTCTACTTTAATTATGAAAAGGATAACAACGACAAAGTACACATCAGTACAGCGACAAAGACGACCGAAACACTGACAGATTCCAAGTAAGTGTAAACTTTTCTAACTATTCTTCAATCTTACCAGTACCAGATAGGTAGGTCAGCAAGATGATTTAATCGTCAGCTAGGTCGAAGTCGTTGGCTCAACGATATGTTCTGTTTCTGGATGCAATTTATCTACAATGTGTATTGCAGGTATTACTAATAATATTTTTGATTAAGGTACAATAGGACTAGACAATGCGCTAACTGTTTATTAGTTCTAAACTGTAATTTTGATTCATTTGTATTAAAAAATCTTGCGAATTACAATAAAAAACACGGTGAGTTTTTTTACAGGAACAAATTTGAGTACAATAACAGGAAGTTCGAACTTAACGTACATCAAGAGGGAGTATTCGACACAGTTGGCAAAACCAACGGCTTAGTAGAACTTGTGTTGCCTGAAGGAAGATGCCTCACCTTCAAGTTGAACCGCGATATCACTAACAGCAATGGCGTAAGTTGAGCTATTATTATCTCAGTTTAATTCCCTACATTAATTTAATAACATGGTAATGTTATACATTCTGAAAATACCAAGGTTCAAAAATACAACATATACAACATTCTGAGATATGATTATTATTTTTTCAGAATTACAATGGCGTTGCCGAGATGGTTATCTCCGATGCTTCCAAGCGTGGAGCAGCTGACTCTAGTATTAGCTACAAAGGCAAGGTCACTAACGCCAACTGGGACAAGGAAATATTTGATTACCAAGGACTAATAGAAGTGAAATTGAAGGATGGCAGGAAGTTATCAGACAATTTTGCCTTCAAGAGGGTCCCCGAGGGTGATAAGTTTAAGTTCGAAGGAAAGGTAAGACTATTGTATAAACAACATAAGTTATTTCCAAATTGCTGTACTGAAATAAATGATAAAATCCTTAAAGACAAAAAGGGGACGGCTCAATCTGCACCTACCACCACTGTCCATTTTTGTTTATTTTCTCCATTGACAACTGTGTGGGCTACAGAGTTTAGTATAATTCAAAAATCAAAAATCGGTTTGTTGTATCTCCTCGACATAGAGACAATTCCTATTAACATGGCCATCTACATGAATAAAATCAAAACATATGGAAGCTTGTCGTAATGTTTTAATAACTTTAATGATCGGGCTATAATCATTTTATAATAAAGCCAATATAAAATAAAGCTCATGAAAACGATTATTTTAATAGAAGAATATAACCATATATATGCAATTTATAATTCTATATAATGTATGAAGCAAATATTTATTTCTGAAGTGATGTTGAAAAATAAACAAAGATACAATATTTACTTGTTCATTTGTCATCAGGTGGAAGTTACTGGCAACTTAATACCCAAACCAATTGCTTTATCCGGTTTCTACATCGACACGGATTCTATCACCAATAGTGACGATAAATATCGTCTGAAGGCTAGTTACGGTGATGATACAAACTTCGAGCTCTTCGGAGTCTTTGTAGCGAAGTTCTTGGAAAATGGTGAAAATAAGTAAGTTATTATTAAAATCAAATTATACTTTTCTGATATATTTATATTGATGACTTACTAACATATTGTAGATATTGCAACGATAAGCGTAATGACCTCACTATTTGCACCAACAATGTACGAGTATAATATTTATTACACCGTTTTCTGGTTTCTCTTAGACAGAGTTCTCCAAATTCTTCTTCTCCAAAATCGCAGATATTATAGATATTGCAACGATTAGCGTAATTGCCTCACTATTTGCACCAACAATATACGAGTATAATATTTATTACACCGTTTTCTGGTTTCTCTTAGACAGAATCCTCTAAAAACTTCTCTCCAAATTTAACCTAAAGAAATTCTATCTCACAGTTACATCTCACACAATTTATTGTCTACATTCTTTTTTGTATTACTAAGCTTCTCAACATTTTCACCAGGTACGTGAATGACTACACTGTAACCATAAGACTGCCCTTCGAGAAGGCCCATGACCTGAAATGGGTCAATACTGTAGTATATGTGCGACCCGACGGCAAGGATGAGATTGAGGTAAATAGACTTTTTCACTCTTTACCTTATAACGTTTATTTGCCTTTATTTTTATTGTCTTTGTTTTCTAGACTAACGAGATTAATTTAAACTAAGATTTTGAATCTCAAACTTCAAACTGTTAAAGTTAACAAAGAAGGGTTAATATTTTATATATTAATCCTAATGTTAAATTATTATTTTATTATTAGAATCTACTTAGATGTTCAAGATTTTTTTGTACTGCCATTTAGTTTATTTGTCAATTTATTGGAACTTACACCATTAAAGGCGAGACTGCTATAAAACAAAACTAACAATAATTCTCTCTTTAACAGTACACTTTGATCGAGCTGATGCAAATAAACTCTGACGTATACAAAATTGATGCAAATGGCAAGGGCAGCGCTGAGACAGGCTACGGCACCGTTAAGTTATTAGTGCCACACGTGGATCCCCTCGTGTTGGACATTAAGTACAAGAACAACGAAAACCGTTAGTATTTAAAGTTAGAACTTAACCTTTATTCGTGTAACCCGTGGTCGTCCCTGTGGTATTTTGTGGTAGAAAATTAACAAAACCAACACGGTGTTTCATACATCGCTTGCATGTTTACTAAGGCGCTGAAAGACGCGCCCTATACTTTAGAACCTAATTCTACAGTCAAAGAGATAATAAATTGTGAGATTTACTTCAAGGTGACACTAGAATTATACACAATAACTTCTTATTTTCTGTACAGAAGACAAATATGACAGCCACGTTGAATTAAAGGCAAAATATGGCAAGGGCAAGTCTGCGAACATCGTGACAGATGCTTCGGTGGCGCCAAGAGATAATAGACTCAGTTTCAAAGCCAGCGCTCCTCATGCCGAGAAATTCAAAAACTTTGAATTTGCCGTGCACTCTAAGGTAAGGAGAATATCTGATATTAAATCTGGTCTATCTACAAACTTGTCCACTATTCTAATCATCACATCAACAGCCTATACTAGTCCACTGCTGGACATAGGCCTCTCCTTAGAAAGGAGGTTTTGGCCTACTATACCACGCTGGCCAGACGGGTTGGTAAAGGGTTTGTTTCAAGTTTTCCTTCTCTTTGCAGTGCTGTTGTCCTGCTTAGTTTGCTCCCTTAGTCGGCTCTTACGACACCCACGGGATGAATTGGGGTGGTGACAATTTGTATTCTTAATCCGTGACCACACGGACTACTATTCTAATAAATGTAAATATTGTCAATATTTTTGGAAGCTTATTGACATTATTATTTCCAGAACCCAACTCCTGACACCTACATCTCCGATGTGACAATTGACGCTGACGGTCATGTTTATAAGTCAGCATCAAACTTCGTCTTCTCCAAATCCAACCCTGTAATTGATGTGAAGTACTCAAGCCCTGACAACCCCAATAGCAGCAGGTATGTAAAATAGAAGAAAATATTAATTAGTTTCCACAACATAATGGTATCTTATCAAAGAATCTGATAAGCAGTAATATAGATATATACAAAAAATATCTTTAAATATAGGTATATGAGCCTTTAGCAAAGCTCATCTGTTGCAAAACTAAAAAGTAATAAAGCTGAAAAGTTGTTTGTTCGCTTATGGGCTCTAGTGCTACCCGCAGTCGTATCCAAATAAGTCTGTATCGTAGAGAATATTGATTAAGAAAGATTATAGAATACGTAACATTACTCTCAGACGCAGTAATCATAAGCGTGGCTAAACTATATGGCTAGTATTTAATCAAAGTTTTTGTAGCCGCCACCTTATATGAAGCTCCGCAAACATCATAAAAGTTTTATTTCCTTTATTAAGGTTCTTCGTTAAAGGCAACTCCCTCAGCTCGACTCAAGGTAAAGTGGAAGTCAAGATTGAAAACATTCGTGAAGTCTCATTAGACGTGATCAGTGAGGCTAGCATCCAAAAAGATAACATTGATATCAAGACAGTTGCAAACTCCGAAAAATTGGGCTGGAAGAACTACAATGTCGAGATCACCAGTAAAGATGCTGGAAGCGGCAAAAGGTTGGAATTCCATGCCACTAATGACAACAAGAACATTTTTAGCGGAAGGTAAGACAATTGAAAACAACTCACATACTGCACGTAGCTTCCGATCCTACAACTTTATCATTGTTGCAAAATTCATTTATTTAATCATCATTCTCTATTTTCAGTACATCCTTCATCAGCAAACAAGAGGGCCCTAAAACGATCATTGAAGGTTCTGGCGCAGTAAAGGTACAAGATGAGCAAAAATCTGCCAACTTTAAGTACATCAGAACTATTTTGGGAGATGGCAACGAAAAGGGTATTGAGGTACGCAGACTCTGTGCAAAATTATATCTATTAAATTCATTAAATGATAATTATTATGAAACATGATTAATAACTATTACTTTTATTATTTTATCAATAGACCTTCTTCGACATGGCAATCGGAGACCGTAGTTACGTGGCTGAATCTAGAATAACCAACCTGGAATACAAGAATTCTTACCTGTACTGCGAACAGAAAAAACAATGCGCACATGCTGAACTGGTGTCTAAAATCGATTTATCCAGTAAGTTTCTATGTAATTTTAAGACATTTTCTATTTTGAAAACTAAACTCGCTTAACACATATGCTTATTATCTGGGTAAACAATTAAAACTTTACATTGACTGTAGTAGTTGATGATTTGATTTAACTTAATTTCCATAATAACAGTAGTTTTTATCACACATCATTCCTAAAGCGGCTGAAATTCTTCAAGATGTTACTTCCTAGAGTTTGTTTAATTTAAAAAACTTGTCTTCAGAATCTGGAACAATCCTGAACACCGTAAGCGCCAGCTTCGACTTACGTAAACTTGGTATCGCTCCTGAGTTCGGTTTGAATATCAAGGATGAAGTATCCGACAAGAAGCTGCCACAGTACACCATGGATGTTCACATCAACAAAGAAGATAAAAAGTTCCATCTCCACGTTTACAATACTCCCGAATTCGGAAGTAAGTATTATAGAAATTTAATAAGAATACAGCTTTAGATATTCTGACACATACGGTAAAGACACATACACGATAAAGAAACAAAATAATGTTTCGAAAATGTATTCTAAGTAACTCGTCATCTAAACAATATTTATTTGCAGATGCCAAATCTGGAATTAATCTTCATCTACCGCACCGTGTCTTGGCCCTCGAATCCGTTGTGTCTTACCCAACTAACAAGGCTCTGCCTTTCCCTGTCCGTGGTGAAATCTGCCTCGATATGGATAAGAACAAACAGGGCCATAAGACTTCAGCCCGGTTTTTGGTAGACCTGGACGTAAGTAATGAAAAGAACCAGTTCGCAGTGGCCGAATTTGCATTCAATCATCCCAAATTGAGCAAGGTATGTTGTTATTTATCATCTATTGATAGACTTGACTTTTCGGCCAAGGATTATGCTCAATGGAAATAGATAAAAATTCTTATAATTATATATATATATATATGATACAATCAGATGATAAATTCGCAAGATGGCTGGCAGGAGCTGGATGCGAGAAGTCGTAAATCGATCTAAGTGGCGTGAAATGGGAGAGGCCTATGTCCAACAGTGGACTGCGATAGTCTGATGATGATGATGATATATATATTACTTAGTATAAATTATACATGATTGACATTTATTTTATAGATATTTGTTGTTAAATATTTTGTGTTTATAACTTATTTGTACATTTTTATTTCAAAATTATGTGTTACTGTCTACAGGAGGCCATTGTTAAAATCAATGGAAACATGAAACAACCTGCTGCGAATAGTGTCAAGATCGAGACCTCTGCTTCATTCTCACACCCTGTCCTTGGAGCTGTAAGTTTCAAAGAATTAAAAATAACATCTACCTTAGATACACATTATTTTTACTTATAAAACAATTCTTTATTTTTTACAGGACCGCGAATCTAAGATCTTACTGGAAGCTTCGCCAAACCACATCAAATTCTTGGTAAGTGTATTTTAACTTTGATGCTTTCACTTACAAAGTGTATAAAATAATCGTAAAAGATTTTTGGAGACTACTTTGAGTTACTCGCTTTAAAACTTAAAAAAAAAACTCTTATAATTTTATTATTATTATTTACTTGTATAATTTTCTCTAATATTAAATTTTGATGTGTAAGAGATCACAGCTAATATTGTTTTGCTTTGTACCCATCTGGAAAATGACCTCATAACGCGATACAAGACTAATAAGTAGGAATGATAATGTTCTGCGTATTTTTTTTATTTGCAATTGATGTTCTGAGTCTGGGTGTTTTTTTTGTCTGTGTTATGTATGTTTGTAAAGTCCCCTGCGACACAAGATGTCTTATTACTGCGGGAGTTTTCTTTAAAAAAAAAAAATTCTTCTGTTCTGTGTGCAGGTTAACACCCCTCTCGTCAAAGTGATTGATATCGAAGGATCAGCAGTTATCAAGGATAACCTGCAGAAGGGAGACTTTAAAATCTGTTTGCTGGAGGGCAAGCCGGTTCAAGTGACAGCTATTGCTAAAGATTACCAGTACTTCGAGTTCACTACAGGTTATAGCGGTGATTATATTAAAGTGTTCTGTGAAATGCAGCACTACCATTAAGTTCTTCATACACCACAAACATTGATTAATTTTATCGATCACATTTAGATTTCTGTAACCAGACATATTGATATTCAACTTACTTATTTGCAACTTAATTTTTAAAAAGGAGATCAACCAATTTTCTTCTACTTTACAGCTGAATCGGACCGCAAGCTGTCGTTCGTGGGTCACGTCCAACCTGAGAAGCGTCTGGACTTCAGTACCGATATTGTGCTAGGAGGCGAGAAGAAGAACATCGTTCATGGAGCACTATTTATTCAAGATGACCTAATTAAGAGCGATTATGGAGCAGATAAGAAAAACTTTGAATACTTCTTGGTTAGTTTTGAGATATGTTTGACTACCAACTCTTATTATACTTCAGATTTAGATAGGAAGGTTTCTTTTAACGTTGTCAGGTATTCGTAGAACCAACAAATCAAAAGTAATTTTCACAATATTCTTCAAATTTTCCTTTTCATTTCAAATATTTTCTTTAAATACTGCAAAATACAGTTTTAGCTATTTAATCATTCTTACCATATAACCATTTTCATCCATAGAATGCCCTTAAGAAGGACCTGGAAAATCTCAGCGCTCGTATCAAGAGCCTCGGAGACAAAGCCAACAACGACTTCAAGGCTATACTGAAACGCGTCGAGCCGACCCTTAAGAACTTAGAAAAAACTTACACTGCAGACCTTGATAAATTCTACCGAGAAGTTGTTGACGACAAGACTCTACAAGAAATCTCTCAATCTTTGTAAGTAACATTTTAATTATTTAAATCTGAGCTCAGTAGTCTAAACAAAAATGAAATAGGCGACTAAATGAGTTTCTTATTAAACTTACAAGGGTTATACAAAAGAAGTTCTTAAGACATCGCTTATAACGTGCTTCTACCGAAACTAAGTACAGCTTTTACTACAGGCCCTAGAACATAAATAATTTAACAATTATTTGTTACGTCAATAATACATGACCTTGATTATTTTAATCATTGTTTCAACTACTTCTACGCTTGTTTCTCCAGCCACGACATCGCTCAGTATGTTGCTAAGATGATTGACGAAGTGATTCAGGCCACCAAACCTATCGTAGACCAAATCACGCAGCTGTACATCGAATCTGCTAAGAAGATTCAGGAAATGTATGAGAAGCAGGTAAGTGCAAGAGATAAACTGTGACGTGTGTCCGACAGATATTTTCATTTCTTTCCTAATCTAATCATTCACTTCCAGATTGAGCCTCAACTGAAACAACTGGAAGCTACTATCGCTGCTGTTCTTAAGGAATTCTGGGAAGGATTGCTCTCAGTGGTTACTCACTTCGTGAGCTTGGTTGTAGACTTCTATGAAAAGCATAAGCCAGAACTTGAGGAGCTCACAAATATTCTCACCAACATTTTCAAGGGTAAGACGTAGTTAACTATTATTATATTAATTAAACAGAAATGCATATTGTAATTGTTATAACCGACACACACATATATATACAGATATAGAAGATACACATATCTATACAATATTTAGAATTTATTTTTGTACTTATCTTGAGTTTCCTTTTTAGACTTGACTCGTCTGCTGGTGGTTCAACTAAGAGAACTCCGTGCTCGCCTCAATGAAGTGTATCGTGAAGCCAGTGAACAGTTCGGTCAAATGCCTCTCTTCGCAATGCTTAAAGAGAAGGTAAGTTAATAAATTTAACAATAATTTGATACGTATCAATTCGAAAGACACCGCCATATTATACTGCCAGTAATATACAGAGTTAATTAGTAAGCGATCACTGTTAACTTGGGACGTTTCCCAAACCATGGATTGCCTTCCTGCCATCCACGAGTTTAAGCCCCGTTCACTACCTAAAACTAATTTAGCTAAAGATTTTAAAGTGCTAATAAACAAATTGTAGCTTAAAAAACCATAGTACTCTTCAGTGGTTAGTAGACACTCAACTCGAAAACGACAAGTTACTTTGTATAAGAATATATATACAAAGTATACTTACTTAGTACCAATTTAATAAAACTACAACATCAAAAAAATCACAACATTATCATCATATCATTTCATACGGTATAATAATTATTGGCTTGCTTTAATCAACTTTCGCTCTCTTTATTCTCAGTACCAAGAGTTAGCTGTCCCAGAACAAGCCTTGGCTCTTCTCCAAGAAGTATACCAAACCGTTCGCGCTCTGATCCCTACACCAGAAGTGAGAGATTTCCTTGACGCTGTGTACAAATACCAGGTTAAAGTAAGTACTTATCAGCAGTCTTCTGTAAAATCTTTGACAATAATACTTCTCAATTTATAATGTATTCTAACTGTAAATGTTATTCTTCTAGAAACTGAAGCAAGAGCAGTGTGACGACCAGAAAGAACTTCGCGAAATATACAAGAAGTTGTCTCCAGCTATCACTTCTCTGATCCAGTTCATCCGTAACCAACTTGGACAGTTTGGTATTACCCCTGGCATTGCTGGTATCAGCCCGGTTAGTACACAAATATTTATGTAGTCACGTTGATTATAGTCTAAATTAATTTGACTTATTATCTTTTAATATAAGACCCTTACACAGGATAATATATATTTCAATTTCAAATAAAGGGTAGTTCAAACCCCTCTGCCCCTTCCTATGTATATTACAACGAAAAATATAAGGCAATAATTAATTGCTGGGTTTAGTAATACTTTTAAAATAAAAATATACTTGCTTCTTTCAGTTCTCATTCACTCCTGAAAGCCTGCAATCAGCTCCTATTTTCGGAGGCTCAGCATCTGCCAGTCTTCTCAGTAAACTGTTGAGTGGTGATTTCCCAGACGTGATCGCTGCGATCAAGGCCTACAGACCGAGGAGCTTGAATCCGTTCGATGAAATACCCGCCAAACGTAAGTTAACAAAGTATTTATTTAATTTTATAAAGTAAATTATATCTGTATCTGTAATTGTATAGTGTTTTAATATTTTTGCAAAAAAAAAAAAAAAACTGAAAAGGAGGTTTTTGTTGAAAATTATCCTCTTGTTAATTTATTCCCCATTAGAGACTTAGTCAATAACTGATAGTAAACTTAAAATGTGTAGTTGTTATAACAAATTTTAACTTATCTAAAACTTTGTACATCACATTGGCAGGACTATGATGAAGTACTAAATGAGCGTATAATTGCACAACACCAGGACGGATTTCGTATTAAAAACTATAGTACATTTAATTAAATTCAATTTAAAAATGTGTAATATCCAAAATCTTATTGTTCATATCTTGTCCAGTCCGTGCCGTGGTAGTTAACGGACAGCACATCTTCACCTTCGACGGTCGCCACTTGACCTTCCCTGGCAATTGCCGCTACGTCCTGGCACATGACCACGTCGACAGGAACTTCACCCTCATGATGCAGTTGGTCAACGGAGCACCCAAATCTCTCATCCTGGAAGATAAGAGCGGTTCCATCATTGAGCTGAAAGAAAATGGAGCGGTAATATACTTTACTATTGCTTACCCACAGATAACTAAACTTATCAGACAGGTCTCCGAAAGTCTAAAATCCAGTTTTACGTAAAATATGGCTTTTAGACTTTTTAATAATTTATTAAATTTATGCATATTTGTTAAATAAATTTACCGTTCTCTACCTACGTTTAATTTTGATTACCTGTTCTAAAAGACTCGAATGCAATATTTATTTTACTTTTTGATGTTTCCAGTGCACCATCAACGGTGCAAACCATGGTTACCCCATCATCGAGAAGGACTCGTTTGCTTTCCGTCAGGCTAACGGACGTATCGGACTTGGGTCTCTCTACGGTGTAATGGTCATCTGTTCCAGCAAACTTGAGGTATATACATGATCATTTTCTTCCCATCTTTTCCCACCATTGACTGCATGGATGGCGTAGTGGTTTAAGAGGTCACCTCGCCGCTTCCTACTGCGCTGAGTATTGTGGGTCCGATCCCCACATGGGACAACACTTTGTGTGATTCACCAATTGTTGTTCTGAGTTTGGGTGTTCTTTGTGTCCATTTAATGTATGTTTTTAAAGTCCCCTGCGACAGAGAATATATTCAGTTCACTTTAAAAAAATAAAAAATTAAGTAAAAAACCTTTAAATGATTTTGTGATATCTTCCTATATTTTACTCTACTTTACACTTCCACATAACAACAGAGCATCATCAATACCACATAACTATTTTCTCTTACGTCTGATAACGCCTTTGCCCACCATATTAATAAGAGAAGTTGTTGGCCACGAACTGACCTTCATCCATGGCATAAATCCGACTTCAGCTCAGCTTACATCACCAATAGGAGAATAATTTTCAATTGTTCATTAAAGGTCTGCTCCATCGAAGTGAACGGCTTCTACTTAGGCAAGCTCCGTGGTCTGCTTGGAGATGGTAACAATGAACCCTATGATGACTTCAGAATGCCTAACGGAAGGGTATGTACTTATTTATATGATACCTATACAGCCTCCTGCTATTTACTTTTCTTATTTAAAAACTATTATTTCCAGATTTGTGACTCAGAAAGTGAGTTCGGCAACTCATACCGTTTGTCACGCAGCTGCCCGCAAGTACAGTCTCCTGAGCACAATCACCACCAAATGCACCACATGGCCCTGCCTCCAGCATGTGAACAGGTCTTTGGAGGCAACTCTCCACTCAGACCACTTAGCTTGTTCTTAGACGTTGCTCCATTCAGGTGATTTTCTTGGAATATCCGTTTTTTTACAGTAAAAAAAATATTTTTCCTTTCACCTAAAATTTGACCATTGATGATGACATAATTTTAAATTCTTTATCGCACCACTTAGGATTTTTTCCACCATCATCTTTAATTTATACTTTATTAACTGAAACATTGTTACTACGTCTTTCGTATGTATACGTAGCCGTTAAAAAATTTTACAGAGTACAGGAATACTATTATAAATGATTGACTTAAACTTGATAATTTAATAACGTAACAACCAAAACTTTTTTGTAGGCAAGCCTGCATTCACGCCTGTTCTGGTGACTCTGCTGAAGCTCTCCAAGAAGCTTGTGACTTGGCAAGTGGGTACGCAGTACTGGCCACTACCACCCTATTGCCAGCTGTTCTGCCCGAAGTCTGCGTGAAGTGCACGGACGCTGACAAACCTAGGAAAATCGGCGACACCTATGAACTTAAGGTTCCAACCAAACAAGCAGATATCATCGTTGCCTTTGAAACTACCATTGTAAGTACCGTTCCAATGGGATTGGAACATAATAACTTTAGTAAATTTTATGTGCTCGACTTGCTTTACTGTTCGCCTTCTACTGGTTTCATGTCACCATACAATAGCAGTCACTTGCCAGCGTGGTATAGTAGGCTAAAACCTTTTTTCTAAAGAGAGCCATATATCCAGTGTTGGCTGCAGGCTGTTGATATGTGTAATGAGATACAAAGTTGAATCAATTTTTTTTTTTGTTTAAGTGTAACTTCCAAATGATACTCTTTGCCACTTATCATATTAACTCGGTATCTCTTATCCAGGATAACGAGCAGAACTTCAAGAATATCGTCGTCCCTATCGTTTCCGACGTCATCAACGGACTTAAGAGCAAACGCATCAATGACATCAAGGTCTACCTCGTCGGCATCACCTCCAAATACCCCTACCCTATCGTTTATGACACTGACCGTAAGTATAAAAATTACTTGCTAATTTGATTATTAAATTATTCTCTGTCGTACATTTACTTTACCTTGATAGCCTTAGTATATGTATACTATCTAACTTACTTTCTACTTATACTTTCTAACTTTCTTGTTAAATTAAAGCTCAACTTTGGGCGTTTCGTTTATAACTTATTAAAGTATATCATTTGTCATTACAGCGAAACTTAAGAACGCCAAGGTTCAGTTTGACGACAAGAGCCGTTACAACCGCATCAGCAACAAAATTGACTACGGTCAGGATCCCATCCTGAAGGGAATCGCGTTCGCTGCCAAGTTATACGAGGACTTGACTATTGAACTTGGTAAGTGGTGTTTATTTTTCATTTTCTAAAAATATATCAAACCAAATTTGATTGAATTTTTTTTAGTAAGTCTATTTAGTAATTATTAAAAAGTTAAGAGTTAAGTTAACATGTAATGTTTGATTTGGTCTGAGTGTTTCTATGTATAATAAGTATGTATTTACAAAAAGAAAGTGTATATGTATTTATATCAGTTATCTAGTAGCCATAGTACAAGCTTTGCTTAGTTTGGGACTTAGTTAATTATTATTAATAACATATGTTGCTATTGCCAAATCTTTATTTTTAATTTTTATGTTATTTTTTTGTTTTATGGAACTACCCTAGTAGAGATGGTGTTGGAATAGGTGACCTACTTGTATGAATGAATTGTCTTTAATAATGTTTAACATTTCTTCCAGGCTTGACTAACGATGCTGTAGCTTACTCATCAATCTTCGACCTTCCCCTCCGTGCTGGTGCTGTCAAACACACTATTAACGTCCTCGGAGAGGAATGCGACAACCAATTCTTCTTGGTAAGCAACAGTTATGAGGTCATATTTATTATGCTATAGTATAGAACAAAGATTAAAATTACATTAGTCTTAGAGACATCACAGACGAGGTTAACTTATTTAGATGAATTGGTGGTCTGACGTTCTGTTCTGACGTTAACCACTCACTGGTCGTGGACGCCTATATATGTTTAAATCAAAGATTAATTTAATAAAGATGCTTAGAAATTTGAAAGCCATTTCATTATTAAAAAGTTACTTTTTATCTTAAAGTTCGAGGCTGTCCGCTCAGTGGTGTTCAGCGCTGTGGCCGAGAACATGGTGTACAGCCACTCCGTCATCGCTGTCACTCCTTCTCTCAAGATCGGAGGTGGCAAGAACTACAACCAGATTGTCGGTTAGTATTGACTATTTATCTGTGTTTTCTTCCTAGCAAGCTTTCGTGTTGGGACTGCGATACTGGTAATCTAATAGAATATTAGTTTTTTTCTATCCATCAGCTTTTTGTCTGATTTGTTCGATGCATGAACAAAATATTTTTCAATTTCTTTATCAACACTTGTGTGCTTCAGGTTACACCGAAGATGCTGTGATCATGCTGGGAGACAAGAAGGTGGGCAAGGAGGCGCACAACCTCAGGTCCTCTTTGGAAACAACGGCTGATGCGTGCCGAGACTTTTTTGAATCGGTGAGTTGAAAGCTATACATTTTTTACAAATAAGATTGCAAACAAGCAGCATCCACCTAATAGTAAGCATTAACCAGTATCTAAATACTTCCAATTAACAAATACTACATTTATGAGTATTTGATATAGTGAATACTTGCAACACAAACCTGAATACTTACTAATGGAAATATAACTGTTTTGTAATAACCATTTTATTTTATGTTTATTCCAGACTGACGGTATCGTCTTCTCGGCTACTAACTTCCACAAGCTGAACGCTGGTCAGCAGAAGCAGTACATCCAAACCGCCGCAGCCGCCATCAACCAGCGCCTGCTGCACGAGACCTTGGTCCAAGACTGCATATGCACTTACGTAGATCCCTTCAGGGCGCGTTCAGTTTGCTTCTCCAAAGACAAAAAAGAAGTGGTAAGTTGATCCACACTCGAATTAATTTAAACACTCACTTTTCTGTGGTTGTAATATAGCAACAGAAGCTGACAAAGTAAAATTAAAGCGACATTAAATATACTCCAATCAGATTATTTAATGCCTACCACTTTATGTAATGTTTTTCTTCCCAACGTCGTTTTCTTCAAATTACAATACTCTTTAAATACCCTAAAGAAAATAGAATGAAATTACAACATTTTTCATTAATTAATAGTTATGTAACATACAAACTTTCCTCGATAAATGATTTATCCAATACTAAAATAATTTTTCAATCCGAAGTCTTTTTTTGAGATTAGCGAGTTCAACCAAACAAACAAAAAAACGAACTCTTCAGCTTTATAATATTAGTATATGTCTAACAATCACTTTTGTTGTGTTGAATCCACACTAAGTATTATTAGAAAGGCACCCATTAAGTTCACCCCTAACGTTATATATTTTTGTCGACAGGCTCGCCGTAGGAAGTAAGTCTGCTCTCGAACTGTGATCGACAAGTGCCAAATGTACCAAATACTCTAGCCTTAATTTAGTACCTACATCGTGCAAGTGAAACACACATATATGTTGTATACGAGTATCTCACTCGCACGATAGCATCCCTGCTATGAAAACCTGAAACGACATCTACATTACTGAACCACATTAATTATTCTCTGACCTTGTCACTCGTACGGCTTACTATTAGTCTCTGTAAGTAGAGAGAAAGAGACAAGAGGTATGATGTTGTTTGAAGTTTCCATAGTGGCATTAATTAATAATTATTATGATTATAATGACTGTCATCAGAATCTGTTGTATTTATGAGTACCGGACCGTCACGTGGTACGAACGACTCTGTATTAGATATAATAAATATATTATTTAATAAACCATTACTTTTATTTTCCTTGAGTATCGTAAGTGCCTAATCATAAAGGTTCAGAACAACTGCTTTAACACGACTTCTACTTATGAAAGCAGAAACCGCAAGAGGACCACATAACAGCAACCTACCAAAACAGATGTTAAAAAAAAGCAATAAAACATTATGTACAGACTGTTATCCGGCTAATAAATTTAAAATAAAAAGCAGCGATGTGGTAAAACTTGTAATGGCTGATCAGTACAGAATGAAGTTAACAATGGTAATGTACCGACATCTATGTAATATATAACATAAGCTTAACGCCACAAAAAAGTAGATAAACGTCCTAAGGGCATACGCACTATTGCGCACGCGAATTAAGTAGGCGCTTCAACACATTATATGTATTAACTGAAGTATCATCTGTACTGCACTGAATATAACCTAAAAATATATAAATACCTGCTCCAAACAAATATCTATTTTTTACTTCAAATCTTCATCGAGTTTCTTTCTTTCGTTTTGAAAACACAACTCCGTGTCACGGTTTACTTTACAAATATACATGAAACGGACACAAAGAACACCAAGACTCGGAGCAACTATTTGTGGAGCACACAAAGTGTCGTCTGGGAATCAAACCCACTAGTAGGAACTTAGGTAGCGGCGAGGTGACCGCTTAAGCCACTACGCCCTCCGTGCAGTTAAAAGTCATGTTTATACGTAATCTATGGGCCATAACCATACAGCATTATTGTAGTAATTAAAAATAAAAATAAAAAGCGTTTCTATATTTGTAAGGTCATTTAAAATACATTGATCATGCTACATACATTCTGAGAGGTTACATATTATCTCATCTACATCGGGTCGGGATCAAGTGATAGAACTGATGATTTCTGGAGCCTCAAATTCACATAATTCACTGCCTTCTGAGACTTAACGCCCACTTAAAATTTAGTATAGCGTCATCTAGTGGTGATGCAATAAACTAAATCAAATACAAGTCACCGAACTTAACCCACGAAAACGTAAACATTGCCATTTGAAAAGTTTTTGGTGTACACATAAATGATTGCGATTAGAGATAAATTGGAAGCACTAATTGCGTAATTGCTAAAAAAAAGGCTTTTTAATTCAAATTCAAAGCTCATTAATCATTTTGTAGACAATATATTTGAAGTTTTAACCCTATTTTTACCCGACTTCAAAAAAGGCGGCAGATTTCATTCAGACTTTGTTTTTGTTGTTGTATGTTTGTTACCAGTACTTCGTCATTTATGAACCGATTTAGAATAATAATAATAATAATAATAACATTGTACCACATTCACACAACGCCATCTAGTCCCAAACTAAGCAGAGCTTGTACTACGGGTACTAGACAACTGATATAAATACATATATATACTTTTTTTTTGTAAATACATACATATTATACATAGAAACACCCAGACCAAATCAAACATTAAATGTTCATGCACACAAATGTTTGACTTGAGCGGGCATCGAACCCGCGACCATTAGAATAGCAGTCTGTTACACAAACCACTACGCCATGAAAATTAAGAAATTTGAATGAACAAGACAGTTTATTCACGCCTACTAAAACAAAACAACAGATAATCGAGAATCGATCTTTATGTGGCGAACATTTTCATTTGAAGTTTTTACCACCACTACTCATCGTAATATTGTTTTAGACGCAAATCATTTCTTACGAGAAAAACTCTGTTAGAATATACACAGTAAATGTTATATGAACATTTAAGAATAAAAGAGGTTTTGTTTGATACAAAAACCTACAGTTTGTCGAATACCAGACAAAGTTTATTACAGTTTCACGATGTAGGTCCATTGAAGTCGGTTTTAATTACTTTATTTAACGTTAATTAATAACTTTACTAGTCCACTGCTGGACATAGGCCTCTCCTTAGAAAGGAGAATTTGGCCTACTATACCACGCTGGCCAGACGGGTTGGTATAGGATTTGTATCAAGTTTCCATCTCTCTCTAAATAACTTATTTCTAAATAAAACTATTAGATAAACTAATCCTTTATACGTGAGGGACTGCTCTACCTTGTCTTGTAATATGACGTCGTATCGTACAAGTCGCGGCCCGACCGGCGACCCCGATACGACTGCCTTTCGCCATCGCCGGACTGGCCGCACGCTGCGCATAGAACTGTTTTGTCACAACGAGTATAGGCTTACATGGCGCGAGAAAATAATATTTCTTAATTCTAACTTTTTTTGAGTTTACCTGTGTCCCTAATTCTGTCTTAATAATTAGATAAATACTCGTAGGTTGAAAACGCTTTATTGAAGTTGATAACAATCGACTGACATCAATTTTTATCGACTGAACTGAACAATTGAGGAATTCGATTACTTTTAGTAATAATTGATTAGATTATATTGATTAAATTCATAAATTTAATATAAATAAAGTCAAATTCTCTGTTTTCTCTAGCACCTACCACATCCTTTTTTTACATCACCCGAACGTCGACTGGCAGAGAATGCCCTGGGCATTAAGTCTGCCTATACTAACTTTTAAACTTTCGCGTTCCATGATAATTAATTTTATTTAACGGGAATTAACGCGATCTCTTATTTAGGGTATTACATACCTCTGGTTTGCCTGACGTTTCGACCAGGTTGCACCGGCCGTGGTCACAGGCTGACTGGCTCATCGGCGCACGCCCTCCGTCGTCGAATCCGTGAAGTAGAAGGCTCTTCATCTACCCGCACATTTTCGATATTATTTTTGTGTCGCCATGTACCGTCACATACCACACTAACAGTGTCCCTATTCTGTAAGCAAACCGATGAGTCCCTATTCTGGTGTTTAACCGATTGCGCAGAAAAGCGAGGTGGTATGTTTTTTAACACTGGATTCCACGCTGTAGATAATTTAAAACCATCTTCCCGATTGAAAGTTTTATGCTTTTTAATCTCAATCGCTTCACGTACAACTCTTGAGTAAAAGTGACGTTCGGTGGAGAGGACTTGCGTGCGGTGAAATTCAATCCAGTGGTTGATGCCTGCATCGAGTGCATGTTCTGCAATCGCTGATTTGCTCGTCTGTCGGTTCTTCACAGCAGCGATATGCTCTTTGACCCTTTCTGCAATAGTCCGCTTAGTTTGGCCTATGTATGAGCTTCCGCAGCTGCAGTCTATTTTATAAACACCCGGAGTTTGTAGTGGCAATGTATCCTTCGGTGTGCCGACGATGTTGTGAACCTTTATGCCTGGTGTGTATACTGTCGGAATGGAATATTTCTTTAGTACAGACCCGATCTTGTCCGTAACTCCCTTGACATAAGGCATATAGGCCGGTTGCCTGTTCACTTCTGGATACTTGCGTCTTATTTTCGGTTGCTTCCGTCCTCCTTTCACTTGATATCCGTTACCTTTGAGTACCTCCTGAACATGTTTTAGCTCCTGTTCTAAATGTTCAGGGTCACAGAGATCGTAAGCTCTGTTTTTGAGTGAAGTCATAACAGATTGCAAGTGCCGGGGGTGATGATGAGACGTGGCGTGTAGGTATCTGTCCGTATGAGTAGGTTTACGGTACACACAGTGTGACAAGGACCCATCCGATCTCACGGCTACTTTAACATCTAAGAAGGACAACGACCTGTCCGTCTCCATTTCATATGTAAACCTCATTTTGGGGTGAATAGAGTTCAGATGTTGTATATATTGATCCACTTCTTGTTCGCTTTTCTGCGCAATCGGTTAAACACCAGAATAGGGACTCATCGGTTTGCTTACAGAATAGGGACACTGTTAGTGTGGTATGTGACGGTACATGGCGACACAAAAATAATATCGAAAATGTGCGGGTAGATGAAGAGCCTTCTACTTCACGGATTCGACGACGGAGGGCGTGCGCCGATGAGCCAGTCAGCCTGTGACCACGGCCGGTGCAACCTGGTCGAAACGTCAGGCAAACCAGAGGTATGTAATACCCTAAATAAGAGATCGCGTTAATTCCCGTTAAATAATATTAATTAAGTCTGCCTGTGTACAATTTGCGCACTGAGTTACATAAATAAATATACACATAATATACAGAGTGTTTTATTTCGTTATACAAATATTTAAGCCGTATATTCTGTCCTTAATTTCTAGGCGATTTGCAAAATATGAACAAAATATATCCAGTAGTTTAGCCACAGGACTCATTTTTGTGTTTCGTATTTTACAACACCATATGTTTACGCAAAGCTAAAGTACTAAGTGTCAATGACCTTCCCGCTGTCGCTATACAAACGCTACCGCACAAGTTACGAAATAATAATTAATAAAAAAAAAAAAAAGAATTTCTTTAAAGTAAAATCCACAGATTACCCCCTAATAGATACCGCATACAGGCCCACAAAGAAGCGCAACACTTATTAACTATAGCTATTAAATAAAGTGATGCTAAGAATTACGACTTCAGTGACGACCAAGTTTATGACCTGTACGCACGTAGGCACGTCCGAGTTTTTGACAATTTAAAAATAGCTTACTATCCCAAAATACGTTAAAAATGCCTTACTGTGCAGTGAAATGGTGTGGCAAGTCAGCTAAGACATCCAGTTATCAAAAAGATGGTATTACATTTCATCGGTAAGTAAATTCTATTCTTATCACGCTAACCTATTTCAAATGCACTGGAGGTCAACTTAAACTGGTAACATAATGGTGCAAAGTAATAACAATAAGGCACCCGTTGATGTCTTTTTGAAATGTCCCTTTCACTCATTACGTAAATTACAATAGTTGTCTTTGTCTAATAACAGCACGTGTATCGATAGTGTTGTAATTTATAAGTCGATATTTGTTTGGTCATCGTTTGAATTTTGTTTATTGAAGTCATTTTATTTAGTAAAAAATAGTGGCGTATCATTCTGCTATATGTAATAGGTTTCCTAAATGCCCCGAAAGGAAGAAGATGTGGATCGATGCAGCTGTTGTACATGATTTAATAAAGGTTAAATGCAATACGTGCGTTAAAGCATTAATATCCCTGGATGAGAAAAAAAAACAGATTGATTTATGCAGGAGGACTGCTCTTCCCGTCTACTATGGTTACCAAAATTTGCAGACGATCTGAACAAGTCATTCGAAGCTCAATCGATTCAAATCAAGGATCTAAAATATATTACAAAGACAAATGCCGTTTTGTAACACAAACATTAAGCAGTTTTATTAATGAGGATATTTTCCCTGAAATAAAAAATCACCAATTCGATCACGAAAGTTGTACTCATGTCATTGATTTAGTTAAGAGTGTCATAGAAAAATACATAGACATAAGATTACTTTACTTATCTCGGAAGACAGATCCTAAGAATTCTGTGAGACGCATTTATACCAAGCTTATCCATTTTGAAAATCAATAAAATATATATTTAAAAACTTAAATGTACAAATAAATTTAAAAATATTTAAACATTGTTTTATTTTTTTAATAAATATCAAGAAAACATTGAGTAATATATTTATTTATCAATAACCAACAAATCAAAAATAAAATTTATATCAATAATTCAGATAATTAATCCCAGAAAACATCTGATTATGGCTGAAAGCCGATTGCAGATATATAAAAAAAAAAAAAAAAAAAAAAAATAATTCAGATCATCCTACCTAATTTATCGATCAACGTCCCAACCCTGTCCCATCACTATGGTTCGATGCACTCCAAGTAATATCCAATCACAGCGCATTTGACACGTCCCCCGCAACCCTTGCATACCACCAAATGTTGTGAACTCGAATCAGTACAAATATTCAATAATGCGGTATCTATTAGGGGGTAATCTGTGGTAAAATCAAACATATTGCAACGGCATACGGAAGATAATACTGTGTCTGACAACAAGGTTCTTACACTTGTGTTGGTCAGTGTCGGCGAAAATAAATTAGAAGCATGTAATTGGTTACTGTGTCATCGGGATCATCGCTACCAACCTATTAGCAGTATGCATCGTAATTGCGCGCTTTTTTTTTACATATTGATTATAAACAAAATATGCTAATAAATAAGTATTTTAATATTATTAGGCTGTGTAAATTATATTGTTTATATTAAATGTTTTATTTACAGTACGTAATGATTACTACAGGTAAACTCATTATAATAATGTTTTTTGAGCTTTGACAATTGGCAGCATTGATTTAATTATTTAATATTCGATGACTTCCGGGTTCTAGAAAGTAGAGTAGCGTCAATCGGTCTGCGGTCAGTTGTTGCAAGACTGTTTGTATTGCAACGAGTCCCGCTAATTTTGTTTTGAAAGTAACAATATTAGTTTTGTTGTGGAGTGTGTGTGTGTGTAGTGTAAACTAGGTTTCTTACTAGTGTTTTAATTATATTGAATTATTAATATTAACATTCATAATGCCGCGAGTGACCTTTACAGCCCCGGAGTATACTGATATGGTCTTAATTTACGGGGAATGCCATCAAAACGCTTTTTTAGCTTTACGGACATACCGTGAGAGATATGGAACCACTCGTGTATGCCCTACAGACAGCCGAATTTTTGTAAGGGCGGTACAAAGATTACGAGACAATCAAAGTTTGGTGCCACGTGATGTTGAGTTTGCTCCCCGAACACCGATCGCCCTTGAAGAACGTGTGTTAGACCATTTTACGCGTAACCCTACATGCAGTTTACGTAGGGCTGCTCGTCAATTCAGTGTTCACCACAAAAAGGTCCACGGTATTTTAAAGGCTAATAAACGACGGCCTTTCAGATTTCGAAAAGTATCGGCTTTATTAAACAGAGATCAACCCATAAGAGTGGCTTACTGTCAGTGGTTATGTACGAAGGTAACGAATGACCCTGAATTTCTATCTAACATCATGTGGACTGACGAGAGTACCTTCACACGTAATGGTATATGGAATCGCCAAAACTTGCGATATTGGGCTAGGGAAAATCCTCATGCTGTACGCGAATCTTCCCACCAGTACCGTTTTTCGTTGAATGTATGGGCAGCAATTCACGGCAATAAGATAATCGGTCCAATTTTCATTAATGGAAATTTGACTGCTATCAGGTTTTTGGAATTGCTTGATGGCCCAGTGTCAGATTATACAGATCAACTGTCTGTAGCTCAAAGCAGGCGTATGTGGTACCAGCTAGACGGAGCGCCTGCCCATTCAGTGGTGGCTGCCAGGGAGCGTCTTAATCACATGTTTGGTGAACAGTGGATAGGACGCTATGGGCCTACACGATGGCCACCTAGATCACCAGATCTCACGCCCCTAGACTTTTTTTTGTGGGGATATGTTAAAAATGAAGTGTACGCAACAGACGTCACTTCAATAGAAGACCTAAGATCGAGGATAATAAGTGCATTTAATAAACTGAAAGCTTTGGCAGCAAATGACAACTTGTGTGCTAGAATACGAGACAACATGATGCGAAGGTGTATTCGATGCATTGATGTGAACGGTAGGCACATTGAAAACCTAAAAATTTAAATTAATTTGATTACTATTGTATGTATGATGTACTAAACTGGTGTACAATAAAGTTTATTCTTATTAAATCAAATTTTAAGTAAAAATTGACCTAGTGAATAAAAACTGTTGCGAGTGGTATTCATATTTTAATAAATTGATTTAGTGATTTTAAATAAAGCGCAAGTGAAGTAACTGATTAATGATACGAATGTAATATTCGGCTGCTCGATGCGGCGCCTCCGCCGTTGCGGCGCCGCGTCGCTAGGCTCATTTTGATGTTGGCGCCATTTTTGCATCGCTGCCGTCGCGTCGTCTACAGGTGAGTGACCCGTGTTATCAATGGTGCTCCAATTCGGCATTATTTTATTGTATTTATTTTGTTCTAAATTTGCATTTTTTTATTTTGTATTTTTTTGTTTTTTTTTAATTTTTAACCGACTTATATTGAACTGTGTTATCTGTAATTTAAGTCTTTGGCATAAGTCTGGTAACAGTCTGTATACATAAATAATATAAATAAATAATAATAGCCCATCGCTAATTCACACACAGAGCTGTCGCCATTACGGTGCCTCAGTTTTGTGTTAGCGACTTTTTTTATACGTCCGTGAATGGCACTTAAAAAAATGACACAGTGAAATAATAAAAAGAATAATTACTTATTTGATGTTGTAGTATCATGTGAACTGGGCCTTAAGGTGCGAGCGAGAGGGTCCGAACACGACCGAAGACCGACGAAGCGACGCTCGCGACCGTGTTGCCGATCAGTGCACCTCACAATGTTCCACGAGAAACTCGACGTCAAGCTTATTCGCCAAGTGAAAGAGAACCCGGTCTTGTACGACTACACCCATGAGAAGTACATGGACTTCAACGCCAGGGAAGTGGCCTGGCAGAAGATCGGGGACGAGTTGAAAAGGCCAGGTTTGTATTTACATTTAGTGTTTACGATACTGTGTACCATTGTTTCAAATGTTCTCGAACGAGTCTGGCTGCGTGAATTTTATTCGAGAATCGAGTGAAAAACAAACTGCGAATGCTATCTATAAATAGCTAGTACAACTCTCTTCTTCTTACAGCTGCAGATTGCAAAGTCAGATGGATAAACATTAGGGATGTGCATAGAAGAATACTGAGAAAAAGTTTAGTGAATTCGTCTCGTCCGTGTAAATCTTACAAGTATGACAGTGAGCTAGTTTTTATGAGACAACATTACAAAGACGTCTCCGCCCCCTCAGCTACCTGTGATGACGAAGAAAAAGGGGACGATTGGAGCGCCATGGTCTGCGACAACGATGGTACCGGTATTCAAAACGATTCTTGCAGCGATGATTCAGAAAAACCCATTAAGAAAATTAAAACAAAACGCAAAAAGGCTAAAAAACGAAAAGAATTGTTATACGAAGAAGAGGAAAAACAGGCAACCTCGACATTTAATGAAGCCCCGACTATTTCGGGTGAATTTGATACAACAGATCCGGTTGATGCTTTTCTATTGAGTATCGGGGCCACGCTGAAGACATTTTCACCGTATCACTTAAATGTCGCTAAAAGTAAAATTTTCGCAGTTGTTCAAGAGCACGACTTACAACAAATTGTCCAAAAAGACAGACATGAACAAACCGATGTTAAAACTTCTGTGTCGGGGGGAATGTATATTGTGTAGTGAACGTTTTTTACAAAACTCCGGCTAGTAGTAACCCGTGAACTATATATGTAATAATGTCGTTAACGTGGTTTAAATGGTTTTAATTTTATTTAATTGCCTTTTTAATTTTATAGTTTAAAAATGTAAATATTAAATTAGAAATATTAAAAAAAATATCTAAACATAAAGTTAAGAAATGAATGTGAGTACTTATTACTTTAAGTTTAATCTAAATTGATTTAGTTTAAGAAAAAAAATCTGATCTTCGTTACCATTGAGAGAAAAATTATGAGAAAACACATTTCTATACTAATTTCATTATAATATCTTGACTGTACTGTAATGTATTCAATAATCCTAATCCTAAATAAGATAGCTACGACTGGACGCTTATTCGTTTCGCCCATACCTCTTAACTATTCAACCAATCAGTATAAATTATATGATTTACGTACACATTGTACCCTAAACGACATAGAATATATTTCATGAAAAAAGTACCCAAATTATTTTAATAAAAAATGGCGTGAGGTCCATGGACCTCCGGTCGGAATGAAGTTCCGTTCGCTTTTTGATAGATATTTGCTATATGGTCTGCTTTAAAGTTAAAGTGTCGGAAAAAGGTCTTGTTACACATTTTACGGTCACGCTCCCATTCGCTCAGAGCGTGTAACGCGCGATAAGGAACTTAGTTCCAAGCCTTAAAAACTAATTAATTAAATAAACTTTTAACAGAATCGTATCACGTTATAAATCCTCAAGTGAGAACTAGTCGAGTACTCGTAGTTATTTATCGTGCACGGGGCGACGATCGATATCTCACTCGCACATCGTGGCGGCGTCGCTCGTCGGAGCGCTCGCACGATCGCCGACACGTCACGCGCGCCAATCGCTCACTCGATCTCAAACCTCGCCTGCACCACAGATAATTTATGTATACTGCGTTTTACAACAACACTAATGTCCATGAACACATCACGACTATTTTGTCGCGTACCTACTTTTTTATGTACTACTAATTTATAATGCATTATTTATTTTAGTTTAATAAAATTATATTTTTGAAAGACCATCGACTATTTCGTAATTATAATAAATCTATTGGGTCTATTACTTTAATAATAAGATAAGTAAAGAGATAGTAGAGTAGTGAAGATGTTTAATTCGTTCATTCGACACTTACATTATTATGTTTAATAATACCTAAGTACACAAAACATATTGAACTAAGTAGTAACTCAGTTCAATAAATTTCAAAGGTGGGTAACAAGATATGGTCTGGTATGTTTATTACTTACCTAAGAAAATGTATTTGATTATATCTGACCAGAAGGCCAAATCTCGTAATAAAAGTTCGGCCAAAATTCAGTTCCGTTCCAGATCAACTCTTGATCTTGCAACTATCAAAAAAGGTATTTTCGTAGTGTAATAGTAAAGTATTACTAAGATTAGCAGATTACAGATTCAATTTTCGATTACAGTACTCACAAGACGATACAATCAAAGTACAGGCAACGTCGGATGTTTACTACTACTTTACTACCTTAGTTGTGAGATCGAATGTTGATCGAAATTTTATAACGAGGATTGGCCTTAATCTGATCGAATCACTTGAGACTATGGATGTTTGAAGCTACACACACATACTAACGATTTACTTTTGTTTTATACTTACAATTATTTATTCGTAGTTTCGATGCCTGTTCAGTGTTAGTATACGTACCTACTATAATACGTACGTACGTACTAGTATACCTACGTATAAAAATAAAAATGCTGTTTGAAAAAAAGGATGTTTTTGTGTGTAATATAAATATAATATAAATGTATTTAGGAAAAAATGTACCTGTTACGTGTTCCAAAACCTATTTAAATATGATTGAGTTTTAAAAGCGCCGTGTAATATAGCCCAATATAATTTTATTATTATTATTTAATCTGTTTTTTCCTGCTTTACACTAATAGTTTAGCTGTACCCATTACTCATAAGCATATATACCCTAACCCGTGCCCATATATACTTATTTAAATTCTAACAAACCACAATAATAATAGTATATTACATTACTGCATGCATAGTGTGCGCGGTCCCTTCCGAACCGGTCCGTCTCGTTCACGTAACGGCGCACTTCGGCACGTTGCCGCTCCGCGCCCCGCCGCGCCGCGCGGTGCGCAGTCGCGCCGAGCCCGTCTCGCCGTCGCCTCGTCGACACACCAGTCGCTGCTGCTGCTGCAATGCCGCTGCCGTTCAACAAGAACTTGGACCTTAAACTGCTGGACTTGGTCAAAGAAAACCCCATTCTGTACAACATTAAACATTCCAAATATCTAGACTTCGATGCGAGAGAAGTTGTTTGGCAAAAGATTGGTGACGCTCTCAATAGACCCGGTAAGTTTATAATTACACTCTAAAACTTTGTGGATAGAAGTGATTTTTCTTTGCACAGATTTTAAATTACGTTTTGTGTTCGTGTTATCATATTGTGTACAGTTTAAGGTTTAAAATTGCTTGTTATCTATGGCAGCCAATATTATTCAAGCTGTTGAAATCAGAATGTTATACGGAGTCTTATTGCTTAAGTGAAAAAGGTTATAATCGTATGTTGAAAATGTAAGCAACCGATTTCGTTCAAGTAGAACGTGTTGATATCGTTATCAGTGTATAAGGCAGTTTTATTCAATGAACGAAACATAGGTAGAAACATATACATGATAAAAACAGCGTATTTAAATAAGATACACAGCGACGATATAGAAATAATCATGTATTTCATTACAAAGATTTGTGGTGATTGATTATGTGCTCTGTATAGTCTGACGATTCTTCACATACACAGCACATAATATGGTCACACAGACACATTATTTACTCATTTTTCTGCTCTTTTATTAATTAGGACTGCACGGATGGCATGTTTGTTTAAGCGGTCACCTCGCCGCTTTCTTCTTCTGAGAGATGATGGGTTCGATCCACACATTGTTGTTCTGAGTCCGGACGTTCTTTGTATCCTTATCACAAATGTTTGTAAAGTCCCCCGCGACACGGGATATATTCCTAAAGCGGGAATTGTCTTTTTAAAATAAATAGATAAGAAAATTTATGGTCATTGCATGTGTAAACTTCCAAAGGGCTTTTATTGCCTACTTGACGCCAATCTGTCTTTTCAATGTGATCGTATTCAGAACTTCTGAATACGAAGTTCTGTCCCTTCTGAAGAACAGAACAGGTAGAACAAATGAAAGAAGACTTTCAGCAGCTCGAAGTGTCCGGGGTCTAGTATCTGCAACTGAAGAGATCACTAGGACACCTACTGGATATCAGCTGGCCATTAATTAACACTTACGCCTACATTCATTTATCGTTTACTAGACCGTGGCTTCGCTTCCGTCAATATTGTTTATTTCATGCTTCTAATTTCGATAATGACGAAATGCCATACAATCCCTTATTTTACTCTCTTAGGGGTGAAATTTAAGCAAATAATAATTCGGACATCAATCACACAACGCCATCTAGTTTCAAGTTAAGCAGAGCTTCTGCTATGAAAGCTAGATTGACTGATAGAATACTTATATACTTTTTTTTGTAAATACATACATATTATATCAGTTGACCCTCCATCCAAATCCTCCATGATAGGTGCAAGCATAATAAGTATCTGCTGCTAAAAGGACAATGGCAGGTCCCCATACATAATTTTATTTGAACTAAAATAGTAGCGTTTTAATATCGAAAATGCCTAAAACACCTGTGAATTTATTCTTGACCATTCTCAGAACAAAATTACTAGCGAGAGAAGTCTAGGAAAAAATATATTGGATTTTCAATATTTCGACGTTAAGTACTAACAAATTGTCAATGTTTTGTTGGAAACTAGATGGCGTTGTGTGTCATATAACAGAAAATATTATTATCACTCATTAACAATCCTGTTCTGCGGTAGAAAGTGTTAGCTCACTCTAAAAGGGTGGAGGTTAATTGCTTGGCATGTAACCTATTGGTAAAACTATAGAAAAAGTCTTCGCTTACCAAGCAGATGTAATACTAGCTATAAATAAATAAATAATAATAATTCGAATAAATGTACTCTGTTTTACTATTTCTTTAGTTTCAGCCAGTGCTGTCCAATAATTTTGGTTAACTAACATTAATTACTAAAATCTAAAGCATGCATCCATTATATTGAGATTAATGCACAACATTTTAAGGTGTCGCATCATGCATAATAGAGTAACACTATATGAAATTAAAAATAGAAAAACATATATGCTAGTTTAACACTAAATTGAATAAAAAGAAAACAACAAAGCAAACTACAATTGCCGTGTGAACAATGGTCATGTAAGGCATGAGTGTGACGACGACGTAATATCGACATTTCGAAAGTATCGATGTTTGTCTATTTATGTGCCGTTATCAAGTACAATGTCTTTTTCTCATCACACTGTGCAGTATAATTATGTTGTTTTTAATCACTACCGTACGAATAAACCCGATGGCAAAAGCAAATTAATAAACATAAAAGGTGAACCTTCGGTAGATATTTCAGACAAAGCTGTAAAAATCGATTATCGATAAAACGTTCCATAATAAATAATGCCATCACGTATCCCTAGTCGATACGTGATGACGAATCTGACATTACGTACCTACTTTGGTCAAATAAAATCTTTAAAAATATCCTATCTCTTATTTGACCTAGACAACCCGTGGTGATATAATGATAAATCATGGCAAAAATATTAATTAAGTGTACTGTGAGTCATTTTTTTAAACGCTTAAGTTTTAGGTAAATATGTTTCTGCCATTGTTCTTTCGAATTTGTAGGCTCTGCTGATGAATAATTCAGTCAAGGAAAGTTATTTTATTATGATCTCACCACCAATTTGTCACAAACCCATTATCGGTTCTCATTAACTAACTATAATATAATATATATAACTAACTATTTACATTACAAATAGTACAAATTAAGGAACTTATACCATCAATTTGTTATAAATGAATAATATCTAAGCCTTTTTATTCACACCCAAGCATGTTTGTAACGAATGACGTATTATTAAAGATTCTTTTTAACCGATTTAAAAAAGATGATGTTGTGAAGAATTCGTTTATATTTTCTTTACCCGATCACGCCAGGATATACTATGTTTACACACAGTACTATGTTTTTCGTGAGGACTAACGTGTGTATAAGTAAATATACATCAAGCCGTTTAGGCTGAAGTCTAAACTAGATTTCTTTGTTTGAGGTGTCGTTCATCATCATCTTCATCAACAGCCTTTATTAGTCCACTGCTGGACATAGGCCTACCCTTAAAGAGGAGGTTTTGGGCCTACTATGCAACGCTGGCCAAACCAGCCAGGGCCAGGGTTGGTATTATAGGGTTTGTATCAAGTTTTCCTTCTCTTTGCAGGACTGTTGTCCTGCGTAGTTTGCTCCCTTAGTCGGCTCTTACGACACCCACGGGATGAATAGGGTTGGTGACACTCCGTATTCTTAATCACTACACGGACATTGTGCGGGGGTGACACTACCACCTTCTAGATTTTCTCTCAATATGACTATCGCTTGTCCTAACAACTAATTTTACTTTCAGCTCTGATCTGCAAGTCCCGATGGGTGAACATAAGAGACATGATGCGCCGCAAGATCCGCGACCGCCTCCGGAACCCCACCGCCCACAGCTATAAGTACAAATACGAAGACGAACTATCCTTTATGCTCCCCTACTTCAAGGAAACTCCAGTGACAGGAACCAGTGATGAATATCCGGAATTCTTAGAAGACAGCGCTTGTGAGGTTGAAATGCCTACAGAAGTATTTGTGGACGAGAGCATAGACTACGAAGAGCCTAGGGAAACGAAACCAGTACTTAGAAAAAGACAAGAAGAAGTCAGTTCCCCACAAAATAACACCTTCCAAGAACCAGTTTATCAAGAGCTTAGCCCTACGGACCCTTTGGATGTCTTTCTCTTAACGATAGGGTCCACGTTAAGGAAGTTCAGCCCTTATTACATGAACCAGGCGAAGAGTAAGATCTTTCAGGTGGTCCAGGAGTACGAGCTGCAGCAGATTATGAATCTGAATAAGGATGATCAGACCCCGGGCAGTAGTACTGCGTCTATTATGTGATATGTTACATTAGGTGTAGGTAATATAGTATTTTTGTTACGGTTCTTTGTTGTTTTATTTGTACTACAAAAGTTTAAAATCTTTTTTGGCTTATTTTATGGGTTAACCAAGCGTTAAACCCAAATGACATGAGCCAAAAAAACATGCAATCAAAAACATGAGATTGCACTGATGGCGTAGTGGTTGAACATGTCACTTTGCGTCTTCCTAGAGTGTGAGTGTTGTGGGTTCGATCCCTACATGGGAGTATAGTGCAGGAATACATAATATTAAAGTGGTCACCTTTTAGTTGCGTCACGCCACGTGCTGTGGGTTCGACCCCCATACAGGACGAAAATGCGTGTGATCAAACAGTTATCCCGATAGTTTGTTTGTGTCCGTTGTCAAAATATATTGTAAAGACTACCGCCACAGGAGTCATTCGTGTCATTTCGTCTTTTAAGAAAGAACATATTATTATTAGTAAAATAATAAAGCACCAAAATAATAAAGGGGTGTCTGGGCTCCGGTAACCCCACTCACTCGGTGATAAGCAAGGCAAGGATTACTTAACACCGGTTTTCTGTGAGGCCGTGGTATAACTCCAGTCCAGCCGGCCCAGTTGTGCAGAATCATGGCTCACCTACAGTTTTGTTTCCCATCCAAGTTTTGCGATATCCCTTGCTCTTTTCGTTTACATTACCCTGAGTTACTTTTTCTTATACCCATCAAAATTAATTTACCCAGCAGGATTGACTTAAAGAAACTAGGCAGAACATATAACCTTACGCTACAAATTTTGTCGAATCTAAATAAAATTGGGAACAAGTCAGAGACGTGGTGATAATAATAATATAATAATATACCTCACACATTTTACACACGGCCGTCTGATCCCAAACTAGGCAGAGCCTGTGCTATGGTGACCAGACTGCTGATAAACATACTTATATGTTTTTAAGTACATACATATTATAGATAAATTACACCCAGACACAGAACAAATGACCGTGCTCATCACACAATATTTGTCCTGGGTGGGAATCGAACCCACGACCTCCGGCTTAGCAGTCAGGGGCACTAACCACTCGACCAACAGGCCGTCATTGACATATGATCAATAACAATAAAACAACCAGTACTTAATATTACTAATTTATTCTGTTTGTAAAGGCAAAGGTTCTGGAAAGTTCTACCAAACCAACATTGGTTGACAGCTGTTCACTGTTTTATATATGTGCGTGTTCAGTAGTAAGTCTTGCGCACCCACTTGATCCTGGCGCCTCTCTGGGACATGATCTTTACTGATGCACTGGCAGCCGCCTTCACCACATCTTGGATCTGGAAGGTCACTTGTAATTAGGTATGTACCTACAACCCCACAAATCATAATTGTCTTTGTCTTTAAAAAAATAAAAAAAGATCTAAGTACCTAAATATAAATACAACAGACCTACTTAGATTTTTTTTTCTTTTTTTAAAGACAAAGACAACTCCCGCATTCGGAATATATCCTGTGTCGCGGGGGACTTTACAAACATATATGAAACGGACATAAAGAACACCCAGACTCAGAATAACAATTTGTTGATCACACAAAGTGTCGTCCCATGTGGGGTTTGAACCCACAACACTCGGCGCAGTAGGAAGCGGCGTGGCGACCGCTTAAACCACTGTGCCATCCGTGCAGTCTAGATACCAGATACCAAAAAGATATTGTAAAAGTAGTACGACATTCAGAATATTTAAATGTTATCTGTTTTTGTATCAAAAAGAATTTAAGAGAATTCAGATTACAACATCTACCATTTAAATATTGGGTATTTTTAATTTCTTTGCTGAAAACCGACATCCGCATTGTTTTTTTCAATTTTACTTATTTTAGGTACCTATTGTTTATTTTTCTCTCTTCCTTATTTTATTATATTGATGTGTATCCAACGGTCCACTACCGTCTTCATGAATGATGTTACCCTATATTGTTGTCTGTAACCGTGACTACGTTTATGAAACCATTTCCTATTACAGTTATAGTTGAAGGTGATACTTACACTGATCATGAGGCTCTGTGCGTTCCCCACGAGCATGTCCATGGCCTCCTTGTCCTCCTGAGTCCCGTGGTGTCCTAGCGAGTAGCCCTTCACGGTCGTCAACATCTTCAGCTGGCCGCTGATCGTTGGGATCCTTTCGCACACTTGGAGAAGATTCTGCCATACAAGGTATTGGTAAGGTGGTGATTATAACATTCGACCAATTAAATGATTTATCATGGTTTAGGTATACTTCGGCGGAGTATTTTCGAATCTTTAAATAGAATTTACTTGATTTATTTATTTTGAACGTTAAAAGGGACAGATTGACGACGGAGAGAGTGCAATGCACCGCAGAGCGAGGCTGTGACCACGCCCAGTGCAATCTGCTCGAAACGTCAGATAATTCATAGGTGTCAAGTTAGTACACTAGTAGTGTCATAAATATAATATTATATGAAATTTAAAACCCTAATATATTATATTTCAAAACGCTTGTGATCTTGAAAAGGAACCAAAAATTTGAAATTTTTGCACAACAAGATGAATCGGTAAAAAGGCATCCGATAAGTATCGAGTATCGATATACGTTACGATACTGTGCATTAAAAAAATGACCTTTTTGGAGATCCTTTATGACGAGAGTCAAATAGGTATTAAAGTGAATAAATATAATATTTATGGGTGCAACTTGGTCCAAATATCCAGCAATTTCAACCTTTATAATAACAATATTTGCAGATTAATTGTTGTCTTAGATCATTAGGAACAGTATCATGGAAGGCGAAAGTATCAAAATTAGTATAACTCCCTGAACGTTTGAGTTCAATAGCTACAAAAGTGTGTACATACAGTTTTGATCCTGTGGTCGGTACACTCGTGCGCAAGTTTCTTGGCGAGCCGCGCCACCTCGTGGGACTCGGCCACTATGGACTTGGACGTCGTCAGCACTTCGTGTTGCTTGTCTGCAAGTACACATTGCATTCAGAACATATTTTATAAACACAGGTATTGGGTTACTGCTTTTTTATTTGTTAACTACAATTTTGGTAATAAAAATAATGAAACAATGTTTCAATGACACAAAAACGAGTAAAAAAAAAAAGAGAAAATTGATAATACAATATAGTAATAAAAATGTATTAGGCAAAATTTTGGCAATTTTATGAAAAATCTGAAAAGTCCAATATCTTAAAAATGGTTAGGTATGGGATATATTACTTCATAGTGAACTCTATCAGTAATAATGACCACTAGAAGCCCCTGAAGTACCTATCTAAGTCGAGTAAACCAATAACCCTGTGTATTCAATTCGAAAGGAGTTCGGTGGTCTCCTGTTGTAAATGTAATTATTTTGGAATTGGAATGTAGAAGAGTTACCTTATGGTAACTGACTACCGACGCCCATGGGGAGCTGCAACTTAAGATACACAAATGCGTTGCCACACTTTAAGTGCCCACCTCTCACTCACTCTCTCTCTCTTACTTACTATGAACTCTTACTCTCTCTATTACTTATGATGAAGTTGGCTTTTATATAATACTCGGTGTTGAGCCCAACATACTTCTAGACGATTTGTTAGTGAACAAATAAGCTGTGAGTACGTACCCGTATTCATGTAGGCGGAAAGCTTGGCCATGAGCACGGCCATGCGCTTGGCCACCGCCACGATCTCGTTGTCACGCGACGACCAGTCGCGGATTGCCACGTGCAGGTTCAACGCCTCGTTCTGATACATATTGGATTTATTCGTAGTTTATACAATAACAATATTAGAAATTTAAAAAAATCTGGACAAGTACGAGTCGGACTCGCCCACCGATGGTTCCGTACACGGAGTGTTTTTGCCCGAAATTCAGTTTTCAAAACTGATTACTTTTTACGTTTGATTATGTTACAGCTTTAAGGGACCGTAGACTTGAGAATATGGTTATAATTTCAACTCGATACCTCCACGCGTTCCCGAGATAAAGAGTCTTGACAGACAGAAAGATGGACAGTAAAGGTAAAGGTGCCATTTTTTTCCTTTTGAGGTACGGAACCCTAAAAACAGTCACATATATTAAAGTTTAAATCTGCCTAATATTCTTTGGACTGTGGAGAGTGGAAACATTTTGCAACTCATTCAGAACTTATTCATTATTGTTACCATGTTGATAACCATCGCTGCCCATGAACGTCCGCAACTCAGGAGTCACAAAAGACACAGGTCTTTCGTATCACCTCGGTTTACGAGCACTTCCCTAACTGCCTCAGCCAGCATCGGAATCCTAGGCATCGACATATCGAGCGAAGTCCAGTTTCGGAGTCACTTAGAGGGTGAGGTCAAATTGGCCTCGAAGAAGTTCAAGTTTTCTTTTCTTTAAACATATCTCTCATACGGCAGTCTGGTTCCAAACTAGGCAGAACCTATATTATGGTAACCAGTCTGCTGATATACGTACTTATACATATTTAAGTACATACATATTTTATATAAATTAGAGAGAACAAATGATCGTGCTCATCATACAACGTTTGTCCTGGGTAGGAATCGAATCCACGACTTCTTGCTAAACAGTCAGGTTCTCTGAGGACTAGACCAACAATGAATGATATAACTCACGTAGATGGGTTGGTCGGTGTCCGGTTCCTTGTTGAAGATGGCTTCCCCGCCCAGTACCGACTCCACCTTGCCGGTGGCGTGCAGGATCTAAACATAAACATTACATGTAGAACCAACTGAGATTTAGGAAAGGTCACTACTGGCAACAATCCGGGAGTCGTATTGGTGTCATTTTTTATTTCAATTTCAAAATTAATATTTTTAAATAATATTCAAACATGTGCATTGCATGTTTTGAGGTGTGGAGTCTGAAGTGGTGTCTCAAACTCTCTTTATTTCATAAAATTTTCAAAATTGTTTGAAATCGTCATTTATGTAGACTCTAAAGTCATAGATCAACTGTAAAACGTACCCCACCAAAAAAGAAACAAACAGACAATCCGCGTCAAATTCATACATCATCTGAATCGGACATCAGCTCGGCCGCATTGACGAGTGACCTCGTGAAAATGAATAGAAATAAACGCCCGAGATCGGCTGACTCTCCTCAAGGCGGGTCAACATTGGACTTCCAAAATCTTCAGAACACACTATCGAGTTGGAGGGAAGAACAAGATAGCAAATTAGCCACAATTTTGGCTGATATCGTTGAAATTAAAACTCAGAACACTCATATAAAGGAGTCTAATGATGAAATTCGCAAGACAAATGAAGAACTGAAAGTCTCGATCTCATTTATTAATAAACAATTCGAAGATTTAAAAAAGGAAGTCGAAGAACTTAAGAGGGAACGCCAGGATAATGGATTTACAGCATAAGTCACGCTCGTCTGCTATTGAACTAAGAAATATGAAATATATGAAAATGCAGAATGTTGCAATACCCTCACAAAGACTATTAGTAAAGTGGCCGAAGTTGTTGGTGTACAGGTTTCGGACTATGAGATTCGTGACATATATCGGCTGCCGGGTAGGTCCTCCAACCCTGACACCCCACGTCCTATAATTGTAGATTTTACGTCGGTAAGAAAAAAACAAGCCCTGATTTCAGCTGTGAGATTATATAATGTAGGGAAGCCAAAACAAGACAAATAAACAGCTCAGACATCGGTGTACCGGGAAAGAGCCGGCCGGTCTATGTCGCCGAACAGCTGCCGAGCATCACCAAGAAGCTATTTTATCTATTTTATCGCGAATTCGCTAGGAAAAATGATTACAAGTTTTGTTGGATTTCGAATGGAAATATATTCTTGCGAAGGTGCGAGGGTGATAAACAAATATTAATAAACTCCGATAAGAGTCTCCATGACATAGGTAACAGAAATATCTGACTATGTGAGCTCACTCGTCTGCGCTGTTATACTGTCCTCAGAATATGCTTTCTAATTTCAATATTGTATTTGGTATATAAATCAAACTCACACATACTCACAACAAACACTTTCACTCTCACTCGCCTTACACAAATCATTCAACTTGTACCACTCAACACAGAATATGTATATAAATTAAATAAACAGTTCATATTTAATTCATTCCATTATAACTATTATAAGCTGCGATGCTTTTGTGATACATTTATAAAACTCACTAAGTGTTTTTCTCTATACAGGGTTGTTGTATGAGTGGTAATTTATTGTAACATGTTTATTTTATTATAAAAGGCTAATTTAAGTTATATTAATAATGAACTTGAGCAAATAATCGTGGGTAATTCATATAATTGTAACCCAGAGGAATGCTTAAATTATGTCAATCAAACTGTAAACGATATAAAACTACTACACTTAAACATACGCAGTGTAAATAAAAACCACGAAGAGCTACAAGTATTACTGCACTCAATAAATATAGATATTGACATAATTATTCTTACGGAATGTTGGCTTAGTAAAGTTAAGCATATACCCATAATAACAGATTTTCAGGCACACGCAACTCTAACAAACTGCAACCAAAATGATGGCATCATAATTTATTCGAGATTAGGGTTGCAAACAACGGTATGGGAACCTAATTTTAAGGGTGGGAACTGCCTAGTATGCCAAGTCGACAACAAGCTGGTAGTAGTGGCAGTATACCGATCCCCGTCATATAACTCAAAAGAAAATTTCGATAGCTTCCTGACTAGTTTAAATAGCGTTTACGACAACATCTCTAACCCAAATATTGCCTTAGTTGGTGATCTAAATATAGATATAAGACAGAACAACTTAAGCGATCGGAGTCTGGATTATCTCATCTTAAATGCCTCTCATGGACTCCTGCCTGCCCATTTATTTGCCACGCGACTAGAAAACAGTATCATATACTTTTAAAGACGAATCTTGACGCTACAACACTTGTCATAAATTCATCCATCACAGACCATAAACCAATGCTATTGTCTATAGCTGACGTTAAGCCCACCCGCAAAAGAACCCATGTATATGCTCGAATAGATTATGACGCAATCAAACTGGAGTTAAAAACCACAGACTTTACGATAATTTATGCAATGATAGATGCAAATTCAGCTATGGATCACTTTATAAGGATAATAAAATCTATTATATCTAAACATACCCAACAAATTAGAATATCAAGACGAAACAGAACATTAAAACCCTGGATGACACCTGGTCTACTTAAATGTATACAACATCGGGATAGATTACATATGCAGTCAAAAAATGTACCAGACGACCTAATATTAAAAATCACCTACACTAGGTACCGAAACTATTGCAATTCACTTCTGCGAAAACTAAAAACTTGTTACGAAAAAAATGAACTCGAAAAAGCTAGCAACAATCCTAAAGCATTATGGAGAACGATTAAAACAATAACGAATACTCAAAAAGTTTGCAATAGCCCAGTAGAACTATTACAATTACATGAAAATCCCATTTCATCTATAAATGAGGTCTGCAAATTCTTTGCTGGGGTAGGTAAAAATATGGCTGAAGAAATCATGTTACGGGGTAAAAACTCTGATCCGTCAGTGGTTAATGCTTTGCATCGAAAGTCACACAATGCGTCACACACTGTGTAATTGAGGTAGATGAGGTCGAAGTGGAGTCCTTGATCCTACAATTGCGCAGTGATTGTGCTATTGGATGGGATGGTATATCAAATTTGTTACTAAAAAACAGTCTTCCGGTATTGGTGCCAATTATAACATATATCTGCAATCTTTGCTTGCAAACAGGCGTATTCGTAGGCGTATCGCCTTTTTGAGTGAGTCTGGAGACTCACTCAAAAAGGCGATAATACACCCGATTCACAAGGGAGGGGACAGAAACTGTGTCAACAACTACAGACCCATATCTGTTTTGTCTTCGCTCTCTAAAGTCTTGGAAAAGATTCTTAACAACCGGTTAAGAAATTTTCTAGAGAAATACAAAATTATAGCTGACAACTAGTACGGTTTCAGGTCAGGCATATCAACAGAGGATGCTATACTGGAACTGACACAGCTGGTCGCTGGAAAGCTTGATAACGGCATTAAATGTATGGGGATATTCTTGGATCTTACCAAGGCATTTGACACGGTTTCTGTTCCCAAACTTCTTTCGAAAATGGAGCGCCTGGGTGTGAGAGGCATTGTACTAGACATATTCAAGGATTACCTAAAAAATCGCACCCAGTGTGTTAAAATTGATATGTATCTGAGTGATGAAGAGCAGTTGACTTACGGTATTCCGCAGGGTAGTATCCTTGGCCCTACCCTCTTCCAGATATATGTTAATGATCTGTGCACGATGGACTTTCCAAACTCCAAGCTATGCGCTTATGCCGACGACACGGCAATAATAGTTTATGGATCTACTTGGGATTTTGTTAAAAGAGAGGCAGAAACTACTCTCGCTAAAATAATGAGTTGGTTAAACTCAAACTTGTTAACCCTAAATTTAAACAAAACTGTTTTTATTCCCTTTGCCATTCGACGTAACACCTCCCCGCCTTCTTCTTTTTCACTAACTGCCCATTCATGTACAGACCAATCCGTGTCTTGTTCTTGCGCTACACTCAAGAGGACTGATAGCGTTAAGTACCTAGGTGTCCTTATTGACGATGCACTAAAATGGGATAAACAATTGGATGCACTGACTACTCGTGTAATGCGTCTCATTCACATATTTAAGACACTCAGGGAGACTGCGAACAGCGCTACATTAAACTTAGTATATAATGTCTTATGCAAATCAATTATAGAATACTGTATCGTTGTTTGGGGAGGAGCAAATAAAACAAAATTTCTGAGAGTAGAACGAGCACAAAGAGCCATACTTAAAGTTATGACCAAAAGCCCAGGAAATACCCAACTACAAAATTATATTCAGAATGTCGAGTACTAACAGTACGTCAGCTCTTTGTGCTCAAATCGATCCTTAGGAAGCATTCGAGACTACCCCCTGCGGACCCTACGAAGCGAACCAGCCTTCTCCCAGGCACCCCACACAATACCACATTTGCTAAACACCAGTACTATACGCAAAGCACTCACGTATATAAGCAAATACATAAAAAGTTGGGTATTAGAGATCTTAACATATATGAAGTAAAGTCTAAAGTGACCGAGTGGTTACAAAATCAAGACTACTTCCAAACAGAGTCTCTTTTAAAATACTTCTCATGACCCCCCCAAAACACACATTCACACACACAACACATATACACACACAACACACACCCACACACATACACTCACACCATAAATATATCCACACAAATCGAAAATATTTATATTATATAAAATAGATTAAAATTGTTTGCCTTAATGAAAGATCAACACTGCTTCCAACCTGTTGTATAATTCTTTTAGTGTAAACTGATAGCCTGACACTAGCTCTTAAAATACAGGAATACCTAGTTTAAGAGATAGCGTTATTATTTTTGGTACAGATTATACTCGTAGCAACTAAGGACTAAGTACAATGCACTACTGTAATTACAATCTAATCTGTTGTTCTTTTTATGCACAAACTATATCTGTATTTTTTCTGGTAAATAAAGATTATTAATATTAATATATTAATAGATCAACACACACAAAATCAACAATCTCTGTTTTGTCAAATAAGCAAATAAATTTAACAAAAATCAAACCCATACAAAATCTATGATATGCCTGTGCCGATCTACAACCGCCCGTTTCCAAGGGGTCGAGCCTTATGAGAAGAAAGGGCGAACAAACTCATGGCCACTCTTTTGCAAAACCTCTGTCTGGCAGTGCGGTTACCTTGGCGGTGGTGTCCCTCCAGTCGGGTATGTTGCTGGCGCGCGTGTCCGGCGCGGGCGTGGCGGCGGAGAGCTGGTGCTGCGCCTCGGCCAGCGCGCGCTGCAGCTCGGGGTCCGCGCGCGCCGAGCGCGACGACAGGCCCACGTGGATCACGCGGTTGGCCAGCCTGGAGACCGGACAGTCTTGTATTGCCAACCGTGCATTTATCACGGCCTTTAAAAGAGCACTGCTGGACACAGGCCTCTCCTCAGAAATGAAGTTTTGGCCTACTAAGCCACGTTGGCCAGACGGATCGGCATAAGGTTACGAGTGATATCAAGTTTTCCTTCTCTTTACAGCGCCGTTGTCTTGCAGAGTTTGCTCCCCTAGTCGGGTCTTACGACACCCATGGAATGAATAGTGACGGTGACACTCCGTATTCTTAATTCAGACCACGTCACCACACGGACAACATTGAGGAAAAATATACACGAAATAGTGATTATAAAAAAAACCGCTTTGATTAGCATTGCACAACTGACCAACATGAATCTTTACATTATAGGTCGGTAGGCACGGTCACCAAGTCTGCTCAAGACATCTTTCTGGCAGGTATGTTAATAAATAAAAGGTGACAGTAACTCACTTTGTAATGGCAACAGATGTGAGAGCACACTTCATAGGGTCTTCATTGATAGAGTCATCCCTCATCCTCTGCATCGTCTCTCCAGCCGTTAGCACAAAGTCCATGGGATCCACAGACTGATCGCACAGATCTCGTACCTTGGACAGTGACTCCGTGTATCTCGCCAGCAGAGCCTTGTAGTTCTCTATTACCGCCTGAGAATCATTAGAAATTCAAAATACACAGCGTAAGTTAAAGAATATCTCTGTGTTTTCTTCTTCAGGGAATTGTCTGGGTGGTAATAAGCATGTGACAGTTACCGTATCATCAGGTTTATGGACCCTCTCCTGGGCAGCCTTCACCAACATCGGGGCGAGTAACTCCGTCTGAAAACATCAGATACTTTTAATTTTTTTCACCGACTTTAAAAAAAAAAGATGTTCATAATTTTTCTTTTTTGTTACCTCAAAGCTTTGGAGGCTATACTTCTCGTTTAGTTAAATTCAAAGAAAAAAGAAATCATTTTTTTGCAGTTTATTATGTTATAGATACTCATTGTACAATATTTCATGTTACCACAGACCTGTTCACTACAAGTCCTGAGTTGCGAGGACACGTTGGGCCCAGCATTGCCGGTGTCGGCGATGAACCTGGCCGTCTTGCTCATCCTGCCCAGCTGCGCCAGGAGCTCGGCTATCTTACGCTCCAGGAGGAAATTGCGGTTCTTCTCGTCTGGAAGACAAAGACAGACATTGTATTTTGTATATATTTTTTTCGTGTATTTCGTGGTTGTAGGCGTTCATAATTGTCTATTTAATGCGTTGGCAACCCTGTTTCACCTTAACAACTGATACAGTCTAAATTATTTTATTAGAAGTGCAACACTTTACTTGTAAATTATTAACCAAAAGGTTTTATCCTAATTTAAGTAAAGTGGAACAGAAGCATCTTGCCATAGACAGATAGATATTAAACACAGTGCGGTAATCGGTGTTACCGCAGTCTGCGATCTCTTACAGACAACCAGGATGGACTATACTGTATGTCGTCAATCTTTCTCTGTGCCTGTGTCCGAGCGTGTGCCATAAGTGGATAAGGAAGTGTAACTACCCCTCTCAGCATCTGCCAATATATCGAGGTCGGCGAGTGGTTGCTCCGCGTCCATGAAGTCTTCTACGACCCTGGTCACTGCCATGCGCTCTATTGCCTTCTTGAGCTCCCGGATACGCTCCATCAATAAGCTAAAAATAATATAATAATTAATTAACGTTCCATAAAAAAGAAACATAATAATATTCCACCTGTTTCTAAGATATTGTAAACTGTCCACTAGCCCTCTGGCCCAAGTCCACAGTACGCAATACGGATGCAACACTGACCTGTACTGTTCCTGGTCGTACTTCTTGGTGCAGTGCTTGAGCAGCTGCTCCGTCTCTTCCACCACGTGGCGCATGTCCTCCTTGTCGGCGCCTTCCAGGTCCTCCGCCATCTGAACACGGGGGTGGGAGATATCAATATATATTTTGTTTTCTAAACAGTGGTACATTTAAAACGTCGCAATACATTACCTTATTGCCGATATCAATAAGGTTCTTAACAGCTTGTTGTCCGTTCGCCTTTACGTCGCTCTTAGCCATCGGCTTGTGCAGCCATTTGAATGCCGTATCCGTCCTACAAGTATACATCTTATTTATATCAAACTTTTTAAATAACTAGGGAACATATCAATTAGTTGACATATATGTATATTTCTCCATACTTTTATTATAAATACGAAAGTGTCTGTCTGTCTGTTAGGAGGTAACAGACACACAGACACAAATTGTTATAGAGATAGTTTGAGTCCCGGGAAAGGACATACGATTTTATCCCAGAAATCATCCTTTAAGGGGATAAAAAGGAAGGGGGGTGGAAGTTTGCATGAAGAATCAATAACCTCAGAACCAATTAACCATGACAATGCAGGGACATAGTACGTAGAAAAGTGTAACAGCGAGTTGCTTACCCTCAGGTGATCTGTCTGCTCCTTTGCTCCCATATAATAAAGCAAACTAGGCCTATGTCCAGCAGTGGACGTCTTTCGGCTGAGAAGAAGAAGACTGTCTCCCACTAGACGACCTCTACTCACTGTTATAAATAGAACCAGCCATATTTACACTAAGCTGGTTTGACCAGCGGATGGCTTTCCCGCCACGTTAATTAATGGTCGTTTCCGCGTAACGAACTATTCATTCCCTATGTGGTGTTCCCTACAATGTAGCTATGATTACAAAATTTAAAAGTAAATACTTACTGTATCTGCACATAGCTCTTTTGCTCCTGAAAAATAAGATTATTATTATTAGTTCACAGTAAACAGTTAACAATTGTCACATCTGAGTGAGGATAGCTGCCTATCACTTACTGATGCTTCCTCGTCTGCTTCCAAAACGTTGATATTTTGTCCACTGGATCTGCAGAAATAAAATTATTATATCAACGAGCAAACAGCACTACGAATATAAATTTGAAATTTCTGAACTGTACTGTATTTAAAATTTCTTAATATTCACCTTACTACTACTACCCTATACTTTTTTCTTTAAATTTGAATAGAACCATAAGATAAGTATCTCCCAAAGAGAAAAAAAAATCAATACAATTCAGAAATAACCGAGGTCTTTGAGAAAAATAAATATCAATACAACCTAATTGAGAAACTTTTTTTTAAGTCGGTTAAAAAAGCATCAATGTTATTTCATGATTACAGAGAGTTGAAGTAATGTTCCTTTGCAAATGTTCGAACGAAAGGGCTATTAAAGATATTAGGTTAGTTTTTATTCAAGTTTAACAACTTTTTGTCCCATTTTAACAGTTAAAAATAGTTGATATAGTAGGATATAGTACCACTTGATTTTCAGAACCACTTACTTTATACTCTTGAGCAGAGCGTCAAACGCGTTGAGCACGTCCTTCCTCTTGGAGAACGAGGTCCACTTCAGGACTTCAGACTGCTCCGGAGTAGACTTGATTTCTTTGATCAGTTCTTGAGTATTTGTAACTAGGTCTCTGTAAAAAAAAACACTCTTATTGAAACCAATAAACTTGAGTTAAGACGTCTCTATTTTGTGGTTCCATTTTGAAAATCTATAGCGACCGAATGGCGTAGTAGTTTGTGTAACGGACTGCTATTCCAAAGGTCGCGGGTTCGATTCCCGCTCAAGTCAAACATTTGTGTGCATGAACATTTAATGTTTGATTTGGTCTGGGTGTTCTATCTATAATATGTATGTATTTACAAAAAAAATGTATATATGTATTTATATCAGTTATCTAGTACCCATAGTACAAGCTCTGCTTAGTTTGGGACTAGATGGCGTTGTGTGAATGTGGAAGAATATTATTATAGAATATTATTGCTAATATATATTAGATATACTAGCTGACCCGCGCAACTTCGTCTGCATCTCTCAATAGTAATAAATTTTCTCCGTTTTTGAAACATTCTTCATTGGTGCTCCGCTCCTATTGGTCTTAGCGTGATGATATATAGCCTATAGCCTTCCTCGATAAATGGACTATCTAACACTGAAAGAATTTTTCAAATCGGACCAGTAGTTCCTGAGATTAGCGCGTTCAAACAAACAAACAAACAAACAAACAAACTCTTCGGCTTTATAATATTAGTATAGATTTTAGAATTAAAATGAAAACTCTAATTGCCAGGGACATCACACACCGTTTAATCCCAAATTAGACAGAGCCTGTACTGTAACCAGACTGTTATAAACTTTCTTATATATACATATATTACCTAATGTATATAAATTACACACAGACAGAACAAACTATCATCCTTGTTACACAAATATCCACACATACAAAATCCTGGGCGGGACTGGAGCACATGCCCTCAGGTACAGCAGTTAAAATCACTAACCAACCTACCGACCGGCCAGTTTAACATGTAACAAGTTAAAATCATCAATTTTTTTTTTACTTGTAAACGTAGTTAAAATTTCTTTGGTGTTTTTTCTAAGCAACTTGTTCCTTGCCCTCCTCGGGGCAGCCCGATAAAAATGTAAACGGGAAAGAAACTACTATAATTATTTTATCATTTTGTGTATTTGGTTTTAATAAATACTTAGGTATTACTTCCAGTTAAAGTGCACAGCCTCAACACCCTTTGTTACATATGACTGCGTGTTGGTCTAGTGGTTAGTGAACATGACTGCTAAGCGAACTACCACTGGGGCGTTAGTTCGATTCCCACCCAAATAAATAATTGAGTGATGTGTAATATATGATTAGATTGATTTTGGTAATATTTAAGTATGTTTATCAGCAGTCTGGTTACCATAGCACAGGATCAACAGGAGTTACAATGAGACAAATGTGTTCGCCAATGCATGCCCTTGTACTCACGTGGAATGTTTAAGCACATCGTCGCAAAGAGCCTGCGTGCCCTGGGACAGTTGTCCAGCGGTGGGCACCAGTGCCGGGTGCTCCAGCGCGTGGCTCAGCCGTCCTATATCATCGTCTAAGCACAGGGCAAAAGAGATGACCACGTCCTGCAATATATTTAAACGTTGTTTGTTGATGATAAATGTATAATTTCATAGTTTTCTCCCGACTCAAGATGTATACTGAGATTTTAGCTAAAAAACTGAGTTTTCCTGTTGTTGTTATATTATGATTATATCATCTAGATATATTCAATTTATTATACACGAGATTTGATTATTCGTAAATTAACAAAGGACTCAAATTACACATCAAGTGTGTATACTCTTTAGTTGTTCTAATGAACACGTGCATATGACCAAAACTGCATGCGACTTAGACTTATGTAAGTCCCATGCAGTTGCAACACTACGTACCGCTGGTTTCTTCTGATTGATAACGTTGTACAAAGATTGCGAGGATAACTGCACTTCCTTCCTGTGCTTCTTCAGCATTATCTTCACATCTTGATCCTTGGTCCTCTCCTCGCTCTCGTCCAAGTCTTTTATCAACTCCTCCACTTGCTTCTCGAGAGTTCTCCTTTCTTCCCGCACCTAGTGAATAAGAAGAAAATAATTTTCACAATTTGGGGAAAAAATAAGCATAATAATATATCGATGTGGATTTCTACAGTTCTGCAGTTAGGGTATGGAATTGGCTGCTCTGACGTACATCCTTCACAGAAATATGAAGATTTTTTATATATATTATAGGATTAAAACCATTAGCTGGCTACATTAATATTGGCCATTAAGTCAACGTTTCTCTATATTCAATGTCAAAACGGTATGTTTTAGATCATGCCAAGTTGTGACGTCATATCTTGACATCTTTAAAATTCAACAGTCGCGGACAAAGGAAGGAAGCAAAATATTACTAACCTTTGAATTTGCTGCTGTTAGAGGCTCGATAGGTATTAGTGTATTTATAAACAATCTGTGATTTATATATAAGTGGAAAATGTTTAATAGTATTACAATGAATTGGCCGGGAAATCTCACCTGCTCTACAGGGTCCAAAATTATGCTGACACACGTGTCGTGAATAGCTGCAATACTCTTCTTCATCTTGGGCACATCTATCAGACCCTCGGTGGCTACACTCTTGTCATTCTCTGACACGGCTAACTGGAGACAGAAAGGGAGAAAGTTACGTTGCTACCGTGAACCTTAAATGTATGAAGATAAAGTTTCATTTCGCTCACCAGGTATGTTGCATGAGCAGCACACTCAGTGCTGTTGGTCACTGCAGTGGTGATGAACAGCATACTCTTTAGGAACTCCTCGCGGGACATGGCCTGGTCGCTGTTCATTTTGACTGGAGGATAAAAGTTAAATACGTCAGATATGTTGACATGGATTTAGAAAATAACCTCATAATGCAGCTCTACAGGGAGACTTTACAGGCACACATGAAATAGAACGAGTGTTCTTCACAAAGAAAGTCTGGGTAGAATCAGAACCTTTTTTTTTAATAACACATTATTGTCCCATGTGGAGATATGGAGAACCTACAACACTTGTAGTAGCGCAGTAGGTGGCGGTGAGGTTAAAACTCTTAAACCATTTATTAAAGGTCCAGGGAGAGCAGGTATACTCACGTAACAGGTCCCGCTGCGAGTGCAGCGCATCTATGCAGTGAGCATAGGGGCTGGAGGCGGCGGGCTGCACAGCTGACTGTAGAGCACACTTCTGGAGTTGCAGGACGCGGAGCAGCTCATTGCTCTCCCGCGCTATCTTCGGTTCAGGGTATACGGCGCGGTTCTGAGATGTACAAAAGCGAATGATGTTAACAAGTATAAGAGAGATACATATATATACACGGTGTAAGGGACGTCGTAACGAATACTAAAATAGTGTATTCAGACCCTTATTCTCAGTCGAAAATCATTGGAAGTTTCTGCCGAAAAAATTAAACTTTTTATGCAATCACCTGTCAAAGGTTAAGGTCATTCCCCGTAGGTATCGCACAAAAGTAATAACTGCATGTGTATTCCGTGCAAACAGTCTACGCACACTAACACAAAATGGCGGCCGGAGGGGAGGTCCCGCGCGCTTCAGCCGTTTGATTAATTACATTTCAGTTATTTGGTATTTATTAACAGTAAAATATTCTGTTTACTCATTGTGATATCATTTATCATCATTTTTAACCAGAAAAATGGAAAATTAAAAAATCAAAAGGAATTTCCGGCAGAAAATTTCAATCATGGTCTGAATACACTATTTCAGTATTCGGTACGATATCCCTTACACCTTGTATATGTATATTACACTCACCTATATTTCCACGAAGGGGTGGACAGATGTGCATTAAACTCACACATTTTGACGACTATAAGTCTAGTCCTACTTACTAACCTAGGGGGCAGGCCTATTGCCGTGGACCGAGCGTATAAATACATACATATTATAGATAAAAGAAACCAGAACAAACGATTGTTTTTATCACATAATATTTATACCACCAGGGTGGGAATTGAACCCACCACCTCCGGCTTAGCAGGCAGGATCAATTCGAAGTTTAAATATATGAACCATATTGTGTACTGAACTGGGGTGAAAATTGGGTGAGACATAAGTAGATGAAATATCCCTTACCAGCTTATTAACAGAATCGTTGACATGGTAGCACGCTTCTAATAGTCTTCTTCGTGTGTCGTGATGGTCTGGGTTCTAGTACGAACGAAACACTTTTAGCTAAATTAATAACATATATTATGTCTAATACATGGAAATCAATGTTTGTTAGTATTTATGTCGTGACTGTTTATATCGGATATAATTTTGCCTACAAGTTGGCTGGGATACAACAGAGCACAGAGGAAATTTCATAATTTCATTTTTTTCAAGCAGACAAAAGACAATAACGCAATTTTATCAATATTCCATATTTTTTTGAGCAACGGAACTCTAAAAATGAAATTATGTTTAGCTGACGTACCAAAACTTAGAAAAAAACCGTAATTTATTAAGTTTTAATGTTAATTTATCTCTCGTTACAGGGATATGCCCATTATCCTTCCATGCTCATCGTACGGATACCAAACATGGACACTAACTGAACATCAACTTAAACAATTACAAGAATGTCAAAATGGGATTGAAAGAAGCATTATTGGGGTTAACAGAAGAGACTAGGTGAGGCTATAAAACATCAGAAGAGAAACTAAATTTAAATAAATATATGTACCGTTTACAAACGCCTAATATGTAGGTGGACAGGACACATGCTAAGGGAAAGGCAAGAAAAGTGGACATGAATAATAACAGAATGGTACAAATGGGACGGAAAGAGAAACAAAGGTAGACAACGTGAGCGTCGGGAGGATTACATGAAAAGGATGGCTGGTCCAGAATGGATTGCTAAAGACATGGTGAAATGGAAAGCTTTAAAGGAAGCTTTCGTCGAAGGATAAGCTGTGAAAGATTACGGTTGCTGAATAATTAGCTTAAAATTAATGTTAAATTTTTTATTACTTATACTATGTATTATTACGTTTTAATTTTAATCTCTCGTTCTCTCTGAACTCTCTTCATTGTTAGAAATGATGACATTACCTGACAAAGAACCTCCGAAGTGTTGAGCAGGTCATACGTAGCGAGACACATCTCGTGAGTCGCGTCCTCGATCTTCTTGGACTGAATCGGTTTCTGCAATTTTATTAATACATATAAAGAGGTTTATTAGCATTAAAATTGTAATAATCTAACTTAAAGATAGCAGATAACTTAGAGATAGGAATGAAATTTAAAATAATTCCAATAATGCATCCAGTAGTATTTTGAAAGTGTGTAAAATAGGGAAGATCACACACCTGAGTGTCCCGGAGCGCGCGCGCGGCCCCGGCGAGCTGCGCGGCGGCGGCGGCTGAAGCGCGCAGGCTCCGCGCCAGCGCCTCCGGGTTCTTGACGCTCTGGAACACGCTGCCGCTCATCGACGACAGCTTCGTCGATAGCTGCTGGAACTTCTCCTCCACTTGGCTGTACGCGTTACATGTTGGGTTTAAAGAATTTTATTTTCATAAGAACTTACAGTTAGTTCAGTCACTCAGTTCAGTCAGTCATAGTTATTAACTTATGACTAATACAATATTCATCTCTTAGCATATTGGATGCTACAATGTACATACATACATACATAAATGTTTCTTAAGCCCGCTTTTAAATGCATTTATATTATTACAATCCTTTAATTCTTTTGGCAGTCTATTTTACAGCTGTGCCCCCTCATATAGTATTGTTTTTTTTTCCGTAGTTAGTTCTTACTTTCGTTAGTTGTAATTTATTTATATTTCTTAAATTATGTGTGATTGGTTTTTTGTGTAATTGTATGTTAGTTTGAATGGAATTGTTAGTAATCTTTTTAATTAGAATGCAAGTATGACAGACGTACAGTTGTCTGAGATTCAATAATTTAGTTTTTTCATATAGTAGTTTAGTTGGAGTTAGATAATGGTAATGGAATAGCACTTTAATTAATTTGTTTTGTATTCTTTGCATTGTATTCAAATTGGTTACAGCTGACCTAATCAAAGAGTTATAAATAATAGTACGGGTTTTGGTTGGAATGCACTTTGATACTTTACGTAATACGTGATCTATGTGTAGTTTCCATGTAAGTTTGTCATCTACCCACAATCCAAGATATTTTTCGTGATAAGACCGTTTAATTATGTCATTATTTATTGTTAGTGGTGTAAAGTCTGGTATATGTTTATTTTTTGCCGCGAAAATCATAAATGATGTTTTTGATGTGTTTATCGTCAGAAGATTATATTTTAACCATTCGTTAAGAATATTGAGGTCATTTTGAGCGTCAGCTATGATATTGTGGATAGATTTACCGAAATAAAATAGACATGTGTCGTCCGCATATAATGTTAGGTGTCCTGTCATGCCTATTTTATTAATATTGTTTATGTAAATTAAGAACAGTAATGGGCTGATAATTGAGCCTTGAGGACAGCCATATGTTACTTTTTGAGTCGAACTAGTGAACTTATCTAGTTTAACAACTTGTTGCCTATTGTCTGAATATGATTTAAACACACTAAGGGCTGTGCCTGTGATACCTATGTTGTCTAATTTCTGTAAAAGCTTTTGGTGGCTTACTGTTTCAAATTCCTTTTTAAAATCAAGATAAATACCTAAAGTTAAGCTCCTTTGATCGATGTGAGTTTTAAGTTTCGTAATTAAGTCTACTGTGGCCGTGAAAGTATAGAATCTGAACGAAAGCCATACTGTTGGTCGATTAAAAACTTTTTTTGAGTTAAATAGTTACTTAAGCGTGTATATTAAACCCGTTCATACGAGTATATCTTAGATATCACCGGCAACACCGACACCGGCTTGTAGTTACTTGGGTCAGTTCTACTTCCGGATTTGAATATAGGACTGACCCTAGCAACCTTGAGCGTATCGGGGAAGACACCGCGTGATAAACACATATTTTATGCAGGTGGTTAATCTCTCAGCAATTATGTTTTTAGGCACTTAATCACTTTGGTACTTATACCATCCAGGCCAGTGCTAGCGTTGCTGTCCAGATCATCAATAATTTTGGATATTTCACTTACATTACATGGTGAGAGTTCATACCCAACAAACAAACTAAGCTTATAACATTAAGTCTATAAGGTCTTAACTCTTATACTTGTTATAAAAGAGCATTTATTATGTCAATGTTCCTTATAGTGGCACATTATTAGAAGATTTGGCTAAATGTTCCTTATAGTGGCACATTATTAGAAGATTTGGCTAATATTACTTTTATCCTTATAATTTGGCTGGGTAAACGTTAATAAATCCAATTAATACGGCTACAATAAGGGTTCGTAATGTGTTCTTCTTATAGAGGCTAGTTACATTGCTTTTTAGGCTAGTTACATTCTAAGTCATATAAAGACTTTTAATATGGTCAATTATTCTTAGAAAAGTAATGCATAAGGTAACTATGATGCTCTCTAACTTTTAGGAGCATTTGATAAGACGTCTAAACAACAAACGAATTCTAACATTTTATATGATCTTTACAAGGATGAAAGCAATCCGTATTCCCATAAACAGTGATTATAAAGATATTATTCTCTTTAGGGTTACATTAAAATGTTTTACATAACTAGATTCGCCATTTTGAAAGTACAGCAGATTCTGTGAATTTATTACGGAGCGGAATTTACATTTAAAAAATGGATTCAAAAGACTGGAAGAAGTTTAAAAGGAGCAGTGGTTACAGAAGAAAAGTAAAAAAAGTCTACCAAAATATGGCTGTGAGCATTGCACCCACCACATCTACTCCTATGATGCTACAAAATGACCAAGCCGATACCAACGAATCAGCCAGTGGTTCCGCAGAGGATTATTTTATAGAAAATGATAATGAAAAAGAAACCAGTGAGGAAGAATATAATTGTGGCGATAGTGATAGTGATATAGACATATTTTTAAATGAAGAGCTGAAGAATATTGATATTCGTAGTGATATTAGAGAATGGGCAGTGAAATTCAACATTTCACATATAGCTTTAAGTGACTTATTAAAAATATTATATCATGTAATGCCAAACAAAATGCCATTAGATGCGCGTACATTGCTCAAAACAAATAAAGTAGAAATATGCATTACTGAAATTGGTACTGGACATTATTGGCATAATGGATTACTTACACAATTACAAAAAACCTTCAAACCCGCGCGCTAACAGATGTGGGCCTCAGGTTATACTAAATCCTACCTACCTACATGCTTTTGTTATTCAGATATAGGAATAGGACCGATTACCAATTTTGGGATTGTCCGTTCAGCAGGATTACAAAAAAACGTAATAAAGTAAAACTAACATTTTATTAATCAGCTGATAAAGTTACCGTACACAGTCTGTAAGGTACGTGACCTTTCTTTAGGCACTAGTCTAGTAGGTACCTACTACTTTCATGAGTAAGATTTCCGCTTTTTAGTGATGCTTAAAAATGAGTTAATTATCATTAGGTAGGTGATTTTAGAATTCGAACTAGATAAAATATGGCTATCGTTCACTGTAGCCTGTATTGTAGGTATCTAGAAAACGGCCGGCGCGCGGCGGGCGGCCGCGGGCGCCCGCGCCGACAGTCGCGTCAACCGTCGAGACGACACTCACATACATGTTTGTTTTGTTAAAATAACTTTAGTTCGATCTGAAATACTGTCAAATATAAACAATTTAAAATAGCAGCTTTATTAATTATTGAACACGTACCGTAATTTAAATTGATTATTTATGTATTTTTTGACAACCTCCTGAATTTTGACAAGGATGCAAAACTACACCTTGTGTAAATAATTATATTCTTTATTGTGTAAGTACTTAGAATTTTAATTATACTTCAAACCTAAAATTAGTGCACAAACGCAAGCTTGTCCCTATAAAGAGATCTCTTCCAGCCAACCCAACCATAGTGTGGAACATAAATTTTATACAATTATAATTATGGGAACAAGAATAACTAGGTACAGGATTTTGTTCGTGAGAAAGGAACCCTAACGATATTTAAAATGGCGATAGCCTATGCAACAAATATTTCCATTATAAAGTCTTCACTCTCATAGACTCCTTGTAGACGATGTGAGAATCGTTTTGCTCTCATAATAGCACTGTTTATAACATGACAAAATAATTTATAACGTTTGTAGCACAAAAACAGCTAAAATTCAAGGGCGCGTTGATTCTACAACACACAGCGTACCACATTTTATCATGCATTTGAATTCCCATCCACTTTTCTCTATAAATGAGCACATAAATTAGGTAAATACATAAAATAATTACTTACCGTTCACTTTTCACTTATAAAATGGTTGACTTTTCTCTTTATTAGCCAAACTGTTGCGAAAATGCCAAATCACTAAGAAAAAGACTTATTGCAGAATCATAAACAGACGGCTTTAAGGGCCTACGGCTTTTTAAGAGCCTTTGATTTTCCGCAATGAGTTTAACTACCTTATAATGGCCCGTATATGCTTTCTATATGTTTCTTACAAGTGTATGAGGTGGCTTTTTAGGAGCTTTTTTCTTGCCATTATAAGTTCAACTTCCTTGTTCCTTGTCATAATATAACACGTATAAGGAAAAAAAGCGGACAATAAAGCAACTTCAAGAGGGGTATAAGTTATTGTCCTTATAATTTGTGCCCAAACGCACCCTTATTAGCGATAATGCGGCTCCTATAAGAATATTATTTTTGGTCATGAAAGTCACTTCAAGAGCAATTTTTGTTTGTTGGGTATAGTGTCAGGTGATGAGTATAATTTTGGTCATACATTAGGATATTGCCCGTATTTACGTGATACATGTTAGGTATATTGTTAGCTAAATCTGCGCCTACTAATGAGAAAAATGAGTTAAATAAATCACATATTAAATTACCTTCCGTAATAATTTTCGAGTTAGATATCAGTTTGGGGGGAGCATCGCTGTCTTTTATTTTATTTAAACCTAAGTTACCAATGAGCTCCCACATTTTCTTAGGTTGTTTTCTACATTTATGAAACATTGTATGGTAGTATTTTTTCTTGTGTGTGTCGATTAAGGTCTTAACTCTTTGTTGTTCAGCTACAAACTTCTCACGTTAAATGTTATCATTTGGGTTCGATTTCGTTTGTTGCCATAAAGTATTTCGTAGATTTATAGCATTAATAATAGTTCGATTTATCCAATCTTTTTGGGGTGGGTTCGAAACTTTTGATTTATCTATTTTATTCTTGTGTATCTGTTCTAGTATAAAATTTTCCAAGTAATAAAAATCATGGTCGTTGTTCATGTATATTTCGCCTCTAGAGTACTATTATATAAGATTTCGTAGACTATTGCTTTGTATTGTATTTTTTTATTAATTTGTGGTTTCATACGCCCAATTTCGACATATATCTGTTTATGATCAGAAAGACTGGATTCAATTATCGATATACTGAATGAGTGGTTGCCTATGTTTGTACATATATGATCCAGTATAGTGTTTGTCGTGTTCGTGATGCGCGTACTGTGCGACCTGTCAATTTTATTTAATATTTCATATCCCACTTCTTCGGTTTCTTTCATGTATTTTTTGACATTATTGTTGGTACTGAGTAAATCTATATTGAAGTCGCCGAAAACAATCGATCTTTTTCGTCGTTCTAGTCGCGAGGAATATGTTTCTAAGAAATTGTTTATATTAGTTTCTCCAGGTTTATAAATCGCTCCAATGTTTAAAGACAGTTCATTTATATACATCCATAAGCAATGATTCCCATTCTCGCATAATTCTTCGGTTATTTCATAATTTATGCTGTTGTGTACATGTATGAATACACCGCCACCTTTACATTTTTTCCTATAATTGTAAACATGTTTATAGTCTTGTAGTTGATATAGTTTTGCATCGGCTTCTGAGTTAATCCAAGTTTCAGTGAATATCAACAAGTGTGTAGTGGTTGGTATCGCTTTTAATATACATTTTATTTCGTCTAGTTTGCCATCTTTACGAATACTACGCAAGTTAGCATAAAATAATCTTATTGAGGACGAATGTATTGGGATATTTTCATATTTGTTTACTAGTTGGTGACTTAATGTACTCATTTCTTTAGTGTGACATTCATTGAGTGAAACATGTTACTTCATTATACCGCTGTACGTATGTTCAGGTTTACTTTATAATACATATTATATACAGGGTTACTGGGTGAGTTGACCTATACTTTATGAGGTTATAGTCGCCATCATTTCTGATGAAATCATTTTTAAGGTTTTGCACTTTTAAGATTTTTTTACAAAATCGCCGAAATTTTGCCTAAATAAAAAAAAGGTTTAAACTTTTATTTCCTTTATTTTATGCTTTTTTACTGCTGCTAATGCTTTTTTACTAAAATTGTAGTTAACTACTTTTTATTTAATAAATTTCATTTCGAGTATCTAAGTCGACTTAGATACAAGATACAAGATATTTTATTTGCATAAACATGTGTACATTAAAGATGTTAAGTAATATTGCCTGATCGACATGTTTGACCGTTACCGGTGTACAAATATAAAATTAATTTAACAATAGCATTTTTCTACATGTAACATAAAATCGTTTAAAAACATTTTAAAAAATCAAAAAAAGAAGAAAAAACAATTACAACGAAAGGACTCGAATATCATGGTTATAGGTATACATTATCAACTATTAACCGTCTACATTAATTTATTTAATCTAAAACATTCAATATTCAACATAAATATATTTACTGCAATCAATAATCCATCAATCATACAAAAAATCATCAATGATACATTATATCATTATGGTTATAAAGTGTTGTCATTCAAGAAATTCTCTAGTCTATAATAACAATTTTCAGCTAATAATGTTTTAAATTTCGTCTTAAATTTATTCATGTCCAAGATCTTAATATATTTGGGAATTTTGTTAAATATCAACGGCGCCTTACATACGACACTTTTATGCATCAGGGCTGTTTGTGCTGGATGGACACAAAGTCTATCATTGTCGCGGCGATTACGATTACGACTTACCCAGTAACCCTGTATAAGTTACAGACCGTATAAAACACAAACCAAGTATCGTGCTTATTACAATTATTTGTCCTGGATGGGAATCGACTTCACAACTTCAGACTTAGCAGTAAGTATCACAAACTACCAGACCACAAAGCCCATAAAAACAACAAGAAAAGAGATTTAGATATGACAAAATCTACATTGACGCAAATGACGCCGCGGGTAAAAGTTACATACTACCTAAACTAAATGACTAGTTTATAAACTTAGCACTTACTTGCGAGTGCCCTCAACCTTGTGACCCTGGGTGGACAGCAAACTTTCAATATCCTCATCTCTCACCACCTCAATTTCAGGTTTTTTCTTCAGTAAGCTCCCCGTTTTGTTTATTTCCTGTAATATTAGACAATTTTCAGTTTTTTTTGTTTTCCTTATTGGATTGGATTACTATGTATGTATTATATATTTAGTGGCCAGAAAGGAACGGACCTGAACGAGGGGGCTAGTGCTGTCAGTTTCGTCGTGTTTCATCCAGTTGGCACTCTGCAGGCAGCTGATCTCCGTGTAGTGCTGCAGCCCTCCGGCAATTCCGGAGAGACAGGAAAATAGATCATCGTTTCTGGAACATAAATATTACACCATAAAGTTTGGTACTGGTGGGAGCCTTTATGGTGATGAAGAATTTATTGTGAGCATTAATTCCTGTGTAAACCAGCTGCTGGCGTAGCGTTGGTAAGTGTAAGTGACTCTGCGACTCTGTCAAATAATAATTCGACGTTTCACGTGTTGTAGACGTCCCGACTACACATTTTTTTTTTGATATAAAAGCTTTATTTTTAAGAAAGTTTGTACATTATTAATATTACGTCACCATTTTCGGGAGGGTAGTTGATCACCATAGAGGCAGATATTTTTATTTTGTACACACGACTGTCTGATCCCAAACTAGGTAGAGCCTCTGCTACGATAACCATACAGACTGCTGATAAACATACTTATATATTTCTTAATACGTACATGTTATAGATAAATTACACCGAGACACAGAACAAATGATCACACAATATTTGTACCGGGTGGAAAGTGACCATCGCCGTCCATGAACGTCTGCAACTCAGGAGTAACAAACGCGTTGCCGGCCTTTTAGGAAGGAGTACGCTCTATTCTTGAAGGTCGTATAGGTCCAGAAATACCGCAAACAATAACCCGTTCCACAGATAGGTTGTGCGGCAAAAAGTGTCTCGAAGCGCACAGTAGTGGAGTGCCAACTATCCAGGTGATGAGGATGAAAATTTTGCCGTGTGGAGCGATGGCGGAAAGATGCGGCTGTTTGCTTGCTATCATTCTCTAAAGAACACGCAGTTCGTCATGGTTCTTTGTGTCAACTCAGACACTGGTTAGACGTTTACGGGAGCGACAGTGTTGTGCAGGTATCACTATTTATGACTCATGATTAGTCTTTGTGAAACTTTTTGAAGTTTAGTATACAGCGGCGTTTTGAGTTTTGCTTCTTGATATTTACTTTTCATTCGTTTTTAGATTAAAAATACCATCTTTACTGTTCATGGAAGCAACATTGGCTAGATAGTGATGGAGAACCTGAGGGCACTGAAATTGAAGATTACGAGGCACGCTAACAAACATAACGAGGTGGTTAATTTATTATTATTACGTTCTGAAGAAGGAATTGTAAATAAATGAGCAAAGAAGTCAAACATCGTAGAATTTTATAATCATAGGAAAGGTGGTATTGACAATCAAGATCACCAGTATTCGAATATAAGCTGTAGCCGAAATACTAATCGACGGCATATGTACCTATTTTATGGAATGCTAAATAGTGTCTTCGTAAACAGCCAAGTAATAGGTATAATGCGAAAACAAGCTCAATGTCAAATAAAATCCGCTAAAAACATTTATGGATATTGCAGATAGGAGAAACGGTTTTCTTTTTTAACCGAATTAAAAAGGGTGAGAACATATATTCAAGATTTCGTGTCTACAAATATAGAAGAAAAAGGGAAGGCAGAAATCAACAAGAAGCGCCTGATGCCTAAAATTAGTTTTGATGTTCGATTTATGTACTTCTTCATGTGCAGTCAAAACGATTTACGATCAGTAGTTACGTTTGTAAAATATGATTAGTGTCTAGGGTTAATAGAAAATAACAGAAACGAGCGAGTCGTCGAGCGTAGTCTCACGTGACGCGTAATAGCCGGTGCGTGTAACAGTAATAACGCACGTTTCCTCGACTTCCCGTAACATACTTCCGTTCCTTTTTAGGAAATCATTCCCATCGATGCAGGAAAGCGAAAGGAAAGATGCTACAAGTTAAAACTCGTTCCCGCACTGTGTCTCGTGTCGGAACATGGCGCGGTTTCGATCTGTTCGCTTCGGTGAGGCGACAGCCCTGGACGGTTCACTAGAAGTAGAAATACGTACGGCGCGGTGCAGAGGCGGGGCTCGTGCGCGGAGAGGCAGCACGAGGCCAGCGCGGGGCGCAGCGCCTGCTGCTCGCCGCGCCCCGCGCCCCGCGCCGCGCGCACCAGCCGGCTCCACGCGCGGCCCGCGCGCCACGGGCACTGCGCGCGCTCCTGGGGGGTCAACGTGACATTACACATATATTCAACGTTTGTGAACTGAAGGTCAATTCTGGTAATAAAAATTGAGTTCCGATCTACACTCGATCATAAATGTGATCTCAAGATTAAAATAAAAATATTAAACGTCCGACATCGGCTGTCATGCGATTAAATCGTATCGTAACCGAAAGTTGAATTCGAATCGGTATTCTACTGATCTCATTGATGCTTCACTACGAGAATATCTTTCGAAATCGATAATGTAAATAATAAATATTTATGACATCGAGAGTACATCGAAAATAAATTTGAAACGAATTTTTATTACGAGAATTAACCTTGTCATTATAATAATTCTGCAATAGTCTCATTAAATTAGAACAACACGATTCTTCTGAACATGATTTAAAAATGATTCAAAACCATGACAATCAGTAATGTTATTTAAAAATAATTTTGTAAACAACGCTAAAAACATGCTTCTTACGTTACATATTTTAGACGAGTTTTATATATTAACCAATGAGAAGTATTATTACCCTCTCCTGCTGCCTGCGCTGAGTACCTATGACCTTAATGACCGTGTTCTGGAAGTCGTCCAGATCCTGCAGCGTCGCTTCGAAGGCCGCGGACTTCGCAGTCGACAGCGCGCTGTTCGTGGCGAACCTATCAACATACAACAGTTTGGAACTGAAAAAACGTGTCAAAGTATACATATTCTCACAGTTACATTATATGTAAATAATAATAAGTACACACACCTCACACACGGGCCCTCTAATCCCAAACCTACAGACCCTATACTCTAGTAATCAGACCGCTGATACAGATAAACATACTTATATATTACTAAACACCTACGTATTATATATAAAGTACCCAGACATAGAACAAATGATTGAGCTCATCACACAATTATTTATCTCAGGTGGGAATCGAACCCACAATTTCCGGCTTTGCAGTCAGAGTCACTAATCATTACGCTGTTATATATTATTGTATATTCACAAGTAACAAATAATCCTGACTAATGTAAGAAATTCTTGTATCAATTTATTTAGTTATCGATTAAGTTGTAAAGCCTTAACTACTCAAAAGATTTTCATGAAATTTTGCACAAAAAAAATATTGACCTTGATAGAAAAAAATATAGTAAACAAATTGTGAGCATTTTAATTCCGTGTGGTGACGGATTAAGAATACCGAATGTCACTACAACTATTCATCCCGTGGGTGTCGTAAGAACCGACTCAGGGAGCAAACTACACGGGACAACAGCACTGTAAAGAGAAGGAAAACTTGACCTATGCCAACCCTTCTAGGCAGCGTGGTATAGTAGGCCAAAACCTCCTTTCTAAGGAGAGGCCAATGTTCACCAGTAGAGTGTTAAAACCTGATGATGATGATGAGCATTTTACTACACATCTGTCTATCCTTTTGGAGACAAAGACGTGAATGTATATGTCTGTAATGTGTATAATGTATGTATGTAATGTATAATGTATATGAATGTATTACTGATATAAAAACAATTGTAACGCGAGCAAAGCCCGCAAATTATACAAATATAAATGTATAACGAGGTATTTATACTTTTCAAGCACTACTGACCGAAAAATACAAAAAACCGTGTATATGATACACAGATAAATCCAGAGTACCTTAGGAAATTGGAGTTTTCAGCGACATGCAGCAGTTTCGCGTGCAGCGCACTCCTCGACTTCGACTCCGGGATGCTCCTGATCATCGAGTTCAGCTCCTTCGTCAGGTGATCACACTCCTGCCGTGCGTTTTATAAACTTTAAAAACTTGATCGTTTTTTTGTGGATTCACATTCATTATAAGACTATTTTTACATAAAACAATTGAGCTTGTATAGAGAGTAGGTTTATCAATACTAAATACATTAGAATAATAAAATGTGAAATTATTTAGAAAAAGACCTGAAATAGTTTTTTGTTTTTGTTTCAGTCACAGGTTTAAGTATCGTCGATAATGACATGATATTTTGCCGATTTCAAAAAAAAGGAGGACGTTCTTAAATATTAAAATTAATATTTGTTATGACAGAATTGCGTCATTAAATATTTTTATTTATTCCTGGAAGGTTCCAAATTTTGAAAACCAAATACCATTTAATATTATTTAACGGGAATTAACGCGATCTCTTATTTAGGGTATTACCACGGCCGGTGCAACCTGGTCGAAACGTCAGGCAAACCAGAGGTATGTAATACCCTAAATAAGAGATCGCGTTAATTCCCGTTAAATAATATTAATTATCATGGAACGCGAAAGTTTAAAAGTTAGTATAACCAAATACCAACTCTAAGTTATATAATTAAGGAAAGAAGATTACAGTTTATTAAATTTAATCTTGATGTGACATTCTGACGGCAATCCTACAATTTGCGCACCTTGGGGTGGATCTGATAATGAAGTCAAGAATATGCTTGGCTCATATGATTCGTTTTGATGAGTCCGACAGATTAGGTTTGGTAACAATGGTGTGATAAGGAAGCGAAGAAGTGGATAGTGGTTTATTTTTTAATGCCAATTGCCATTCAATTTTGTTTTTTTTTTTAGGGGGCAAACGAGCAGGCGAGTCACCTGATGTCAAGTGACTATCGCCGCCCATGGACACCTGCTACTTAAGACTTACAAGTGCCTTGCTACACTTTAAGTTCCCAGTAATCAGGGGTTTGAGGACTTACTTAATTCAAGATCGCATACCTACAGCTTCAAATAGCTGTTTCTGAAATAAAGGAGCAAGCGAGCAGACGGGTCACCTGATGGTAAGTGACTTTCGCCGCCCATGGAGACCTGCGACCTTGAAACCCCTCAGAATTAGGACAAGACTCCGACAACCTCACTCACCCTTGAAAGAACACCACATTCACGAAAGAAAAGCTTTTTTTAAGTTAATACCGGTTTTCTGTAAGGCCAATACCAGGGCCCCCTGTCGAGCCGGCCCATTTTTGTCGAACCATAGAAATCGGCATGTGTTTAGTAATAACACGTTTTTGATACAACTACGACATTTGTTTACCTGTCCAAACTCATATATCTCCATCATATCTTCGTAGCTGTCGTATCCGGTGTGTTGGGTTGGATTCATCAGTCTCCTGGCATCGTCGCTTATCTTACTGCACAACAACTTTATATCCTGTGACATCACAAAAATATGCACTTTTTTATCCTAAAGATTAAGTAAATAATAAATAACTCCATGTTATTTTATGTTTGATTTGTGCTAAATGATAAAGTTCCATACTTGTGTTAGGAAATGGTTCACAATAATCACAAGAGTAGTGCACTCGGCGGAGTTCGAATCCGCGAATACTTTTTTCCTTTTTTTTTAAAGACAACTCCCGCATTGGGAATATACCTTGTGACGCAGGGGACTTTACAAACAAACATGAAACGGACACAAAGAACACCCAGACTCAGAACAACAATTTGTGGATCACACAAAGTGTCGTCCCATGTGGGGATCGAACCATCAACACTCAGCGTAGCAGTGAGTGGCGTGGCGGCCGCTTAAATCACTACGCTATATGTGCAATCAACTTGATCGCAAGTCCATTACGCCTTAGCCACTACCCTGTCGCTTAAAAAAATGCTTTTTTAGTCAATACCACTCTTAGATAGAAAGGTTAAAAGTACTCACATCAACGACTCTCTTGTCCACTACTACGGAGTGTTTATCAGCAGTTCTTGCTAGATTGTCGGACTCCGTCGCCAGGCCTTGCAAGAAGTCCTACAAATGTGAGATCATGTATGAGAACCTTGCATGAAGGGCACAGCAGCTAATGCAGTGTGTCCGTGTATATACTTATGAATTGTACTTTAAATCAAATATATTTTTTTTTAAAGTTTTCTCAGGGGCTCACTGTGCAGACTTGTACAATATGAGTATCTCAACTATTATCATTATATCAAATATGAGTTTGTCTGTTAGCTTTAACGCCAGAAAACTAACCGACCTTTGAAAGTAATAATGTGCTAAGTGTGTAGAAAATAATATAGGTTACCCTTAATCTAGACAACAAAAACTGTTACCGAGGGCTACCGGAAGTGAATGACAAAATTAAGATTAACATTAGCAAAGATATAGATGTATAGTAGAAATGAATAGTTTAACAGCAAATGGTAGATATTTGTGTAGGAAGGGATGTTATGTCCCTCCAATACAAAGGAAGGATCCTCCGACCAGGCGAGGTGATCAAACCTAGAGGGCCGCATCCCATCGATTGTATTACATACTATTAGAAGTTTTATTGCGCAATAAGGAGAGTTGTTACTCCGTAGTTCGAGGTGTTTTCGTTAGATTTTTTTTTATGTTAGAGGGGGCAGACGAGCAGACGGGTCACCTGATGGAAAGTGAGCATCACCTCCCATTAACGTCTGCAACTCAGGAGACAGAAACGCGTTGCCGGCCTTTTAGGACAAAGTACACTCTTTTTTTGAAGGTTTGAAGGTCGTATCGGTCCGGAAATACCGCAGATGGTACTGAAGTATGTTTTTTGTTTCATTGTACGTGGAAGTCGCCACAGACTCCTTTGTTACATTACAGTTCTATGATGAGTAAACTTACTCTAAAGTCCACGATGTTGTTCGGTTCCTGGCCCGCCCTGGAAGGTCGGGTCTGCAGCGCCATCATCTGTACATCCTGGATAGCTATGTCCATCTCGTTCCGGCGGTATTTATCCTACACATTGAGAAATATTTTAATTAAATGATTTTCTCGTACTCCTTCGTTTCCAAAATATGTTTCTATGTTAAGTGAAAAGAATTATCGCATTTGTCTGTGGAGAGTAGCAAGGCTTGTTAGATACGAGGATAAAACATCCGTCTAAAATAACGGTAAGTTTAACCTTTTAAAAACGAGCTGTAAGCTCAAAAAATACCTGAACAGTAACTTTGTCATAACAACACAATAAACATACTTATCAGCAAAAGTTCAATACATGGTATAGTACGGTATTAAAATGTATAAAACGTATATTAATTAACGACATTAGTATTCTATTGTTAAATAATATGCTGTAATGATAATTAAACTAAACTCACCAGACTACATCAACCTGTCACAATGGTCAGTGTGGCCTGGTGGTAACGTCAGGTCGTTCAAACGATTGCCTTTATAAAGCAACTATCAAAATACACCAATTTGTTGTTTACTATGTTGAGTTTGGCTAGAGATTAGTGAGCTACTTACATGTGGAGCTCGCTGACACCTGGCGTTAGCGAGGTCCAACGCTCGCAGAGCCTCTGCCAGTCTGCTGTGGTACTCTCTGTACTCTTGCTTGGCGTCCGGTGATAAATCGCCGTGTTCCACCATAGTCTGTTTTTGTCAAATTTTTAATATGAATTAAATGTTTCCAAAATGTAAAATTTCACTCTTATGCTTTTCCACCTATTGCACTATATAATGTCTGTATTTATCTATTACTAATACAGACTTTTCCTTTTTACATAAACAAAAATTTTCAAATGACGAATTTTGAACTAAGTAAAATTTTACTTTGATTAGTTTAGATTTGACTGCACGGATGGCGTAGCGGTTTAAGCGGTCACCAGCGCCTCCTACTACGCCGAGTGTTGTGGGTTAAAACCCCACATGGGACGTCACTTTATGTGATCCACAAATTGTTGTTCTGTCTGGGTGTTCTTTGTTTCCGTTTCATGTATGTTTGTAAAGTCCCCCGCGACACACGATATATCCCTAATGCGGGAGTTGTCTTTTTTAGAAAAAAAAGGAAAAGAGTTGAATCATCATCCTCTGAGTCTTTGCCCGAACTAGGTTGGGGTACGTTTTTACGAGGAGCGACTGCCATCAGACCTACATAACTTAAGTAGAATGTTCTCGAATTTCTGTAGATGGACTATAGTCGAACTATTTAGGGCCCCAACTACCCGTCACGATTGGTACAGATGGTCTCATTGCAACCGGAACCGACAGTTAACGTGCTCCCCCCCCCCCCCCCGCGCAGAGTGGTCACAATGACAGACAGTACAGTATTAGTTTATAGTTGAGTATTCCTTGCTTTAGTTTTTTACTATCGGGAGGGATATTAAAAGGCGAATTAGCGCTATGTAGTTTAATGAGGGTTTTCGATACTTTTTCTGCCACCAGACGGCGCTTCGTATGCGTCTGGTCCAAACAACTGTCAGATACCACAGATTCTTACCGAACGTATATTTTTTTAGTGAAATTCTATGTATTTGGAAGTGTTATTGGGTTTATTGTGGATTACGGCCAGAGAAAGTCCCGTCAAAATGGGTCCAGCCGTTCCAGAGATTACCCGGAACAAACAGACAGACAGACAGACAAAAATTGTTTAAAATGTTATTTTGGCATATGTAAAGTTTAAACATCCATATGCATTTAGTTAAAAGCGGTTATTTTAATATTACAAACCGACACTCCAATTTTATTTATTTGTATAGATATCATGGAATGCGAAGTTTAAAAATCAGGTAACTCTTAAGATCAAGATTGTCTATTGTTAGTCACAAACATAAGGCGTAGAGACGATTCTAAAGGTACATACTCTTGCGTTGTCGATGATCTGGACAGTCATCTGCCGCAAGGGAGTGTCCACCACCACCAATCGGTCTATGTCCCGCCTCTTACCCCTTTCACTCTTCACGTCATCCTTTAGCTTCTCCATGAGCTTTGTCAGGTTCTTGGATTCCTCGGTGAGTTTCTTCGAGTGAGGGTCGGAGGCGAAGGGTTGCCAGGTGTCGGAGAATGTCGCTAGTTTTGCTGCGAGTGTGTCAGCTGATGATGCTAAAGCTTCCTTACAGCTTGTATGGTGAATGGTTGGAGCTACTAGCTGTTAAGAAAATAATGAAATAAACTTTATTGTGGGTATATCATGAAAATGGTGCTTACAATACAATTTTATGTGTATGTGTGTGTGTGTTTTACCTCTTAAACGGGTGAACTGATTTTGATTTAGTTCTCTAAGGGGCAGGCTGGGAGCATAATTCTAACCAATTATAGATTGTCCAGTTAACGTACGTAATGTACGCTTTGAACAAGATTTCTTCAACAATGCAGTAATGTAATCGTGGCAAATATCTGCCTTATCTCAAGTGGACTGTAAAACATTAGTGATAACAAAGTTACCTTAGCAGTATAAACGAGTTTGCCGGCAGCGTCCACGCACTGTGCCCCTGCCGCGCATATGTCCTGCACGCGGCTCTGCTCCCCGTGGGGGGACTTGTTGGCGGGCATGTTGGCGCTGATGTTGGCGCTGTTGTTGGCGACGTTGGTGGCGTCCATCGCCAGGCGCGACGCGCTGTCGCCGATAGCCCTCGCGCGGACTATCACCTACACATTCCGATCGTATTGACTAAATAACTATTGATATATTTTAGTGTTTTCAATCAAAACTGGATTTTAAGTTTTACCTATGTTTCATTAATAAATTATTATAATTCATAATTATGTTTAAACTTTGACCCGTTGCTCATTTGTTTATGTTAAAATAAAAAGTTTTACTTACGAATAACCTTAGGTTTTATTTTATTCCATTAAACAACAACAACAACAACTGGCATCAAACTCAGACTTATAGAACAAAAAATTAACCTAAATAGGATTTACACAACCTAAAAATAGCTAAGTAGTAGCCCACATAAAGCAGTAAGGGAAGTTGAGCAGTAGAAATGTTTTCCAACAAGAACCAGATTGTCTTACCTCCTTCTCCAAGCCAGGGTTCACGTTGGCGCTGACGACATGCAGCAATTTCGCCGAGTGGTTCCCAAACGCTATGGCAGCGTCGTTCAATTTCTGTTGTGAGTTTGTACATAGATAATTAAATACAAGTAAATAAATAATCGAATATTACTTTCATACTTTTAATTTACTTAAAGTTACAGATATAGTATTACTTTAGGGACCTATATTGACCCCTAGGGACTCCCTAGGCCTCTTGATAATATGTGTGTCTTTAAAAAGAAAAAATATTTTATAATAAAGACACTATGATTGGTAATCATGGTACAATGAACAAATTAAAACAAACGTAAAAATATAAACAATACAATATTTTTTTTCTTTGTAGGTATACATGAAAATTCTTAAATATGAGAACACTTTCAAAAGAGAGAGACGCATTAGAATCATACCTCTTTATCATATCTAGCTGCTCGACAAATACTCCTGGCGGCTCCGGACAGTCCCGACAGGTCGTCGATGAAGCTCCTTTGCATCTCCTTGGGCAGGGCGCCGCAGATTTTGCTACCATCTACAAAATAACATAATTAAAAACTCAGTTCTAAATCTAAACCTGGAGTAGGACAAGTAAACAGTTCAGTTCTAAGTGAATGAAAGAATGGATTGAACAGGTGGCCTCATTTGCCACCTTGCGCTTACGGAGGTCGTTCAGTTTCTTTGGTGTCGGAGCTGCCTGTGGTATCTGGCCCGTTCCCGACCCTGATGGACCGGGAGATTACCAAACCTCTCCCGGTCACACTTTGCCCTCTCCTTCGCGAGCATAACTTGCTCGCAGAAGGAAGTTCGACACTCTCAATACCATGGCCGCAATCATAGTACCGAGCAAGAAACTTTTACAGTCCGTAATTTGAGAAGTTATTATAATATAAATATCACTACTAAAATTAATCTGTCCTAATATATTGATGATAATGAAAGATGATGGAGTGCTAAGCTGAGGGAATTATATGATGAGTTACGAACTTATGAGTAATGTCGGTACTATTCGTAAAATTGATTCAGAATTTTAGACGAAAAACGTAACAGACAGATAATCAATCAGGCAAGTAGATAATTTTTTAACAATCATATTAGAATAGACATACAACTGTAGCTGTGGCCCGGACAGCTTCGTAAATCCACGCGAGTACTACATTATATGATTCTCTTTGTGGAAAATGTTATTCTTGTAAGTTGACCTACCTTCTACGATAGTCCTGACGGAGTTGCCCAAGCCCAGGGTCGGCTCTTCAGCGGCGGCGTAGTCCAACTTATGAGCATCTAAAACATTTGTACATGTGATATATATTCACAAAAAACCTCACTGTTTTATTCTTGACCATCTATGTTGTTTAACTGCAGTTACCTTATTATTGGGGCTCAATGACACTTAACTGAACTAAGTCGTCCACAAAATGGCAATGTCTTTGATTTACGAATAAATTATGTTGAAAAGTTATTCTACGTCACAAATGAACTTTCTCAGCATGACGCGTTAGCTGACACACTATTTCTACATCAAGAAATATTTTAAACTACTCCCAAACTATATGATATAGGTGCGTTCAAAAATATTGGGCATTAGATTAGGAATTGAAGTTGTGAAACACTTACAGTTGGCCGAGATAAGCGCAGCGACTTCAATTCCAGCCCTGGCCAAGGTGTCTTCTATCTTCTGTTCCTTCGTGATAACCTCCAATGGTGCTAAGTCGCAAGTAATCTTGGCTTTGTGTAACTGTAACACAGAAATGCCACTGTCAGTGGAAATAATGAATAACATTTTAAGACATAACACACAGCTATGTGGTCCCAATCTAAATGTTAGATAAATTCTAAAACATCGGAATCATTATTTTGTATTATGTATTGTACATAATTATAAATGAAAGCACCTCTTGCAAAGATGTACAAATATTTAACTGAGTGGGAATTAAACCTACGTCCCAATGTTAGGGAACATTCAAGTCAAATGCACTTAGAGCATGTCAGAGATCTAAAAAGGCAGAATTCTTTTAGGCAGCGAAAATCAATGTATAGTCATAAGTAAAGTTTATCTATTATAATTATTTTATATTCTCCTTAAAAATATTATGTCAATTCTTAGATATTATTACTGGCCCAAAATCGATCTAAGTGGCGTGCAATGGGTGAGGCCTATGTCCAGCAGTGGACTGCGATAGGCTGATGATGATTAAAAAGTCTTAACGTAACTTTCACGATACCTTCACAAGAGTCTCTTACCGCTTTGAGTGAGTTCTCGACAGCCTCGATCTCCTTCTCGGCAGCATCAACAGCTCGCGTGAACTGCTGTAGCTGGCTCTTCTCCTCGTCCGTCTTGCTCTGAGCTGCCACGATACGAGCTTCGTTGTCTGTCAGGGAGAAGCAAGGCTTAGAGCTTTAAGAAACCAGGCAGCTTACAAAAGTAAAGTTGCACAGTAAATGATTTTCAACCGTCTCTGTTTTCTCCAACGGCTAGTATTATATTTCTGGGAATGGGATATTTAGAGCCTCATCAAAAAGGAGATCGCACACCAATTTTTGAGGGCTTAGTGTAAGTTTATTTCACATCTTCTCGATCGTCACAGCGATATCGGCACTGAACTTTTCATCAATCGTTTGGCGTTTCGAACTCACACTAGTCCAGCAGTACATTGAAATTGCTTCCAAAAAATACTAGTAAAATTTTTTTTTACTTTAACCAGAGAAATAGGAATTTAAGGTGTTCAAGACAAGCGAAACAATTAGTATTTTGAATCTTTATATGTCGTTACATGTAAACCTTTTTGAGTTAATTAATACATGTAGTTCAGGGAATACATTCGTTTGTTCCACAAATCAAACCCGTCGTGGGGTCTTGTTCAGCATTCATCACCACCAGTTCCTAGACCCAAAAAGTGGCAAAAAGTCAGAGCCGTCATTTTACATCTCTTGAAGCAGAATAGGAATGTTATTTCACTTACCGTAGTCCTCCTCAGTGCGCAGAGCGTCGAGGAAGTTCTGCGTAGTGATAGAGTTGCGGGACGGTACAGCATGAGCCACCGTCTTGGTGGAACGCACTGGGACACTTGGCTTCTGAGGACCTGCGGGTCACTAAAAATGTTAGTTTATTCCAACAAATACCACATTAGTAATAGCATTGTGTAAGTAGAGTTTTTGTGGCAAATGTGGCAAATCAGTAGACGGGTCATCTAATGGTAAGTATCTACCGCTGCTCATGGACACCTGCAACTCAAGAATTCCTCCAGAATTACGGGAAGGCCTCTGGTAACATAATTTCTTCGATGAAAAGCAGCATGTCGCTAAGTCCAGAAGCCTTCTTCAGGTAAATCGATTAATACTCAGACAAATAATGCTTTATAAAAGTTTTAAGAAGATATATAGAGGAGAGTTAGGAACCTTTTGTTTTGCCACCTGCAGCATCTAATTGCTCAGATTCAGGACGAACAGATACCATCAACTTGCTGGACGCTTTAGCAAACTCCAGAGACGACTCGTTCAGCTTCTGTAATTGTGAAATATAACTGAATAATTTCCTAGATATCAACTTTATTGGCCCTACGTACACTCACGCCTACATTTCCAAAGGACACGCAGGCGTATTAGACGTCGATATTTTGCCACTAACAATTTAGTCCCACTTATATAATAGGAGACAAGTCTTTTGCCGTACACAGGGATTAGATAGGATAATTTGGAGTATATAGGAAAGAAAGGTAGATAAGAAGGTATGGCTGTGGTTAGGAAAGGCATATTGTGTACACGGATGAATTATGGAATGAAAGCAGTAGTTCGAGCAGGTCAAGCTCGCAGACCTGTAACTCAATTGGGGTTTTCTGGCAAATCCGAATCCCTCCGCCCCGAATAGATAAACTTTGGATTCCATTACAATTATAACTTCACACATCTCACAATAGCAGTCTGATCCAAAGGCAGAGCCTGTATGGAAACTAGACTGCTGATAAACATAGATAAATTACACGCAGACATGAAACAAATGATCGCATCACACAATATTTGTCCTGCGTTGGAATCGAACCCACCCGAAATTATTTTGTATAAATAATGAAAAGAGTCACTTGCAACATGGCGACGCGTCACCGCACCGCATTACATGTTACATAATTATACTATTATGTGTTAAGGCTGCTGCCGTGGTGACACGTCATGAAGTCGCGTCGGTGTGACGGTCGGTCCTCCGTATTGGATGTTTTACATCAAGAAATAAGTGTTGCTTAGTATATAAATACTACTAATTTACAATAAGAGCAGTTCAGAACTTACCTTCGGTTCATCAGCACTGTCACATATCCTACGGCTGGCGTCGCATAACACTTTGAGGTTTTCTTGTACCAACTGCTGATGGTCGTCGTCCCGTGTACAGGACAATGCCTTGCTTTCTGGAAATATAGTACACAATACAAGTACATTTATAACTATTTGTCTATGAACTATGAACGAAGCGCTAAATAGAGGTTTGGTAGAGGCACTATTGGGCATTCTTCACTCTTATCATAAACATTTACTAGAAAGTTTGATGTACCATTTTGCAGAAGTAATTTGTATTTGCAATCACTTATTACTAAAGTTTTTAATGAGTGCAACACTATTTAAACACGCAATCAAGACATTAGCATCTGTTGTGAAACACTTAGTAAATTAAAGAATAAATTGTATACAATATAAGTAATATTTAATTAATCTTTCTAGCTCCTTTGGAATGTAATTTGTTTTTTTTTATTATAGGGGAGGGCAACACGAGTAGACGGGTCACTTATCGGCCACTATTGGATACCTGCAACTGAAGAGACACTTGATCAATGCGTCACTATTTTCTTAACGCGAATGCATTGCGTTAAGAAAATAGTGACGCACAGATTAAGCTCCACCCCCTGACCAATCAGGTTCACAGAAATTATCGTTTTATACCAAAGCTTCAAACTTGATTGGTGAGTGTGGGGGGCTTGGTCAATGCATCACTATTCTTCTATTCTATTTTTATATCAAAATTCTTAACGCGATTGACTATTCTATTGAGTGTTTCCCCTGAGGCGGTGTTGTAAGAAAAGCAAAAAATAAAAAGCTAAAAATCTTTCTGAGGGTTTCTTTATATAATGTGAAACTGCGCGGATGGCGAAATGGTTTAAGCGGTCATCTCGCCGTTTTCTACTCCGCTGAGTGTTGTGGGTTCGATCCTCATATGGGACATCACTTTGTGCAAGCCACAATTTGTTGTTCTGAGTCTCGGTGTTCTTCGTGGCCGTTTCATGTACGTTTGTAAAGTCTTTCGCGACACAGGATATATTTTAATGCGGGAGTTGTCTTTTTAAAAACTATAAAAAAAATGTACAGATAGAAGAATTACCTTGCACAACTATCGGCATCAGTTCACAGATGGTGATGAGCGAACGCTCTGCTGTCGGGTAGTCGGGGTTCTCGTGATCTAAACAAACGGACAAGATAAAGATATATACATTTAAAATGTCTAATTAACATTATAAGAATGGAACGGAATTTGTTTAATTGTTTATATTTTGTCACACCTTAATTACTTTAAAACTATCATTAAGCTTGCAGATTATAAAAGAGCCAGAATGCAGAAGAACGAAATTCAACATTAAAGTGTGAGAATAGTTAAGTTTAGAGTTGAAGGGGCTAGTTACCGGCGCTGGCGGCGGCGAGCGCGGCCGCGGCGCTGTCCAGCTGCGCGAGGTGGCGCCGCGCCTGGTGGCGGCCCACCGGCCCCCCGCCCGCCCCGCCCGCCCACTGTCCGCGCGACACCTACGCATGCGGGCCAATACGTTCTTATAACACAATATTGTTTAAACAGGATTTATTATTCTTATGAAGTCAAAAACAGGTGTGGAGACCTTTGAGGCACAAATAATAGAATTCGATGCGTTTACTTTCTGTTTTACCATAATCACTTCCCTCTATTTATTTACATAAAACAAAAGTGGTTAATATTTTAATCAGTCCGTCTATAGAAATCGTTGTGAAAGCGACGCAAACATCTTAAATAATATCTTTATATAATAAAATTGAAAATGCAGAAAGAGTTTGAAATAAACAACATACCTAATTTAACTCAACTTTAATTAAAATCCCGGTTACCTCTTTCACTTGTTTCTGAGCCGCTTCTATTTGAGGCCTGACCACCGACACGCAGCGTTTAAATCTGTCACGCATCTTCTCTTGAAGTGCTGGGGACACCACCCCTTTACACCCTGTGGCACAAAACAAATGATCCTTGCTTACAAACGGTACACTTTATGTATAAATGAATAAGTAATCACACTACTTACGGACATAAACTTATCTACAAATAAACTCTCTGCGAATGTTATGATAACTTTCACATAATGATCAGCGACTTCAATGCTGATTTACCCGACTGCCAAGGAAGGGTTATGTTTTTCGTGCGTATCTTACATGTATGCATGTAATATTCTTTATTACCTCATATCTTCCAAACCGCTGCACGGATTTATTTAATTAACTTATCGTTAGATTCGTCTTGGTAACCCAAGTGTTCTTAGATAGGTGACGCGAAAAAAAAAACTAATATGACGACTGTGACACCTTAGTATATACATATAGACACTATAGAGAGATTTATTACAAATGCTATTAGAAGTAAAAGTAAACTTTACCACTTGAATGCAGCAACATGTCCAAATTATCTTCCAGGTGCTGTTGAGTATCCAGCAGCTCTTTCCTCTGAGCACCTGATTTAACGTGCGGGTCACACGCCTCCGTCAGTTCTGCCGCAGAGTCTTTAAGCTTCTGCACGGCTGACTCTAACGCCTTCTGGCACTGAGAGGAGTTTATACTGGGAGCAGTCACCTGTTAATGGTAAAATATTTGTTAGGAGTATATATGGGTGTAATTTCATCATCATCATCAACAGCCTTTAATAGTTCACTGTTGGACATAGGCCTCTCCTTAGAAAGAAGGTTTTGGCATACTATACCACCCTAGCCCGACGGGTTGGTATAGGGTTTGGTTCAAGTTTTCCTTTTCTTTACAGTGCTATTGTCGGCTCTTACGACACCCACGGGATGAAAAGTTGACACTTCGTATTCTAAATACACCTGCCATATGTTATAGAAGAATTAAATAATCCTGGGACATATTTCGGCCCAATCAAAGCCAATTAACTATAAAAATAATTCCTGACCGTTTAATTCATCTGCCTCAGAAGTCAGTGTCACTAACTACTACAGCAACAGGAGGCCAGTTAACCTTGTGCTGTGGGTTCTAGAACAAAGCGACTTTTTTGTAAATAATTTATCAAAAACAATTGCTCGCTATTGGGCTATAGAGGTCGTCGTTACACTATACTGAGTCGTCGTTACTGAGTTAGAATATAATTCTTGAGAGTTTTTGTAACCTGAGCAACTGCCAGAAGAGTCTGTTTAGCATCGGCGGTTCTGGCTACTCGCGATGCCAGGTCTGCAGCGACGTCACCGTGCAGCTGTTTGGTTAGAGCTTGTGCCTGGGACAGGAGCTCTGAAGCGTGTGAGCACGCCACCGCTGACATGTCCCCAATCTACATACAGTAATGAAAAATTTAGCACAATATAGTCACGGCAGTATAATAGGCGACAGATCGGATGATAGAAAACAAATAGGCGTCTATAGAAAATGAGTCACAGGCTGAGGCTGGCAGTCAGCCTGTGACCACGGCCGGTGCAACCTGGTCGAAACGTCAGGCAAACCAGAGGTATGTAATACCCTAAATAAGAGATCGCGTTAATTCCCGTTAAATAATATTAATTATCATGGAACGCGAAAGTTTAAAAGTTAGTACATACATATATAATAGGTAATAATGATACTAATACACACAATATATAAGTATTTATGTTTACATAATAATATACATTTATACATACATATACTATACTATACATATATACTATACATATACTTTTGCATTATACTCGTATGTAAACTATAAGAGTTTTATTTAAATCGTTACATTTCAATATTTAATGAATTTATTTCTGATATATATATATTTTTTTGTCAAACACGTATATTAATGTTTCAGTTCGGGTTGAAAAGTCTTTCCCCCTTCTTGAATATCTGTTTAAGCCTATATAAGAAAGATGTTAAGTCATGTATAACGTACCTGTTTCCTTTTTCCACAATCAGCTACAGGTTGTATAGCACTCATCATGGAATCGGACGCTTCCGCCAGCTGAGTTACTGCTTTATGCAACTCCTGAACAAATATTAATTTTGTCACATATATATTTGTCAAGAATTATGTCAGAAAACATTTTTTTATTGTATAGGGAGAGACAATCGAGCGGACGGGTCACCCGATTGTAAGAAAGAAATTCTTGAATAATGTAATCCAAAAATGTTGTAACAAAGAAAGAACTGAGTTCAGTACCTGTGGCTCTGCTGCGCTTTCACAAATAGCTCTGCTCGCGTCACACAAGTGCCGGACTTGTTGCAACGTGTCCTGACGGGCAGTTCCTTCTCGTGTAGCGCTCAGGGTTTTTGCGTCTGTAATTTTACAACATTTAGCATCTTAGGTTTAGCATCATAAAAAGTATATATAGAAATATGGAATAAGCTTTCCTATAACATTTTAAGACATAATACAAACTATGTAATACACTAACCTCGCACGAGTTCCGGCAACAGAGCAGTGATGGTGTCAACAGCTCGTTGTGCAGATGCGTAGTCGGGGTGGGAACGGTCTGAAAAGAAATACAGCTTTTTATAAACAAAATAAGTTCAAAAATAAAACCAATACCAGCCTTTCGTGTGGAATTTATTTGATTTATTCACATCATTATCGTCACATCGATAGCCTTTAATAGCCCACTGCTGGACATAAGCATCTTCTTAGAAGGGAGGTTTTGGCCTCCTATACCACACTGGTCAGACGGTTTTTACTAGGATTTGTTTCAGATTGCCTTCTCTTTGTAATGCTTTTGTGCAGCGTAATTTGCTCTCTTAGTAGGCTCTTACGTCACCTAAAGGCTGAATAGGGGTGGAGACATTCCTTATTTTTAATCCGTCATCACACGGACAGCAGATTTATTAACGACACACACTTATATGCAGTGCTGCCATCAATATTGTTCCAAGAAAAATATTTTATTTATTCTGTTTTCTATGAAATGAAACATTTATTACTGTAGTGTGCGTTAGTTACATATTAGTGGCTTTGACATAGCACCAGGGACTTCCTTTCTAGGGTACCTATACCTGGTTCCCCGGCTATTAGTACCCGAGACGGCGTGCGGTTTTAGTCGGTTCGAGTCCGACATGCCACCGACAGGTGGTATCCGAGGGGATTTCCGCACGGAAAAAAAAAAAGTGGCTATAACATAGACGTAAAACATGCACTTTTTATATTAAGTTTGGTCTTGAAAGCATTAAGTCCAAGGCACTTGTACCTTATTATGCGCAGTTTGGTTTTGAGTGCCCTGCTGCATTCCCTAATTTTTTTTTGGCTTGCGGACAAGATTTTTTGGGTTATCTTCACTGCTTTGATAGTGAAACGAGTTACCATGAGGGTTTGTTAGCCATCAAAAGAAAACTTTACATAGTGACTGTTGATGACTCAATGAAATAATAAGTTTCGGTCGAATTTGGACCTGAGGGCGACCTCTAGCAAGTAAATAGATAAAGTGAACATACCCGAAGTGGCCACAGCGAGTTGTGCGATGGTCGCGTTGAGCTGCGCCAGCCTGGCCCCGAGCCGGCGCTGGAGGTTCATCTGCTCCTCTTGTGGCAACATGCTGTGAGTCACGGGCTGGTGATAAATAATTTTATTATTTTTACACAGAACTTTACAACTATATAGCCATACAAATTACTTGTTACAGAATATCTTAATTACCTGTTTAAGTTGTTGCTGTACATCATCGAAACAGTTCTTGATTCCAGACAAACTGTTGATGAAGTGCAGACGCTGTTTTTCTTGCTGTTCCCGTGACAGCGGTACACCTGGATGAGAGGTTCAAGGTCAAGATTTTATTACCTATAACCAAAAAGTCGTGTGTTGTTCCAGCATATACATAAGGCTGAATGGCCGACTAATTTCTGGCACTTTAGATACCTATAGGGTACGGATAAGACGCCTTATCACCTTAGCATCTGTCTGTATACCACTACCTAAGCCAATGTTTATTTCGTATTTTTACTAGGCAGAGCCTGTACCATGGTAAACTGACCGCTGCTAAACATACTTATATATTTCTAAATACATATATATAAATATATATAAATACATATATTACAGATAAATTACATCCAGACACAGAACAAATGATCGTGATTATCACACAACTATATATCCTGGATGGGAATCGAACTCGCGACCTGTGCCTTAGCAGTCGGAGACATTAACCAATAGACCAACAGGCCAGTCGATATGCTGTGATATTTCTTTATCACATGTATATGAAAATTGCATTTAAAAGAATAAATATACATACAATTCTTAGATCTTAATATGAGACACTATTACATAAGTGGCACATTAATATCTGTTCAATTAATCACTCAGTAAGTCCCACTAAGTCCCAGTAAGTCCTTACCACTTGCTTGCAGTAACTTGTCCAGGTCGTCATTTAGCTGCTGGTGAGTATCGAACAGTTGATGTCTCTGGGCACCATGTTTCAGGTGAGGGTGGCAGGCATCAGTGAGGTCAGCTGCAGACCCTCGGAGCTTGTGCACAGCCGACTCCAGTGCCTTGCGACAATGCTGCGAACTCAAGCTAGGAGCTGTCACCTAATGGGATTAAGCAACATTACTTATTCACTGGACAGTAAGTTCCTATTAATGAGGATAAATAAAAAGTTTAAATCCTATCAGATGTCCCTATACCTGATAGATGGCAATATTGCTTAGTATCAGTACTTAAAGTATGTTTAAACTCAGCTAATGCAGTGCTGATATTTCTTTGCGCCACATTGTTTAAACTTATTTTTTTTTTCTTATTGATTTATCTCCAAGGAGATTTTATAACTCTCCTCAATTCTTAGATCTGCCAATTTCCTCAGTATCACCGAGTTGTGAATTTCTCGTGTGTATACCCTAAACTTAAATGATTGTCCTAATTGTGCCCCTTTTCTTTAAATCTTATAATCGTTTCCTTCTCTACTCCAGTTCTAATTAAGGCCAATGTTCAGCCACCAAATTTAAATATACCTGCTCTTTTGTCTTACAACTCTTTTAACAGGATGCTACTACCGATTTCACTAACCTGAGCCACACTGAGTAGAGCCTGTGCAGCATCAGCAGTACTTGCACCTCGCGCGTCCAGATCCGAGGCTGCAGAACCTTCTATTTGTCGTGTGAGTGCTTGCACTTGAGATAATAGTTCCGAAGTGCGAGCGCAAGAAGCCGCTGACAGATCCACTACCTACATAATAAGAACAATTGGAAATGAGCTCACCATGGTGGTGACATTCACACACAAAATAATAGATATTAGTACCATCTAGCGAAAACTAACCAAATTATGTAAAAGCTACATGAAATAAAATGATATTTATTTCTGCAAGTAAGTCTTTTCTTATATTTTTTACAAGTCGGACTTTACAGCTAGAAGGCGCCCAAGTACGTTCCTAAGACGTACTCTGGGAAGAAACGTCGAAACAAACCGCAGAGGTGTCTTTTTTTAAGTCCGTGTACAAAAAAAAGAACTATGTGAGTGCAGTATGGGGCAAACCCTATTCAATACTATGGTCCTTTCTTCAAAAGGCCAACCCAGCGGTTGGCCTTTCGAAGAAAGGACCAAGATAGTATTGAGTCAGCCCGTCCAAACAGACGGCATACGAGCCCCAGCCATTGTGTAGCCTAACCGATTTTCAAACTATTGAGCCTTAGCCGACCAGGCCTTAATATCACCTAGTCTGCTTAGAGAATCTTCGCGTCTGAGAGACACAGTACCCGTTCTTCCAGACCATTGTAAAAAGTTATGTTTCTTTAACCCTTGAACCCTTTCATTACAATGACCTTTCTTACTTGTTGTTGTTTTGTCTGAAGAGATGCAGCTCTCGCAGGAGCCACGTTACACATGAGTTCGTGAGATGCTGCCGAGAATTTAGTGGCAGCTTCACTCAGACCCTGTAAATGTATTGGCTATAATAATTGTACAATTCATTACCATGGCGATTGGCGATTCACTAACATGAACATGGTGCATTGAAGTCTTGATGACTAATTAAAATCATTATTTACCTGTGGTTGTCCAGCATCGTCACATAAAGCTTTACTTGCGTCACACAACTGCTGAACTTGTTGTACCATCTTGTGCTGTTCAGGTCCGCTCTTAGTAGCACTTAGGGTCCTGGCGTCTGTAATACAAGTTGTTTAACATTTACAAGGCTTACTTATTGCTTTATCCGCTGAACTTAAGGACGACAGGAAGTATTAAATATTTACTTTAGCGCCATCTAGCGAAGACAGTCTAAACGAAGTAGAAACTACTGAATCACACAAAAGAAGTCTCATGTAAATACAGAACATTCAATCATTAAGCCACTGAGTGTTGGGGGTACATAATATAAGTTTCTTCACAATGTAATTAAGTGACGCCAAAACTAACCTCGCACAAGTTCCGGCATCAGCGCAGTGATGGTGTCAACAGCTCGTTGTGCAGACGCGTAGTCGGGGTGCGAACGGTCTGATGGAGATGATAAACATATTCATTAATGATAATCTTTATAAAGTTTAAGAGTTGGGTGAAACCTTGCTCCTGCTTGTCTTTTTCCCTTTCCTGTACTGAAAATACCAGAATGCCTTGGCTTTTCCGAGTCTTTACAGGTACACCAAGCAGAATATATTCCAACCTGGCATACCTATCCGCTCATCACAACATAGACAAGGTTATGAAAATGGGGTAGGTGAGAAGTACCCGCAACTGTCGGGTTTGTGTGTATGTAATTCAACAGTATCTTTATCCGAAAGGCAAAAAGGCATAGTAATTCAATAGGAAAAATTAAGTTAGGTGTATGCTACAAACCAGCGGTGGCCGCGGCGAGCATTGCAATGGCCGCATTGAGTTGCGCCAGCCTGTCCGACAGCTGATGCTGCAGGGCTGCCGCGTCTTCTTCTCTCATCAGGGCACAAATTACAGGCTGAAAAATACTTGTAAAGTTAATTCTGTTTCGGATAAAAGCTGCATCGAAACTCAAACATGACCACGATTGCTTTAAACGTATGTGAAAGATGATTACCTGCTTCAGTTGTTGCTGTACATCATTAAACCGGTTCTTGGCTCCAGACAAACTATTGATAAAGTGCAGACGTTGCTTCTCCTGTTGTTCTTTCGACAACGGCACATCTGTGTTTAGTTAAAAGTTCATTATTAACAATTAATGCTTATTCCCGGGGCGACTGTATTAAAGTGATATAATTTTCCATTTGATTAATTTTAAAATTAAACGGTAAAATATTTACAGACCAAATGAGCTGCTACTTTGTAAGATATCGATGCGTAAGTAGACCAATATTTATTTCTCATTAATTAATCTCACATTCAAGAATCTAGTAAGTCCTTACCACTTGCTTGCAGTAACTTGTCCAGGTCGTCATTTAGCTGGTGGTGAGTCTCGAGCAGGTGTTGTCTCTGAGCACCATGTTTTAGATGAGGATCACAGGCATCAGTCAGATCGGCTGCAGACCCTCGGAGCTTCTGCACAGCTAACTCCAGTGCCTTACGACACTGAGCGGAATTCAGGCTGGGTGCTGTCACCTGTCAGGGTTAAGCAAAATTCCTTATTCACTAGATAGTGTGTTTAAAAAATACTAATACGGATAATTAGAGACAAGCCATAATTAAAATATAAAACTCCAAAACTCTTCCTGCTCCATCATCACCATTTACTTTCATTCATTCATTTAAACCCCAAAAAGAGGGCTGAGCTTAGAAATTGTCAGGTGTAACTTATCAGTTTTCACTAACCTGAGCCACACTGAGAAGAGCCTGTGCAGCATCAGCTGTTTTAGCACCTCGCGTGTCCAGGTCCGTAGCTGCAGAGCCCTCTACTTGTTGTGTGAGTGCTTGCACTTGAGAGAGCAGTTCGGATGCGCGAGCGCAAGACGTTGATGACAGATCTATTACCTGATAACAAAAAAATCAAATTGACCTTATCATTTGACATTTATCTAAAGCAAAAACATTTTTCAGATCATTATTATCTACCGAAGACTGGATAAGCAACTAATAATCCTGAACCGCACAATAGAAGTTGTCACACTGATTACTAGACACACGTTCGGTCAGGCATTAACACCTATCCAGTTCGATAGAATAGCCAGCTTCTATTTTCAACATACGCAATTGTTTTTATACGAGTTACTTTTCTCACCTGTTGTTGTTTTGTCTGACGAGATGCAGCTCTCGCAGGAGTCACGTTACACATGAGTTCGTGAGATGCTGCCGAGAATTTAGTGGCAGCTTCACTCAGACCCTGTAAATGTATTGGCTCTATAATTGCATAACTCATTACACCATGATCGCATTGAAGCCTTGCTAAACCACCTTAATCATGATTTACCTGTGGTTGTCCAGCATCATTACAAATAGCTTTACTCGCGTCACACAACTGCTGAACTTGTCGTACCAACTTGTCCTGTTCAGGCCCGCTCTTGGTACCACTTAGCGTCCTTGCGTCTGTAACACAAACTTTACATCAACATCTACAGTAATATTAGTTGAGAAGCTGAACTAAGTAGTGGTTACTAGGGCTGTATCATAAGAGTTCTTAATCTGATTAGAATGTATACCAGATTCGACTATAATACATTAAGCGGCGATCCAATAGCCATGATTACAGAGCCTGGCAGGATCATCCCTTGCGTTGCAGGAACATAACATGCGTTTCTTTACGAATAAAACAAAACATTATTCTTATAGTTTTCATTAAGAAAGTTGTAATAGTGGTAGGTCAGATATCTACTGCTTACTTCTAAATGAAAAAAAAAACAAACAACTGACCTCGCACAAGTTCCGGCATCAGGGCAGTGATGGTGTCAACAGCTTGTTGTGCAGACGCGTAGTCGGGGTGCGAACGGTCTGATGGAGATAATTAACATTTATTTGTTACAAAGTCCTACAAGATCCATTAATAGATTAATGGCTGCCATTCCCCATCGAAGAGAGCAGAATTACTTGGGTATTCTTAGTAAGTATGTACAGGTTCATAACGCAGAATATTAATCTGAGCAAATTGAAGATAGGATAGATCAGAAGTAACCAATAAGGGCGTGCTTATATGAATGGTTCCTCAACAGCATCCCTATCCCGAAAGAGAAAAGGCTTGAATGAATGCATGTATACAAATTTATGTATTAATGTGTATTTCAATAGGAAAAGTTGATATTCTAAAGCGGGTATATTTAAATCATTTGTGAAAGACAACTCCTGCTCTAGGACTATATCCTGTATTGCGGGGGACTTAACAAACATGTATAAAATATACACAAAGAACACCCAGACTCAGGACAGAAATTTGTGCAAGTAAAAGAGTCTTAAGTCAGGTGCATGCTACACACCAGCGGTGGCGGTGGCGAGCGCCGCGATGGCCGCGTTGAGCTGCGCCAGCCTGTCCGACAGCTGCTGCTGCAGGGCTGCTGCGTCTTCTTCTCTCATCAGGGCACACACCACCGGCTGAAAAGGACTTGTCATTACAAGCTTTGTTCTAAACTTCACTAATTACCACGATTTCCCAAAAAGTTTGTGCAAGATTTACCCGCTTTAATTGTTGCTGTACATCGTCGAAGCAAGTCTTAGCTCCAGACAAACTGTTCACAAACTGCAGACGCTGCTTATCTTTTTGGGGCGGGGCTGGTGCTTTACCTTCAGAACATTAAACTATTTAGAAACACTCATTGTACATCTATGATCTTCTAATCATTGTGAAACTGTGTAACCGAGGTATTTATTTATTTATCTTCTATTTAATTATTTACAACTTTATGCACTTGTATATATCGGCGAACTTAATGCCCAGGGCATCCTCTACCAGCCAACGTTTGGTTGGTGAAGAGATCCGGTGAGGCAGGTGCACTGAGGTTACAATTGGTTTAATAGTTATATAGTTTTAACTAACATACAATTACACACATACATACACACATATTACTATACATATTGTGCACACATGCACACATACAGGTATTCTGTCAGATATTTCTAAGGACAACTCCTGCTCCACACCGAAAAATTATCACCACATTATAAACTCACGTCGTGGTGTCTCCTTGCATGCTTGAACTAATTTGTTCAGACTATTTTCCAACTGTTGCTCAGAATCTTGCAGCTCTAACTTTTCTCGATGTCCTGGCCTTAGGTGAGTTTGGCATGAAGTAGTAAGGTTCTTAGCTGAACTTCGCAGCTGTTCTGCGGCCGAAACCAAAGCTGCTGCGCAGGGGGGCGAACCAATGGAAGGAGCAGTCACCTGAGTATCACAGAAAAATTAGTGTCTTACGTAATTTTTCAGTTTATTTGATATACACATTTAAAATAACTAGATCTTACTTGCGCAGTAGTAAGCAGTGCTTGTGCAGCATCAGCAGTCTTGGCTCCTCTCCTATCCAGTTCTTCTCCCTCCTCCCCAGGGATTCTCTGAGTCAGAGCCTGCACGCGTGACAACAGTTCGGACGCACGGACACACGCATCAGATGTCAGGTCGATGATCTGTAAGAAATACCGATAGAGTAAAATATTTACTACATAAAGAATAAATGACACACATATTTTTTAATATTATCGAAAAGTATTAAAACAGATCCTGAGTGATAAATAATGACAAAGCAAGTATATCCATCTCAATAAATATATACTGATCAATTAGGCGACGTTCTAAAAGAAAAGAGAAGTGTCCAAAATCTATGTCTAAATTTGATGCAGACAAACACAGAGAAAATACAGAGACGAAAATTTCATTATTCGAAATTGCAGCAAAGATTAAACACAGTGAACAATTCCTTGCTGACTTCTTCAGCTTTACCCAGGTTTACTACACAAAAAAAGCTGTCGATAACCTGAATTCATTTAGCTAGCTTCTATATACGCATAACTATTCGATAAGTTTCTTTTTCAATCAATCAATCAATCAGTTTTTATTGTGAAACATAGGTATACAAAGGTTGTTTACAGTGGTAGAATGATCTACTATGTTCTGCCATTTAGGCTTACAATAATTAAAGAGAAAAAAAATAATAATTGTGAAACGCTAAATTTAAGACATGCAAACATGAATTACATTGAATTGTCGCAATCAAAGCAATATAATACTTCAGTTTGATTTTTCATACCTTAGAGCTTAAAACATGCAAAATCAATGTCTCTTTTTTATAAATTATGTATAAAATTTTAGAACTATGATGTCAATAAAGTAATTACAATGTCAAATAAAAAATAAAGATAAATAATAAATAAAAATTGTATGTATTTGTAAATTCATTTCTTTTAATTAATTATTTAATTATCCCCATTTACCATCTAAAAATTCTCTTATATCATAATAACATTTTTCAGATAGGCATTCTTGTAGATGTTTTTTAAATGGGATTATGTCTAGATTTCTGATGTGATCGGGTATCTTATTATAGATGACAGGTGCCATACAGAATACACTTTTACGCATTAATTTTGTATTTGCTTTTCTTATTCGCATCCTATTACTGGTGTGGGTTCTTCTATTGCGAGTAACCGTATCAGCTAATGTTTCGAACAGTTCCAGGTTCGACTTTACGAAAACTGCTGTTTCATAAATGTATAAAGATGGCAATGTCATAATTTTATACTTTTTAAAATATGGTACACAACTATCTGTAGATTTTAATTTGAACATTGCTCTAATGCACTGCTTTTGAGATTTGAAAACAATTTCTTTATTTGTCGAGTTTCCCCAGAATAGTATGCCATATCTAAGATAGGAGGCGGTTATTCCATGATATGCTTTAAGTATACCTTCCTCATTGAGCAGAGGTGCAAGCTTAAAAAGTGCATAGGCTGTACTGCTGATTTTTTTGCATAACTCTTCAGTATGTATTTTCCAATTAAGCCTATTATCAATATTCAGTCCTAGGAATTTAGTAGCGTCAATTTCATTTATTTTAATATTATTATATGTTATATTCATATCTTTAATTATATTATGTCTTTGTGAAAATTGTATTAAATTTGTTTTGCCTAAATTAATTTTTAAATTATTTTTATCCATCCATTTTATAATGTTATAGAGCGTATTATTAATGTCCGTTTCATAGTAAGCGCGATTGTTACATTCTATAACTACCGTACTGTCATCCGCAAATAAAGTAACAGGATGGTTAGTTACTTTGGGTAGATCATTAATGTATAGAATGAACAGTAAAGGCCCGAGTACACTACCTTGCCCCACTCCGTAATAAATTGTTCGTAAGTGAGACGTGTATACTTCTTCTCTTTTGTTTAAAAAGTTAATTTTTCTGAGCTCTGTATATTGTTTTCTGTTCGTCAGGTAAGATTTTATTAGGTTATTGACATTACCACGTACTCCACATCTATCAAGCTTTTCCAGTAGGGTTTTATGATCTACGTAATCAAAGGCTTGCGTCATGTCACAAAATATGGCGCTTACTGGTATTCTCTTATCTACTTTAGATATAATTATATTTAAGAATTCGTAGATAGCCTTGTTTATGCTCTTTTTATGTCTAAACCCCTTTTGTTCTACTGCGAAGAGATTGTATTTTTCAAGAAAGGAATAGAGTTGCTTAGAAATATATTTCTCGAACACTTTTGAGAATATAGGAATAAGTGTGATTGGTCTATAGCACTCCATATGTTCTTTGTTTCCTTTTTTGAACAGAGGTTTAACCACCGACGTTTTTAGTTTATCTGGATATATTCCAGAACCTATACTTACATTAATGATATGGCTAATAGGCTTCGAAATGATTGGGCTAACTGATTTTATTATTTTAGTGTGGATACCATCATACCCAACACTATTTGTGTTTTTAAGATTCTTTATTATTGTGTCGACGTCCTTTGGAAGGCAAGGCGGCATAAGCATTGATTTGATGTTATTATCTATAGATTCTGTTATATTTGTGACATTGGTATGAACTGGTTTAACTTTATCTATAAAATAGTCATTAAACGTGTTTGCAATATGTTGTGGATTGGTAATTATTGTATTCTGATCTGTGACTATTCTTGATATAGACTCTCTTGGAACGTTTAGTTTTGTTTGATTTATTATCTTCCAAGTAGTTTTAGATACATTTTTTGATGTTTTTATATTGTATATATTTTGTGCACGTTGAGTTTGTCTAATAATGTACCTATATCTTTGTGCATATTTTATATAATTCATTTTATTTGTTTTATTTGGATTTAGCCTGTATTTCCAGAAGAGCTTTCTTTTATTTTTACTACACAGTTTAATGCCGCATGATAGCCACTTAGGTTTTTTTGTTGACTTAATTGTGGATATTTTATGTGGGAAGCACAGATCATAAAATAATTTAAAAGTATCTATAAATGACGCATAGGCTTCGTTTGGATTGTCTGTGTGATATATGTCGTCAAAAGAGAGACTACCTATACATGATTTAAATTTATCTAAATTGTCTTTGTTTAAATCACGCCGAGTTATTCGCCAATATCTAGTTTCTACTTTCCGGATTGGACATTCCATCAATTGTGCAGTATGATCAGATAATGAGAACTCAAAAATTTGTGATTTACATCCTCTTCGAAAATTATGACAAAAGTTATCAATGCATGTGCCACTCTGCAATCTAGTTACTTGTCTGAATTCCAATTTCAAACCATAGTTAAATAATAGACATTCAAGATCCAGCACAACCCCATTTTTTTTTAAAATATCGATATTGAAATCGCCTGATAAAACAATTTTTTTGTTACGTTTGGTACATACAATTTTTAAAAGTGATTCTAATTTACTAAAAAATATGTTTATAGCATTATTTTTTGGGACTCTGTATATGCATACAATGATTATGTTACTCCTAATAATTTCGATGGCACAGCATTCGAGTATCCCAGGCAATGATAATTTTGCTATTTCTTCTAAGTGTCGCCATTCGAGCCCTTTTTTTATTAGTATGCATGCCCCACCGCGCCTACTATCTTGTCTACTATATATTGCAGCCAGATTATAATTAAGCAGAGTAAGATATTTTTCTAATCCTGACATGATGAAGTCTTATTGTCTGCCAAGCATGCATATTAGTTGCTACGTGCTGCTACGAAGAATTTTATCCGGCGAACAATTTGCTCGACCTTGGCCTTGCACACTGTGGACGCAGTCCTATGACCTATCTGACCAAAAGAACAATAGAATTACTAACACTATATTTTCAAAATACGTACCTGCTTCTCTTTCAAGTTGTCTGGCGCTGGGCTGATGGTAAACATGAGTTTACCTGACGCGTCAGAGAACTTGGCAGCCGCTTCACTGAGGGCCTGGAAACCGAATGCCATCTTTACTGACCACGATCATAACTAATCACATCAGCAACGATTGGGGCATTAACACTTTACTGATAAGAGATATTAAGTAATTAAATTAAACACCGGGATCAGACCTAACTGTGCAGATGATCTGTAAAATGTAACATTAAATTAAATAATTATTATTATTACCCGCGCTTCTCCTGCATTATCACATATAACTCTGCTCGCCTCACACAACTGCTGAACCTGTTGCAACATGTCCTGTTGAGCATCGCCAGCTTTGGTGCCGCTTAATGTTCTAGAATCTGCAATATTTAGCATATATTGTATTATTAAAGGTGCGCGTGTGATGGATTCGGACTGCCCAAGGGTGGGATAATTGGCGCTCGTTGAAGGAGGTTTTCGTTAAACAGTCGACGATGGTGGGCTGACGATGATGGCTGATCGCACCTCAGACTTAAAAAAAATTATAGCGTGTTCAATTTCACTACGTATTGGTTTAAAATAACTAACCTCGCACAAGTTCCGGCATCAGCGCAGTGATGGTGTTCACAGCTCGTTGTGCAGACGCGTAGTCGGGGTGCGAACGGTCTGACAAACAACATAAATATCAACAAAAGTGGTTCAAAGGTTTAAGAGCCAAACGAGGTCTTTCCGAGTTTGGTAACGACGACCGTAAAATAACACAAGCCAAAAGTTAAGCAATAATTAAAGTAACATTCAAAATTCTTCTAATAAAACCAGTTGTTGAAGTTATTACTATCTGTGACTGTGATTGATTTAAATTGATAAAAACTAAAAAAATTTAGTTGCTTATTACTATTCGCCTAATTATGAAACATGTGTCACATTAAAAATCACTTTAAAAAATAATAATCCAACCTCATTACTTTTGCTGTCGTATTTCTGTATCAATACTTAGTTTATTTTATGTTACAAAAATATTTAGTACTGGCCTCGCCGAGCATGTAGGTTGCCGTAAAGTAATTATATTTTTAATTTAATTTTTTATATTTTAGTTAAATGTTACAGACCGGCGGTGGCGGTGGCGAGCGCCGCGATGGCCGCGTTGAGCTGCGCCAGCCTGTCCGACAGCTGCTGCTGCAGGGCTGCTGCGTCTTCTTCTCTCATCAGGGCACATACCACCGGCTGGGAAAGTGCTCGATATATTAAACTCAGCCCTAAATGAAATCCTTAACAGCACAAATCCTTTGCCTTGTCTCTCTTAATTAAGTTCTAATTTTTATTAGAACATTATCGAAACATTTAAAAAAACCCGTTGCGATTGTCATCAGAGTTCAGTAAAGACTTAGTGTAAGTATTTTGAGAATGCTGTGAAGAGACCGATTCAATATTTCAAGAGCACGGACCCTTCTATTTATACACGTACGTGAGAGAAAGCAGTAAAATCCTTACATGATTATGATAAATATGAATGCTTGCGTATTCGTTTATATTGACATATTCACTAACATTTCTTTTGTCTTAAGTTTGTTTGATTATTGATTTTATCATACAACGTATGTCGGTTAACGCGGTAAAAACGTAGCCCGTGTCACTCGATGATAATGTAGCTTTCCATTGGTTACAGAAATTGTTAAAACCGGTTTAGTGGTTTAGGGGTAAAATCGTAACAAGTAAACAAATAAACTCATTTTCACAGTTATAATAAGTATGGATGGACATTTCGGAGTTTGGGTAATTCCTTATATAATATGTGTATAATATGATATGTTACACGACTTTTTCCAATATTTTAAGTTATTTATATGACTACTATAGTACATTTTGCACATTACTATAGTACATTGCAGTTCTATCGTCGCCGGCGAAGGTGTTAGAGTCTGCTATCTACAAGAGCGTATTTATGCAGGTAAGGTCACAGCTCTCGGACTCTCAACATGGATTCCAGCCAAAGAGGAGCACGACCACCAATCTCCTAAACTATATGAGTCAACTACTGCCTACGGTGGACAGTGGGGGTCAGGCTGACGCTGCTTACTTTGATTTCAAGAAAGCGTTCGATTTAGTCGATAATGACGTGCTGCTTAAGAAGCTAGCAGGCGTCGGTTTTACTCCCCATTTACTACAGTTCTTCAGCAGTTACCTGATGGACCGGGAGCAGTATGTGGACTATGCGGGATACACCTCGCAACCATATTTTACCTGGTCTGGTGTGAGTCAAGGCAGTAATTTAGGACCTCTGCAATTTATATTAATGATAAACGATCTGCCAAAGCGAGTAAAATACGCAAATTGTTTGCTGTTTGCAGATGATCTTAAACTGTCTCTCGCTGTGAACGATGACGATGATTGTAGGCGTCTGCAGCAGGACATAGACAATGTTGTGACTTGGAGCAAGGAAAATCGTTTGCAATTTAACCCCAATAAATGTGTCACCATTACTTTTTCTCGTGCACGTAATCCCAACTTACATTGTTATAATGTTGATGGGGTCTCGATGGTTAGGGTCCAAACAGTTGGGGATCTAGGTATAAGTCTTAACACAGAGCTAACGTTTCGTGACCATATAGTCAAGTGCTGTAAAAAGGCATACAGGAATCTAGGTTTTGTACTGCGCACTGTTCAGTCGTTTACCAACATTAAAGCCATAATTACTATATACAATGCTTTAGTGCGTAGTCAGCTAGAATACAACGCAGTCATCTGGTCTCCGCATGAGATTAAATATAGTCTCATGCTGGAGCGAGTCCAAAACAAATTTGTGAGGTTTTTATATTTGCGACTGTACGGGGTTTACCCATTTTACCCACTGATGTATCCGACTCTGTTCGTCTTGGGCATGGTCGGATATAACGAGCTTAGAGTCAGAAGGGACCTTAGTCTTGCCTCCTATATATTTAATCTACTAAGGGGAAAAATCCACGACAGCAATATATTAGGATTGGTAGGCATGTGTGTACCGGACGGGTAAGTGTGGCGGCGACGCCGTCCGCCATTGTTGGCGGTGCCGCGCGGACGCACTAATTTGCTAAGCGAAGCGCCTCTAACCCGTGCGTTGCGCACCCTAAACCTAGTAGCCACAGATGTCGACTTATTTAGCTGTACACTGAGTGAGTTCACAAAGACAGTATTATATGTTATATGTTACAAAACAAAAAGTTAGAGGTTATGTAAAACAAGTATTTTTGTAATAGTTACGCTATCGCATTAGGATATACCTGTAATGATAGTAGTAAGTGTGGATAATAAATAAATAAATAAATAAATTAATTTTCAAAAGTCTTTTTTTTTTATGATTTTAACTGTGTTAATTTTGTTAAATTTGGTACAATTTCTCTATTAATAAAATACTCTAGTCTGCTGATCTCGTAGTAAAGTGCATAAGTTTTAATTTAAGTTTTAGTTATGTACAAGGCCAAGTTAGTATTTTCATTTTTTTTTAATTTCTATGTATGTGTGTTTATTCTGTTATATGTTAATGTTGTGCATATTTGTAATTAGAGTAGCACGTTAACTTAGTTTGAAAAAAATATGTGTATGAATGTTTGTGTTTATTCTGTAAATATGCTTTAATAAATAAAGAAAAAAATATGTATGTATTTACAAAAAGAAGTATATAAGTATTCTATTAGTCATTCTAGCTTTTATAGTACAAGCTCTTCTTAGTTTCAAACTAGATGGCGTTGTGTGTCAGATGTCCGAAATATTATTATTATATTACACAGATTAAAATGATCGTATTACAATTATATAAGACATAATTTTAAACCAATTAAATGGATAAATATTGCGTTATTATGCACCTGTTGAAGTTGTTGCTGTACATCATCCAAGCACCTCTTGGTTTCAGACAAACTGTTCATAAACTGCAGACGCCCCTTCTCATGTTTCGGTGGCACTGGCGGCTTACCTGATGTAAAACACGAATATACTTCAATAAATTCTTTATCTGACTACAGGTAAAACTAAGGTAAAACAGAAATTTAGTTGATCTTAGAACAATTCTGGCTATACAACGAATAAATAAATAATAAATCTTTATTTGCAAGAAATGAGATAATCAATTCGATATAACTAGAGCTTGCAGCTTACCAGTTTACATCGACGTAGTTTAACAACATGAAGTTATCCTTCTTGAAGCGAATACAACGTTACCTATGTCTTGCTGTGGTGCGACACCAGACATCAGTACAATTATTAATTGTCATAATGTTAGAAGCCGTTAGTCAGGCCGAGATATAGGTATGGACCCTGATTCAATTACTCTGTTTGTCTGTCTGCTTTAACTCCCTAATTCAGGTGTATAAGCAACATTTCGTTCTTCAAGTTTAAGTTTTAAAATATGTTTTTGGCACTATTTTAAAACTTACGTCGCGCTGTCTCCTTGCACGCTTGCACCAAACTATTCAAGCTATCTTCCAGCTGTTGCTCAGAATTCTGGAGCTCCAATTGGTCTTGTTGTCCTGGATTCAAATGAGGTTGGCACGAATCAGTGAGACTCTTTGCAGAATTTCGGAGTTGTTCGGCCGCAGAGACCAGAGCTGCTGAGCAGTGCGGTGAGGCGATGGACGGAGCCGTCACCTGAATAAGTCGTAATCATTAGATAATTATCTTCGCTGACTAAATTTCAACTGGTATTATAGAACTGTTAATATTCTGGGTATGCATCTTAAAAAACTACATACGTGTGCAGTAGTAAGCAGCGCTTGTGCAGCATCAGCAGTCTTGGCTCCTCTCTTGTCAAGTTCCTCCCCTTCCTCCCCAGGGATCCTCTGGGTCAGAGCCTGCACTCGGGACAATAGCTCAGACGCGCGGACACACGCAACAGACGAAAGGTCAATGATCTGTAACATTAATTCATCAAGGTGTAACGATGATTTAGTGCCCGAGTTAAGGCATTTCGGTAAATGAGAGGCTGGGTACAAACATGATATCAGACAAATCATTTATTAATCAGTAGATAGGGCAAATAATGGAGGAGAAAAACCTCTGGAGGTCAATCTTAAAAAATAATTAAAGGACAAGCCAGAAATTGCCTTTGCTTAAGACCCTGTGTGATGGCTTGGTAGGTAGATCAAGCTAGGTAAAATGCACTACAGTAAGTTAAGTAAAATTCTCCCTTTGCCGTTACTGGGCTGCCTGCAACGAATTTGACCTAAGGACCGTGGTCAGAGCTAGCATCATATAAGATATACTGCAGAATCAATCGGTAGTTAAGCTTTATTTAAGTTGTAGATATATAAATATTTCGCTTAGTATGTTTCAGTTAGCTTAGAATCGTCTTAAAACTCTATACAACTAAAAATTTCTCCAAAAAGATACGTGAGCATCATTCATTGCAAAGGCAACCCAAACCAGGCAACGCACTCTACCCACCTAATTTAATCTAAATTTGTAAAAAGTATGCTATTGCACATTGAGATATTAATATGTCCAGCAGTTTGCTTCAACAGGCTGAAAGAACGAAGAGAAGTTCTGTACGCACCTGTTTCTCTTTCAAGTTGTCTGATGATGGGCTGATGGTGAACATGAGTTTACCTGACGCGTCGGAGAACTTGGCGGCCGATTCACTGAGGGCCTGCAACACGTTCGTTATCTTCTCTCAGATCATAAATGATATAATATTGAATATATGAACGCATTAGAAGCATTCCGTTTATTCAGCAATATTACTAAATGGAAACTTGCTGGCACATAATCAAAATACAATAATAACTAAAATGCATGCAGAAGTTAAGTTGGATTATATGCTGTCCAACTATTTTAGGTGACTTGTGGCATATCGTAGCGTTTTAGTCGGTTTCAGTCCGACATAGCATCCAATCAGAAATCAATGAAATCGATTAAATTACTTAGTTATTGTGAATAATGCTGTAAATAACCACAATAAATAATAATATGCAACACCATCCTATTACCTGAGGTTCGGCTGCATTAGCACATACAGCTCTGCTCGCGTCACACAACTGCTGCACTTGTTGCAACATGTCCTGCTGAGCATCGCCAGCTTTAGTGCCACTCAATGTTTTTGAATCTGTAAATGTAATTAATAACCTTGGCAGTATTCATAAATTAAACAAACAGCGTAAAGTCTACTTGATAAAAGCGTTTACAGAAATAGTTTTCATTTGGAATAATCATCAACAGATTTTAATAGTCCACTGCTGGACATAGGCTTCTTCCTCAGAAAGGAGGTTTTGGGCATACCACGCTGGATTCGGAACACTGCCACTCTTAAATATCATGACGTCTGGGTCATCAACATCATGATCACATAGTACAGCGTCTCGGGAAACGTTTAACTGTCTTAAAGTATCAACGAATTTTTAAACTTAAAGAAAAGGGATTAAATTTTCTATTTAGAAACCTTAACACAGTTGGCGTAGGAAACAAAACCAGGTGAAACCCTAAATATTGTACCTCGTACGAGTTCCGGCATCAGCGCAGTGATGGTGTTCACAGCTCGTTGTGCAGACGCGTAGTCGGGGTGCAAGCGGTCTGATGGCAAACATTAATATAAAGTATTTTAAATTTTAATCGATTGTCACATTTAAGTCTAAATAAATCTTTGGAAATGTACAAAGTCATGAGTATATAATAGATTCAAAAATTGTTGTATGTTACAGACCAGCGGTGGCGGTGGCGAGCGCCGCGATGGCCGCGTTGAGCTGCGCCAGCCTGTCCGACAGCTGCTGCTGCAGGGCTGCTGCGTCTTCTTCTCTCATCAGGGCACACACCACCGGCTGGGAAAGTAATCGATATATTTCATTTTACAATCAACGATTAAATCAGAAAATTTTATAAAATACTAGCTACTCGAGATGACTATAGATAAAATAATTATATGGTAACACTGAGGCGGAAAATAATTTAAAGTTCAGTTGTAAATTACAGGTTAAAATTTCCGTACTTTGATTTCATTTGGCAAATTATTTGCACATGGCGATCTCAAAACAGAGCTCAGACTCACAATCTTTCAGTAATAATGATCTACTTCTGTCAACTGACCTGTTGGAGTTGTTGCTGTACATCATCGAAGCAACTCTTGGCTTCAGACACGGAGTTAGTAAACTTCAGACGTTGCTTGTCTAGTTGCGGCGGTGGTTGTGGTTTACCTAAAGTTCAATATATATTAAAATAATTTAAACATCTTACTGGCGACCATTGTTATAAAATGTGTAATGGACTGGTGTGTTGGGAAGTCATTTAAAGGATTTTTGAGTTAACCGATACTTAACTTATTGGTTAATGAGTGTATTTTTATTAAGTCTGATCAAGTTTACCTCAGACATAAATTTAACGAAACTTTTTTCCTTGCTCTAAGCAGTTGGATGGACCCTGGGAGCAATTACACACCAAGTACCTATTAATTGTCAGGATTATAATTTTTAAATGCATTATTATTAATGCATTTAAAAATGAACAATTAAAAATACTCATAACATTTTTTTTAACATAAGCCAATCAATCAAACACTATCGCGATTTAACTTTTACAGACACCCTCTGTTGAAGTTTGAGTTAAACTTTCTCAAATTGAATTGGTCACATATTAATATATTTATCTACATATATACTCACGTCGTGGTGCTTCCTTGCATGCCTGCACTAACTTGTACAAGCTGTTCTCCAGCAGTTCATCCGAGTTCTGCAGCTCCAACTGTTCTTGATGTCCTGGCTGGAGATGTGGTTGGCACGAATTAGTGAGATCCTTCGCCGAACTTCGGAGCTGCTCGGCCGCAGAGATCAGAGCTGATGAGCACTGTGGTGACGCGATAGTCGGGGCCGTCAACTGAACAAATAAAAAGAGAGTAGATTCTTATTCTACCTCAAAAAGACAGTACTTTAATATTTTCTTATATGTATAACATACTGGAATAACATAGTGGTAAGAGTAGTGTATGATCTGACCTGTGCAGTAGTGAGCAGCGCCTGTGCTGCATCAGCAGTCCTGGCTCCTCTCTTATCCAGTTCAACCCCCTCCTCTCCAGGGACCCTCTGGGTCAAACCTTGCACTTGGGATAACAGCTCAGACGCGCGCAGGCACGAATCAGATGCAAGTTCAATTATCTACAGCAATAATAATAAACCTTGAGTTTAATAATAAAACACATACTACACATACTACTTTTTTATTTTTTTAAATATTTATTAATTTATCACATATTACTTTTCTCCAAAGAACTAAGTAAATTGTTGAATAAATAAAGAAGACGATCTTACCTCTTTGTCCTTTTCTTGACTTCCTCCAGGACTGACGAGGAACAACAACTTGCCGCTCGCATCAGAGAACTTGACAGCGGCCTCATTGAGACCCTATAAAGTTAAATATTACTGAAATACGTGACAATATATATCGTAAATATGAGAAACAAATATTTGTACTTTTTAAACAAATTTGGTTTCACAAATATGGAAGTATACTATACTTGGAATACTTCAAGTTTATAATAATATTATGTAGAAAATGTGCAGAACATTACATTTTTTAAATGAATATACAGGCGGCCCGTGTGCTCGGTGGCCTCCTATGTCATAAAACATGGAAAATAGTGTTTGTTTTATTTTGTTCCATACGATGAAGGTAGGTTGGAGCGCGATCCTCTCCTAACAGCAATGAGTGAACCTGAAGCAGTCCCATATCGGCCACTCGACCGTGGAGACGCAAGTATCACATACTATCCTAGCATTTGTACAGTCGAGTATGGTGTAGCGGTGGTCCGGTGTGGTCACAGACCTGCGCTTGTCCCGCGCTGTCACAGATGGCTCTGCTCGCGTCACACAGCTGCTGCAGCTGCTGCGCCAACTTGTTCTGAGTGTCGCCGCTCTTCGTAGCGCCCAGCACACACGTGTCTATGGGAATTTATTCTTTAGTACTATAATTAATTGTACAGAAATTTAACAGACGAGGCAAGTTATTTAAAAGGATATAGACCGGCAGTTCTACGAGGGAGAGGGGTAATGGAGAGGTATAATTAACGAGGTATTACGCACGTAAGGATTAGTTAAAAATATATTTTACTGTTTCTGCAAATAGCCCACTTAAAAAGATGGTACCATTAACAGTCAGCATAATCTTGTTTGTTCTGGATTCCAATTCACGATAAATTAAGTAAATAAAAAATCCTTGTGTCATTGTGTCATTTAGCGTTCAGCAATCTTCATTCTATTTACTGTGTTCAATTTCTAATCTTTATGAGACTGTTAACTTTTGTATTCTGTGTATTGATATAATAGAACATTAGGTTCATACAATATACGCTAAAACGCCATTATTTGTGTTGCATAATATGTTTATGTATATGTTTTATAAAAAAAAAAGTATTTAATAAATATTATTTTAATAATAAGCACCTAATGTATAATATACCATTAATAACATCATCATCATCAACAGCCTTTACTAGTCCACTGCTGGACATAGGCCTCTCCTTGGAAAGGAGTAACATAGTAGTCTGTTATTTGTTGTTGCACAAATTCCAATACAAGATCCTCTCACCTTGGACGAACTCCGGCATGAGGCGTGTGATGGTGTCGACGGCTCGCTGGGCACCCTCGTAATCCGGGTTCTCACGATCTGTTTGTACATACTTGTAGTTATTATCAAACTTAAGTTTAATTGATGTTTAAATTGTTAATATGGTTAATACAGTATTAAACTATATCATCAAGTTATTTGTCGACAATTTGATCAACTTTATTTAATTGATTAAAAAAAAATGTAACTTAAATGTACATATGTGATGTATGTATTTTTTGATTAAAGTGTTTTAAGCTAGTAATTGAAAGTAATTTAATTGAACTGCGCTAGTTTAAATTTTGTTTGATGAAAATTCTGTCTATTTCTCGCTTCTCTGTAGAGGGTAGGTGGTGAGGGTATGCAACTGCTGCAAAACTGCTGCGTCTTCTGTTCTCATCGTTGGTGTTGACCCCAACAACCCACAACCCACTGACCTGAGGTGGCCCGGGCGAGGGCCGCGACAGCCGCGTTGAGCTGCGCCAGCCTGTCCTCGAGCTGCCGCTGCAACACTGCTGCGTCCTCCGCTTTCATCATCACGCACGCCAGCGGCTGCAATATTATCAGAATATTAAGGATGAAGTCTACGACCATGGCTCTGTTCCGTATTCTTGATAATTTTTGAAAGGAGGAAATTCTGAAGAACTTTAGTTTTTATGTAACAATAGGTAGAATTGTCTTTCAGCCTCAGTAACCACATAATCTTTAACATACTGACCAGACGAGATCAAATGACGACCGAATGGCGTAGTAGTTTGTGTAACGGACTGCTATTCTAAAGGTCGCGGGTTCGATTCTCGCTCAAGTCAAACATTTGTGTGCATGAACATTTAATCTTTGATTTGATCTGGTCTATTTACAAAAAAAAAGTATATATGTATTTATGTATATCAGTTGTCTAGTACCCATAGTACAAGCTCTGCTTAGTTTGGGACTAGATGGCGTTGTGTGAATGTGGTAGAAAATTATTATTATTATTATTTTTAAATAAGTATTCATAACAGTAGGTACGAGCCAAATTGAGTCTAGATATATAAACAGAAGTAAATGTAGTCTGAGGCTTGAATAAACGTGAAGGTACCTCTTTCATCTGCTGTTCGGCTGCGTCCAGACGTTTCTTGGCTTCAGGCATACTATTGACAAACTGCAGTCGCTTCTTCTCCCTCTGTGCTGCTAGTGCGGTGTCGGGGTGAACTGCTTCGGTCATTTCTACATCCTTACCTATTAAAGTATTAAAAGCCATATACACAAGTAGGTAACACTCTATTATGAACGTGACTGTGGCTCTACAATATAAGGTTCTTCAAGAAAGAAGGACATTGCTATTTAAAGTGTAGGCATGTGAATAAGGGGGAAAGAGACAAAAGAATTGTTTAGCAACGGTCTTCTGTAAAGCATGACACTCCCACGGTTAAGTATGACTCTCAAACGGTTGAGCTTTTAGCTTGTGTCAAATAAATGCAACGTCATTGAGTTGTACACCCATTCATTTATTCTAGAGCGAAGACGAAAAGCCCATAAAAAAAGGAAACTATATGCATGCGTCGTTAATTCGAGTTCTGTCTGTAATTTATTAAGTATTTGTTCAAATTTTTAAAATCAAAATAAGTGGAAATCTTTCACAATTGAATTTTAGATTAAGATTTCCTAATGACCGGCGAAGTGTGTTTTGGCTCTTGTCTTGAAACATGGCCCTTGACAATTTTATAAACTAATTTTCTTGGGAAGGAGCTTCAACCCTAAGCTCAGACAAAAAGACTACTCTTACAAAAAAATATACAGTTCTATAATTTCTTACTCAGATCTAGTTGAGCGACTTGTGCGATCTTCTCAACACTGTCCTCTAACTGCCTGTGACTGTCCTGCAGCCCTGCGTACTCCTTGGAGCCAGGTTTAATATGAGGGTAGCAGGCGGCAGCTACCTCATTGATGCAGTTCTGGAGCTCTTGCAGAGCTTCTGCAAGGGCGTTTGAACAGGAAGGCTCGTCGATACTTGGTGCGGTTACCTGGATAATTAATAACGTTAATGATTGGATCACAAACTATTATGTTTTAAGCCTTATAGCAAATAGAAGAGCTCCTGCTAAGTCAAGTGCAAGAGTCTAAACGTACTCTCTGAGTTGTCAGTGTGGAATGAATGTGAATAGTCTTTGATTCAAAATTTTGCTGCAGATACATATTTTATTACAGGTGTTAACAAAAGTATGTGAGTGAATGTATTTTGTTAAATTCTTGATTGTTTCTTTTTCATTATTTTCTTGCAGAAATATAGTTTATCGTTGGCAAGTGTCCTATTTCAGTTTACCTTAAAATATTAGTTGATTTTTTAAAGATGTTCATGTTTCTGCTAACAATGAAAGTGAAGAGTCAAGTAAGAGTCTTCCATATAAAGTTTAAATTCTCTTTTTTAGGTCCTTTCATAAAGTCCGTTATGAACTAACCCGCCTCACTTACTAAACTTCTATACTCCGGTAGTGCCATAAAAACTCTTTTTAACTGGTGTTTATACTTAATAACTACTTCTTAGACAAATTTATCTTTCTTTTTTTCATGTTAGAGGGGGCGGCGGGTCACCTGATGGTCACATTCACAGGTCAAGTAGTTTCCTGAATGTAGTGATTAGTCAGTAGATAAGTGTGTGATCGTGTTGTGGAGGAACGGGTGTCATGTTCCTTCAACACAAAGGGAGGATGTTCAGACCAGGCGAGGTGATGTTGGGAAGTTGCGTATGTGCTAATGGGCGAGAGAATTGTTCATATCGCGATATAGGATTAGCAGTTATTCCGTAGTTCGGTGCGTCTTCGTTGCGCTGTATTGATGGGTGGCACTCAGTTCCGACTCATTGGCACTACTCTGTCTACTACACGCTCCACGACGTAGTATAGGCAGCTGACTCATCAATGTATCGTTCTTTGTTTCCCCGTACGTGGAAGTCGCCACAATGTGATTAGTATACTAATGTCCTGTCGTATATGTATCAGGATGTGGATGATGGCGTGCTATCGTCTCTGCCTACTCGTGACGTATGCATGCGAGTTCATCTCGTGTTTAATGAGAAGCAAAGTGGTGTGACCTGTGCCACGGTGACGAGCGCCCTGGCGGCGAGCTGTGCGCGGGCGGCGCGTGCGCACAGCTCCGCCGCGGGGGGCCCGCGCAGCTGCTCCTGCACAGCCATAGCCTGCGCCACCACCGCCGAGCTCTTGTCGTAGGCCGCCGATGACAACTCGTTTAGCTGCAAACGTAAATTATCATTATGTAAATGAACTAGCTATTACATCGACCAATTTATGGATAGAAATGTGTTCATACGGGAATCGACCCATGACTCCTGACCGAGCACCGCAGCACTATAGCCACGGTCTGTTTATTTATTTAACGATCTGGGAAGACATACAGCTAAAATAACATTTTAATGAATGATATAACAACGTGTCAGCCGATGACAAGTCTCCACTTGTGGACAACATTATAAATAAATGTATGGACAGACATGGTTTCTACTGCGTATCCTTCGTATTGTTAGAGATGCCTTATGTAAGCATTCTTGCACACCCCACACTTCTACTCTGCACACTCAGCATTTCTCTATCAATAGCCGAACGACCCGTCCACTCATCACCAGTCTCATCCCGACATCCAAGCCAGACGGTTGCCTCAACCCTATTTTAGTATTTTATTTCTTTTTAAAAAGACAAGTTCCCCGAGACTCGTAACAGTATCCAATACGGTAGTTATAAACTTTGATGATTTTATAAACAAATTTGAATTCTCTATTACACACGCCGTTTACCGTTATCTCTTTCCCTTTGTCAGCTCCCGGACTGATGAGGAACACCAACTTTTTACTCGATGCGGCAAATTTAGCAGCGGCCGGCCCCAAGTCCTAAAAAAACTCAGTACAATATTAATGTGGAAAAATTTATTAATAATGTAGAAGGTACTACATTATTTAAATGACAGTAAAACCTGATATAAAATTCTTAAAAATACACTTAAAACCGTATCTTTTGCTACCTCGATAACTAGATATCAAGCAGAGCTGATGACAGTCACAACCATGCAACGGTAGTTGCCGCCAAATCCAAAACTTTATTATTTGACTGAAAATATGGATAAACAATAATAAAATACTATTTAATGAAAATGAGTTATTGGACGTTATTAGGATTTATTTTAGCGACTCCACGCCATTGGTTTAACTAGAAATGGCGGCAACGATAAGGTGATAAAAAGTGTAGGTATAGATTATAATGTTGGTGATTTGACTCCAACGCTGATCGATGTACGAACAGCATTACCATTACTGATATTAAAATTGCATCATCATCAACAGCCTGTAATAGTCTACTGTTGGACATGGGCCTCTCCTTACAAAGGAGATTTTGGCCTAATGTACCACGCTGGCCAGACGGGTTGGTATAAAGTTTGTTTCAAGTTTTCCTTCTCTTTGCAGTGCTGTTGTGTCCTTCGTAGTTTGCTCCCTCAGTCGGCTCATACGACACCTATGGGATGAATAGAGGTGTATTCTTAATCCGACCACTCGGACGACTGTTATTTAGTAAATTTGATAATTTATAGCCAGGTACTGGGTTTTTTTTTTCTTAAGGAAAAAGTTGCTCTAGTTTTGGTGTGCTGGGTACTCACATCTAATTGATCCAAGTTGTCAAACATGTGTTGGCTGGCCTCGCACAGTCCCGTGATGTATTTCCTCATGGCGTCACGAGTTCCCTCGTCTTGTCTCGCGCTCACTACGTCCGCGTCTGCAACAGCTACTCATTTACAACTTGTCTAACGCTTTCTATATTTATTACAGCAAAAGAAAACTTTAACAGTTTTAACTTAAACCAAACAACGGCTATGTCATACGTGGATATTAAATTACTCTCTAGGCAGTGGCAAATGGCAGGATAACGAAAACTTATTAAATCTACTACTGTTTATGTTATATAATCTGTTGTCTCTTTCTGTACCTGTTGTGTAAAAAAATAAGCATGAATGTATTTGGTATTCAATTCTTGCGCGTTACTCATTATAAGGACAACATCATTGACTAAAATTAAGAGATACAAAAACCGGGCCCCGGGCGGCAGAGATGCAGGCGATAGGCAGTGGTCACTCACCGTGTGCTATCGTTGGCATCAGCTCCGCTATTGTGTTGAGCGCTGCCTCAGCTATCTCATAATCTGGCTTCTCAGGATCTGACGAAAGTAATAATTAATAATTTTGGATAAACTTCTTCTCTGTAATTGTTTAACTTCAAAAGCTGCAATGAGAAGAGCACAAACCTGAAGTAGCTCGCGCCAGCCTGGCTACGGCGGCGTTAAGCTGCGCCAGCTGCTGTGAGAGCCGTCGGCGGGCCGCCTTCTCCTTCAGCTCGGGTAACGCGGGGTTCTTCACCCCACCAGGAGGTGCACCGGCATTACCCCCAGCGCCTGACTACATATATACAAGAATTACCTAATTGACGCATCAAATACATTGCAAATGCATTGCGAACAGTTGACAGTGTATTTTTTTGTTAAGTTTTATACTAGAATGTCTTCATTTAGATATACATATAAGGCTTGTTTTAGAGCTCCGTAACGAAAACTGTCGAGTCTATCCGAAACCGTAAAGGAATCCGATATAAAATCTTTGAATTATTGTGGATAGGGATAGAATCTAAATATATAGGTATATTTATATATATATATTTGCCTTGTATATATGTATATTTTAGATTTTTCCTAAGTTAGAATTAAACCCAGGAAGTCTGATCGGGCAGCATAAAAAAAAACAATAGAAAGAAAACAAACGGAAAAAAAACTATCCCATTAATAGATGAAGGCAGTATTTTTACCCGACTGTTAATTGTTATGTTTTTCGCTCGTATTTTGTATGTTTGTTAGTTAATTTCTTTATTACGTAATTTCTTTCGTATCTGCTGAATGGCTGGATGGATTTCAACCGTTAAGGTCTCAACAACCCAAGTGTCCTTAGATGGCTTTTTGAAAGAAAAAAAACAAAATGGCGGCTTTTTTGCGCAAAATAGTAACGAGATAATAAAAAAATTAGAGTATAGTATTTTTATTAGTATTATTAAAATTATCGAGTAGGGTATCAAAATCAAGAAAATTAAAAGAGAATTACAAAGATATCCCTAACTTATATATTTAAATTAAATAAGGAATAATAACTTGGTTCCAAAAGTTTTTGATACCGTAAAAATGGACCATTTTTGTGTCAGACCTCGTGCTGTTTCGGTCTTTTAAAGCATTTCTTTTAAATTGTCCTTTTACAGTCGAGATTTTAATTTTTTTAATTATTACTTGTTAATACAGAGTTATGTCTACGAAGTTAATGGGATGGCGAGTGATCTCTGACTCTTGGAATATAGCATGTGGCTACCAATCCATAATTTCGTTCCAATTCACAACGGCGCCGTGGCTTAGTTGGTTAAAGCGCCTGTCTAGTAAACAGGAGATCGCGAGTTCGAATCTCGCCGGGGCCTTGGGATTCATTTTAAGATTTTATACTTTTAAATGTTTTTTTTTTGAAATTATAAATACCAAAGATACAATTTATGGTATCTGCACCATTTAAGATATGTGGCAATTTTTTTTTGCTATAAATTAGAAGATTGAGCACAGAGTAAGGAAACTTGGACATCACAGTTTACTTTTTCATTACTAATGTTACACAATCTCACAGGTAGTCTGATGGTAAGCGTTGACCAACATTATTACATAATTACACCTTCAAAGCTTCGGCCATTCCACGCATAACACATCTATGCTACAACACTACGCTAGTGTTGTCCCTATTTCTATATATAAGTGGTTGGACTTGCCTATACGTGAACGATAAAAGATAGTCTACATATCCCTCCCCCTATAGCATTAACATCATCTACTGTTTAACATCTCCATGGGGATATATTTTCATAGGGGTTGCATAGTGGTCAAGCGAGCAGACTGGTCACCTGAAGGTAACTGACGACTGCCGCGCATAGTCTCACAAGAGTCAAAATTGTGTCGCCGCCTTTTGACTCCCCGCCCAATTTACTTTTTATTAATACGCGAGAAATACATATTTATTGACCCTTTATTACACAAATATTAGGTCCTAACATATGAAATTAGCGTTTTGTCGTACTGACCACTTTGATCTGAAATATCTTCTCTTTGTTTAAGAATTCCAAATTATACACGGAAGTATATCATATCTGGAATACTTAATTATTATTGATATTATTATGTAGAAGAAGCGTAGAAAGCTAAAATTGATAAACAATAAGTTATAAGGCTATTAGGGTCCAGTATATATTTTTCCTGTCATGGTGCAAAAGTTTATACAATGACAGCTCAAGCTATACTGGTCATCAAATCAAATAAGAATTTAGATGTCTAATTTAAAGAATGTACGGTGCATAAGTGACCAATAAAAGTACGTACCGTGCCCCAGGTGGAGGGGAGGTCCTTCAAGTTCTTCCTGGCGCCGGCCAAACTGTTGATGAACTTCAGACGTTGTCTCTCACGTGGCGGCAGAGATTCATCGTCCGCACCTGATTTACCAAACATTTTAAGAAAAATAGCAATTGCCCACGGCTTGTTTCGCATGATTATTAATTATTCATACACCCATATTGGCAAAGTCACTCTGGGTAATGTCAATTTGTTCAATAGAAGCAATAGTTTTAGCCAAGTTCTTGGCTGTAATTGAAAAATAATATGATAGCGAAATTGCTATCTGTCTCTTGTAATAATTAGAAAGGTAATGTCTACCTTTCGTCAGTGAAATATTATTACTTACAAGCTTGTTGGTGTCGATTAGATGTAATTTATTACAATATGGTCCATTTATTTGGTCCAAATTAGATTGTGCATCATTATATTTAAATTAAGTCTAATATTTTTTTCCTCCTTTTTTGGTTTTTTTTTTCCGTGCGGAAATCCCCTTGGAAACCACCTGTCGGTGGCATGTCGGACTCGAACCGACATAAACCGCACGCCGTCTCGGGTACTAATAGCCGGGGTTCCAGGTATACCCTAGAAAGGAAGTCCCTCCTGCGACAACCCTTTACTAATAGGAAGTGTACACAACACAATTTTACCGACTACTAAATTAACTAATGATTCATTCAAAATACCCTAAGAATTTCTCTTTGTTTACTTATAACAGGGATTTATCAGCAAAACGACCAATGAAGTATTTATGTTGAAATTCGTTTTAGAGTTTAAAACCTTTGCTATGATATCATTAAAAGTAGAGTGAGCATACAATAATTGCTGAATGAATGTCCCAAGTGTGTTTAAGAAGGGACCCATGCCCTTTCCAATTACATCACTAAACATTGGTATGTTTTGATTTTTGTATAGTTTGTATTTTTGTATAAGGGAACTCTTGATAGAGAGATTTATTATTATTATTATTATATTGTACACCAGGTATAAATATATAAAGATTAACTTAAGCTAGGTTAGACAGGTACAAATGGCGGCCTTATCGCTCAGAGGCAACCTCTTACAGGCAAGGTATAGGGTAGTGGCTGGTGTACTAAGAAAATACGAGTAGATTAGAAGAGGAAATCAATGTAGCATCTATATAAATATATAAAAAAAAGTGATAATTACAAAATAGTAACTGGTAGGACTAGGTCTAGGACTCTGATAAGTCGTATCAGAGTCCTAGACAATATATGACATAGGTACTAGAAGGAATATGACATATACTATATGCTAAATAAGGCTAGTGGTGTTATTAGATACATACAAGTAAATAAATACATGTGATTTATAAATACACGCAAATGTATATACTTAAATATATCTATAATATATATAAATAATAATACAAATATATATACTTAAATATAAGAAATAATGTAACCTTATTGACTTAGAAGGCGGTTAATAATTATTGTACATTTATGTCTCCTAGGTAATGTGCTTTCACTTGTTTCTTGAAGGAATCAAGTGTTTGTGCACGTCTTATTACGACCGGTAAGGCGTTCCACAACCGAACCGCTTTAACAGAGAAGGAGACGTCGAGGAATTTAGTGGAATGTCCCGGCATTTTTAGTTGCAGGTTCTCAGACGATCTCAACAGCTTGGGGTGTGTGTCATTTGAGAAAGTAAACCGTGATTTGAGGTAACGTTTAGTAAAAGGATTAAACAGAATATTATGGAGAAGAGAAAGAATATGTGCATTCCGGTGAAGGCGAATGGGTAACCACTTGAGCTCCTTGCGATATTCAGAAACATGATCATATTTGCGAAGTCCAAATATAAATCTGATGCAGAGATTTTGGAGTTTCTGAAGCTTATTCAATTGGTGTTCAGTAAGATCTAGATAACTGGCATCAGCATAATCAGGGATGGGGAGAAGAAGGGATTGTACAAGAGCAATTTTGGTTAGAGTACGTAGAAAGTTGCGTAGTCGGCGTAACGACCCTGCAGCGGCAAACATTTTGCGACTCAGCTCTTGTAACTGAGGACCCCAGGATAAGGTACTATCCATGTATATCCCCAGGTTCTTGACCTTATTACTGTACGGAATAGGTGTATCATTGCAAGGAATTTGAGGCAGTTTTGTCCAGTCAATTTTGGAGATCATTCGCGAGCTTCCAATGACAATGACCTGAGTCTTAGTTGGGTTGATTTTCAGGCCGTGGGAGTTGCTCCACCTACATATTTTACCAAGGTCAGCATTTGTAGTGCCTACAGCATCAGCAAGATTAGCCAGTGAAGCCCTAGCATAGATCTGGTGATCACCCGCGTAAAGGTGGTAGGAAGAGGATAGTTCATTGGTGATAGTGTTTATAAAAACAGAGAAAAGTAGCGGAGATAGCACGCCGCCCTGTGGTACACCGGCTGTAGTACTGCACCAAGAAGAAACAGTACTAATGCTTTCAATACTAATGCGCTGCCGGCGACCAGACAGGTAGTTGCGAAACCAGTCAATCACAGTTGGAGATATGTTAAGAGAGCGTAATGTACACAGCAAAACGTCAAAGTCAACAGTGTTGAATGCATTACTGAAGTCCAGCAATGTTAGGACTGTAAGCTAACCATTCTCCATAGCCTAATATGAACTAGGGTAGTAGTGGTACTGTTCCCGTGGCGAAAACCGGACTGGAGAGGATGTAGGAGCAGGTTTCTGGATAGGTTTCATATAGGTGGCTGCGAGGAAGGAGTGTGTGCTGTGTTAGGGCTGTCTAGAGAACATAATGACTCATTACAATTACAGGAGTTTACCAACCTGCCAATAGCCAGCACCTACTCCCTGATCTAGTGTGGTTAAGAAGTTTTTAGAGAAAAGTAAAGGAAACCTAATATTCCTTTTTTCTTTTGCCGGTATTTTTATAGAAGGATTGACAGTAATTTTAATTCTCTTGAACTTGAAGAAATCTGTCTGTATCGCAGTATCGCCCAATATGCCTGCTTTTTTGCCTTGGTGTCGTAAAAAATAATACAGTATTTTTCTCCTACCACTCAAATTGGCGTAAGCATCTTGCAACCTCTCGAGTGCTCTGTGTACATCAAGCTCCCGCTGATGTAGTTCTTCACCTATCTGCTGTCTACTGGGCTCTTCCACCAGCGGCTTCCAAGTGGCTGAGAGCTGGTGGATCGACGACGAGAGACCTTCGGCGGCTGCCGTGAGGGCGCTCTGGCAGTGAGGCTCGGTGATCGCTGGGGCTGTCAGCTAATCAGAGATAGATATCGAAAAATTAATAAAGGACAAAAATAGACTCGGCAATTAACTGAGAAAAGAATATCTCGTAAAAATATTTATAGTGATGTATACCTGCGCACACGCGAGCAGGTCGCGGGCGGCCGCGGCGCCCCGCGCGCCCGCCGCGTCCATCGCCGCCGCCTGTGGGGGGGGCAGGGCCGACAGCGAGCTGGCGCAGTTCAGCAGCGCGGACGTCTTGGCGCCGGCATCCCGGGCCAGCTCTATGAGCTGCATAAACACATACATACATACATTTTCAGAAAAAAAACAAAATTCTTCTTTACTTGAATGCGGTCAGTATCATGACCGCGACAAGCATAATACAACCGAATCGTTAGATAAAACCTATACGTACCTATACATAAATGCTTTGAGAATATTATCCCGATTGAGTCCTTATTTATATCTGTGCTACATGAACATCACTATTTAAAAAACAAAACTCATATCAACATGTCATTAAGGTCCAACCTAACAAAATAAAACCGATCGAGCCATACAGTAATCGCCCATCGATTAAATCAAATAGCACTCCCTCGGCTTACTGTTACAAATTTCCGTCCCTTTTCACGAATCATTCTAACAAACTGCAAGAGGAACGATGTAACACATCAACAAGCACATTATATTTAT